AAATTATTTGTCATGAATCATATGATCTGTAAATATTTTAGTATGTATTCGGCCTGGAATTTATGTACGATCCAGTTATTTTGTTGTCTGGTAAGTCAGTTCATTTAACGTTATTGTTACATTATATGTTAATAAAATGGATGGACTCATCTGATGAATAAAATTGCTGGACACTAGTGTACATCAAGAATCCGGGTCTGTTTGCCAAAAATCACGTTCGCCCCTTTCACGTTCGCACCCTTTTTAATGGTTTTGTGTTAATGATTTTTTAATCATGTTTTAATGTGTTGCTATAAGTTTTTTTTATTGTTTCAAAATAAAGTGACATTCTTAAAACGTAAAAAGGTTTCCTTTAGTGTCTCATTTATTATTTTGACAAAATGAATATAAATGAATAATGGTCATGATGATCATGGCAAAGTTCATTCATCTAAGACTTGTAAAAGAAAGGCGGAAGATACCAAATGGCTATCAAACTTGTCACAATGATTTTGCCACAACAATGAATAACACATAAACCGGGCCACAAATGATAATCACATGTTTTTTTTTAGGTGCTTATGGTGTTGCATGTCAGCCATAAGTATAATACGTACCTACAGAGCATTTATTCCCATGCATGTGTAAAGAAGATTGAAGGTACATGTACCAACTATATATAATATTTATATATATTTATATATATATATATATATATTAATATTTTTTGTTGTATTACAGCTATCATTTACGATATAAAGCATTTGATATATATACATCTATGATCTAAAAAATATTAAATATTTGAATATAAACATTGATAAAAATAGGGTGCGAATGGACCCATTGGGGCGAACGTGTGGGGTGCGAACATGTATTGGGAATGAAAGCTCTGCTCGAGGGATTATATTGGTTGAGGGTTGATATGGTGTGTGATATTGAAAAAGCCATATCATTATATATATATACACTTTATTATATAAATACGTCGAGTAGATGTTTTTTATGTAACATGACGTCATACAGATTAGGGGTTTGACATGACGTCATACAGATTAGAGGTTTGACATGACGTCATACAGATTAGGTGTTTGTTAAAGCCTGTGCAACAGTGACTGAAATCGATGACGTGACATCATACAGATTATAAGTGTGATAAAGCCTTTTCAACCGTGACTGATATCAATATCATCACGGATAGCTGATACAGCACAATTGCCGTTTACCGTATTACTCATACAATTTATCTGTATTTACTACTAAGTACATAATAGATATATATATTAACACTGTTGTGCTGATATTTAGAGTAATTATATGTATATATATATATATATATATATACATGTGAGGTAATGCTTAAGGAAGAGAGATTTAGTCATATAATAAGATGCATTGTAAGCAGGTAAGATAAGAAATTGGTTTTTCATTTTTCCCACTAGAGCAATCCAACAACCGCTGATTCCATGGAAAAACACCCAAATGACACACCTCTAGTCTTCATTAGAACTTATTTAATTAACAAGTTAAAAAGTTGAAGATGATAGCCCAGCTTGTATATATGATACCAAGTCAGGGGTCTCAGCTACAGTTTGTAAACCCTCAACCCTTTTCTAAAATGAGGCAGTGGTTTAACAGCACAACATAAGAATGAAATATAAATCAATTTGAAAAGGGTTGATTCATCAAATCAGCACTCAAGGTATACATGTACTCAAAACTGACAAAAACACAAGATACACTTCATTGTAATTTATTAATTAAGAATACTCAAAGTTACTGAAAGCTGCATTTGTTACCTTCAATAGCCAATTCCAACTATTAATTAAATCATGTTTTCCCAGACTAAATCCTGACATAATTTGGTTCAAGGTTACATTACATTTCATATCTCAGGTACTGTAAAGATAATGATGAACATTTTTTTTAGTTGACACAAGGCCATTCTTTGTTGTCTTTATTAGTAGTTGATATTTTTGTTTAGTTTCATGCCAGAAGGATTTATGGTATTGTTGCATTATATAATAATTAACTTCCATTTATACATTGGTGGTCTCCATACACATTTTATAAAGCATCCTGGTAAACAGGGAATTTTGAAATATCATCTTGTTTCTAGAAATAATAGAATCACATCCATAACACAATCACTTTTTTTTTTATGTATAAGAAAATAATTTCAGATAGAATAATATATTGCATGTCATTGCTATGATGCTAAAATGCCCTTGGGAGAATACTGCTTACATGTACATAGTTCAGAGGTGCATTAATTGGTGTAAATGACTCTTTAATTTATTGGAAAAAAAAAACAAAGTTTGTAATTATAGATTTTTCATTTGTTTTCTGTATGCATTGTAATGTTTTTTTGTTATAACCAATGCATTAACATCAGACCTACATACATATGGCAAATTACTTTGAAATTTTATTAATTTAATTACAATAATATTACCAAAACTTTGAATAAGAATACTGTGAATAACAACTACAACATTCATTTGTGTCTTAATTAAGTAATTAATAAAATTGAAATTACTCTTCAAAATTATTATTAATTAAATTACAAATTTTATTAAACTTGGAATATTGACTCTAGTTAGCACACTTTGAATGTGTGAATCAGATATATCAATGCAGTTATGTAGAGCAGCCATCTTTTCCCTTACATTTACCATTCCATTTATCATTTTGAATAATTAAATTTTGAATCATTCAAACAGCATGTCAGGTCTCCTCCCATTTTTTATGCTAGGTCGTCTTGTGGTAGCGTGTTTCCCTCGAGTGCATATGGCCATGAGTTTGAACCATGTCAGAACAAACCAAAGACTATAAAATTGGCATTTGCTAATTTTCCACTAAGCAGGCGGCATTTAAAGTAGTAAGAGGAAAGACTGGTCAGCTCAGAATCAGAATAATGTGTCTGAGTAGGGTGACATGTCTTCCTGTGGATTGTTACCTTAAGAACTAGCACTTTAAAAATCTGGCTCAGCGTGTTGGTCTTGTACTAAGCAGGGTTCATATTCATATCACACTAAAATGAGGGTGTGGATGGAAGTTTACAGAATAGTGAATGATGGGCAAAAAATATAAAGAAGAGAAAAATGGACTCAAAAAATAAAGAATGGAGAATAATGAGGTGCTAAAATATAAACAATAGAGAAAAATGGCCTAAAAAATTAAAGAATACAGAAATGATGGACCCCCCATCCAAACCCTCTAAAATGTTATGGTCCTGAATATGCATTTAATTTGTCGCTGGACGTTAAACATCCATCCATCCCCTTTTTCAATTGCAGTTTATGTTGCCAAAATGGCAAAATTTGGGTAGTAAATTTTGTACCCTGCATCTCCTTTTTTATGCCCCTGCCGTAGTGGAGGGGGCATTAAATTTTACCCTTCTCCGTCTGTATGTCCATACGTTAGTCCCAAAATTAGTTTCCGTTCTCTAACTTAAGTTAGCCTCAACCAAATGTTATGAAACTTATACACAATGCTTATTACCACAAAACACAGATCAAGTTTGAATTTTGGTGGTGTCACTTTTACCGTTCTAGAGTTATGTCCCTTTACAAATGAAAAAAATTGCTGAATTTTTGGTTTCCGTTCTCTTACTTTAGTTTGCCTCAACCAAATGTTATAAAACTTATACACAATGCTTATTACCACAAAACACAGATCAAGGTTGAATTTTGGTGGCGTCACTTTTACCGTTCTAGAGTTATGCCCTTTACAATTGGAAAAATTACTGAATTTTTCGTTGCCGTTCTCTTTCTTTAGTTTGCCTCAATCAAATGTTATGAAACTTATACACAATGCTTATTACCACAAAACACAGATCAAGTTTGAATTTTGATGGCATCACTTTTACTGTTCTAAAGTTATGTCCCTTTACAAATAGAAAAATAGCTGAAATATTTGTTTCTGTTATCTAACTTTAGTTTGCCTCAACCAAATGTTATGAAACTTTTATACAATGCTTATTACCACAAAACACAGATCAAGTTCGAATTTTGGTGGTGTCACTTTTACCGTTCTAGAGTCATGCCCCTTTACAAATGAAAAAATTGCTGAATTTTTCGTTTCTGTTCTCTAACTTAAGTTTGCCTCAACTAAATTTTATGAAACTTATAAACAATGCTAATTACCACAAAACTCAGATCAAGTACCAATTTGGGTATCGTCACTTTTTTCTAGTTAGATATGAATCGTTGTTACAAAATGCAGTTTCCCATCATGCAATGTGTTTTAGTCATACCAATTAATGGTATTTGGACATATATTTCCTGCTTTTAAAGTATAGATATTCTATACCTTTATAGACCTATTAATATTTCTTTAATTTCTACCGCAAATAAGCTTTTCGATATTTAGATGCAGTTTAATGAGTTCTTAATGCAAACATTAACAAAATTTCAATAAAAACCAAATACTTTTCCTTAATTTATAGCTGCATGTATCCTATGAATAAGCTAAAACCTTAATACTTCACATCATAACTTTAAGTCTGATACCAAATTAGCCATTGGACTAGATTATCTGAAATATCTTCAAATTATATTTTATAAACCGTCCTACATGTATTTCTTTCATGAATAAAAAATGAACATATTCACTTACTACAGTGTCCATATATGTCACAGTGAAGAAGCTCCTTACAGTGGAGTCTAAGATTACATGTAAGCATTTCAAAAGAAGGATTCAAAACTTGAATGGAACAGTTTGATTTCCTAATATGTGAAAGAATCAATGTAAGTGGGAATGGATTTAAATTACAGGATATTTTATGTCTGTAATTCACAGATTAAATTACAACTGCAAAAAATTGAAATTATGGTCAATGACAAATTACATTCAATCACTTTAAAATTTGTGATTGATTACAACTAATTACCCTAGGTTTGATGTAAATTATGATATGTTTTTCTTTTCTGTTTTTCAGAATCGGTTGCCCAATTTATAATTGTTAATGCACAATTAGGAATGGCCTATGGTCAATATGGAGTTTGCCGAAAGGTAATATGAGTGGAACTTCTCGAGCATCTGCACGTTCAACTGCTTCTGGGAGGATAAAAACAGAAAATCCTGCTTTAGTCAAACTTTTGACAAGTGATTCACTAACTGACACAAGGTTCGTAGCTGCTGAGCACACATCACCTGTACATACGCCACACGCTTCTACTAATGTAAAATCAAATAGCACGTCAACCCCAGAAAATAGTGTCAAAAATAGACCAAATTCACGTTATTCTGAGAAAGAAAATTTAGAAAATAGACCTGATTCAAGATATTCAGAGAAAAATAGTTCAGAACTAGCAAAAACTGACAATAGGCCTGATTCAAGATATTCAGAGAAAAATAGTCCTGTGAAATTAGACATTGATAATAGAGCTGACTCTAGATTTTCACAGACAAGTAATTCAGAAAAGCAGCCTGAATCAAGATATTCTTCAAAAAGTGATAAGGCTGAAAAACAAAAAGAAAATTCTAACAACAGTTCTTGGGGAAATGTTGAAGAGTCTCTGACCTTTGATGTAGATAATATTAAAAACCCAGACTTTGATCAAACATCGCCAAAAAGTAGTTCACAAACAAAAAAAGAAGTGGAAAATATTCTGAATACTGATGGTGATAACAATCTTGAGATTAAAAATGCAGATAGATTGCCAAGTTCTGAATCTTTAAAGCCTCAACAAAATATTTCGGGAAAAAATACCCCATCCAAAATTGATTATTTGAAGATTGATAGAGTTGAAAGTCCTTTATTTGAAAAATCTCAATCAAGAGAGCAAAATAAAACACCTAGTGGTGTGAGTCAAAGTTACAGTTCTAGTAGACTTAAAAATATAAGCACTTCTTCTCAACAGCACCCATTTTTGGAGGCACGGTCTGCTAGTGAGTTGCCATTTGCACAAGGTGGTGAAGGGATTGAAGCTGATAGTCTCGACGTTGATTCTGGACTTGTGCCAGATACCACAAGCTTTTTACAATCTGCACCTGACTCTGGTAGACAAACATATAGAGTGCCTACACCTGTTACTAAAAATGTACCAGTAATATCTGCTGAATCTTCTAGGTTTAGAGCCAACTCCAGAACTAGTCAGCGAACTGTGTCTGCAACTAGTGCTACAGGTGTCCCTGCACCACAATTTGATAGAAACGAATCTGTAGTAAGTGACAACGGCATACCTCCTCCATCTAATATAAATTACGATTTGGCAAGTAATGATATAGACGATGTGAATCAAGATAACCTTTCTGAAACAAAAAAATTTGACCAGCGTAAAAGTGCTGTATCATTCAAAGAGCCTGTTATAAGTGATTATCATAGTCATACTGAAGGTCGTGGAACTGACGATTGGGACACACCACGGGAAAGAGTCCCAACACCACATCCTGCAACTCCACAAAAATTTCAAGATTCTTTAGATTTTAACTCTGGCAGGACATCAAATTTATCACCTGAACCTACACATCAGTTTGAATCAGATATTCCGTCTGTATCATTATCACAAACAATAAGATCAGGGTCTGCCCGTGTAGACCAAAACAACAGTGCAAAAAGTGGTTCTGGAAGAGCTGTTAAAAAGATATATATTGATTCTCCAACATTTACAAGAGAAGAAGAAGACGAATTTCGTTTTGTTGAAAGTCGTATTGATGATATGAATGAAGATTTAGAGGACACCGTTCGTAGAATTGAAGAACAAGGAAATAGGTATAAACAAGAAAGAGAGGCAATGAATGAAGAAGCAGCTCGGTTAAGAGCAGAAATTCAAGCAACTGAGGGTTATTCAAATTCTTATAATAGTAGAAATACAAGTGATAGATACGGACAAAGTGACCAGATGGATTCAAGGAGTTACGGAAGACCACAGGATCAGGATAGTGGTTATAGACAAGAGAGAAATCAAAATGGCTACACAAATAATTCTAATGGTTATGGGAATGTGCGTGATTCTCGAGACATTCATAATGCTCGTATTGATAATCGTTATGAAGATCGTAATGTTGACGATCAAGAAGGTTATTCTAGAAATCCGGGAGGTTACTCTCAAGAACCAGAAGGATACTCTAGAAATCAAGTTGGATATGCTCAGAATCAAACAGGATATGCACAAAATCAGGGAGGATATTCTCGAAATCAAGGAGGTCAAGGAAGAGAATCTGAGGGTTATTCCCAAAATCAAGGTGGATATGCTCGTGATCAAGATAGACATTCTAGGGAACAAGATGGATATTCTCAGGAACAAGAAAGAAATTCACGAAGGCAAAATGATCAATATTCACGGAGACAAGATGATCAATATGATAGACAGCAAGATGATCAGTATTCACGAAGGCAGGATGATCAATATTCACGAAGACCCGATGATCAACCATCACGAAGACCGGATGATCAACAGTCGCGAAGACAGGATGATCAATATTCAAGAAGACAGGATGATCAGTATTATGATAGGAGGGGTGATTCTCCATCTCGATATAGGAATGGGGATGAAAGAGGTGATGATGACCTACAACGTGAAACAGAATATCAGGAAGATTTACGAAACAGATTAGAAACAAATCAAATACATGACTCTGAAGTTGTTATACCTCGCATTCCAATAGATGAACAATATAGAGATTCATTAGATGAAAATGGATATAATGATCAACGTAATTTTGCTAGAGACTCATTAGACCAAGAAGGATATGGGAACTGGGGCAATCCCCCTCCAAATCCATTTGGTCAAGGTCGTGGTGAAAATGAAAGGTATTTAAGTCAAAGGGAGGAAAAACCCGAATATGAAGATGATATGGATACTGCTAGGATGGAACTACTACATCCAAAAGAGCCAAGAGTTGATTATGTAGAAGAAAACAAATATACTTATGGACTTCCCCCAAGTAAGAGTTATAAAACTTTAAAAGAGAAAGAAAAGGAAGCAGAAAATAAACTTAGTGAAATATTTATTCATCCTAAGAAACAAGGAAAAAAACATAAACGAACAATTCCATTGCCAAATGAGGAAAAACGACCACCTCTTACAGAGTTGCAGGGCAATGTAGACCAAGGGGCTGAGGGAGTATGGGCAAAAAGGTCAGCACAGTTAGCTAAACACAAGGATGGTAAAACTACTGCATCTGGTTCTGTTAAAAAATCTAGAGGTCTTCAAAAATATCCAAGTGATGGTCACCTTCAGACTACAAATCAAGGTCAGATTCATCAAGGTCAAGGTAGAATGTATGGAACCCCAACACGTAATCAGTATCTTGAACCTTTAGGCTACAAGCCACAAGTTTCAAAGGAGGAACCAATACAGTCCCCAGTATATAGGGACACAGGTTCATATAAAAAACCAATCGAGTTAAAGCCAATTAAAACTGAAATTACAACAGACGATGGCCAAAAAATAAGTGTTGACATTAACTTGAAAGTATTAAGTCCGACTTTTCAACGAAGAGTGAGATCTCATCCTGATGATGCCCCTGAATCTGAACCACCATTTAATGTTCATGCGGATGTCAGACACAAACAAACAGGTGATAGACGTCCAGTTGGAGTTCAGTATCAACCTTCAAATCGTGGAGGGAGAGATCAAACAGAAAGTCGGTACCAGAGTCCACCAGGTGACAGCCTTTCTCATCAGTCACCGATAAGTCAAGGAAGTCGACAGTATCCAGCAGATAACCAATACAATAGGCAATATCAGGTCAGTTGTAATATTAATTTAGTTGAAACATGGGCATAAAAAGTCAATGAAAAAGTACAACTGTCAAAAATAGCAATGTCACCGTCAAACAGAATGTACATATGTTGAAATGAAATGAAATGATATATTATTTAGCAAGTATTGATAAGTCAAATTTAAAAAGCTTCAAAGTTCAGAAATTAAATCTTAATTTAAATCGAAGACTTTTTACAAAGTAGAAAAAACATGAAAACTAGGCAAAGTTATAAAACATGATGATTAATTTCAAATTTGACAGAAGAAATAGTATAGAGTAGTAGATAATTCAAATACAGTTTAAGTAAGTTGGCAGTTCACATTAAAACCTATGCTATTCAATAAGTTATCATAAATAGATACATAGGGCTAAGTAGAAAGGAAAGTATGGAAAAGATATGTTCTATCTGTTTTTTTTTTTGGTTTTTTTTTTTAAAGATCATACATCTATGTGCATAATGTAAGCATGGTGTAGCACCTTTTTCTCTTGTGGTTTGAATGTTAAGCAGCCATCAATTTTTTTTATGATTCACCAAAAAAAAATGAAAAGAAGAAAAGAAAAGGTCATGTTATGTGCATGAAAAATTAACCAAAATGATAAAATTAATGAGACTACTGAGTATGTGATTTTTCAAAAGTATACCAGGTCTTGCTTGTATTATATCTTTAAGAGTATAGACCGGGGAACCTTAATATATAGGTTAATATTGATATGATTTCATAGTTACTATATAGTAATAAAATTTAATTGATTACCCATAAAATATCTCTTTAAGATATTAAAATGTTTAAAAACCTCAGATCTGTTTTGGGATGTTTTCATACCAAACACACTTCCATAGTGAATATTAACACTAACAAAATATTTGAAGTGAAGATAACTAGGCTCTTTGTTGTTAGGTATTAAAATGATCCACTTATAGGTGTTGACATTGAACACAAGAAAAAAGTTTTTAATAGATGTATATTGTAGTTTATAAAGTTATATGCTTTCTTTTTTGTTGGGTCTTTGATTGTATCAACATTTAATTGTAAGGAAATCTTATAAGAATTTGACAAGTTCATTTGGTGTTTTCTGAGTTGTCATGGTGGATGTAAGGTGCCTTGCTCAAATTGTAATTAAATAATCTCAAAACCAAAGAAATAGTTTCATTATTTTTTTCAGATATAATTATCCAATTTAATTTTCTCCATTCATATTTCTGACAGCATAATTTTAAAATTTTAATTTCATTATTTTGATTGTTCAAGTCTTAACCATTTTATAATTTTGGCCTTTGACCAAAGTTGAAAAGCACCATACCCATGAAGAAGCAAAGGTCAAGGACATATTGGATAAAATTTGTATTGATTAGAGCTAATCTTCTAAATCTTGTTATTATTGTTTAATGCTTAGATTAATGTTATACTATAAGGATTTATTAATTCAATGGAATCCTTCTGTTTATAATTTACATGTATACAATGCCTTGCAATAACAATTAAGTGAAGTTTAGAAATTAGTCTAGGAGAATTTAAACTTCTCAAAAGAATTACTTTATTAAAACACACTTGTCTGAAGACGTAATATATTACAGAGCAGAAAACGTTTTGTATATATATATATAAAACTATTGACCAATTTATAGAAAGCCTGTTTTTTTTCTAACATAACCGTTTGTAGTGCATTATAAATAAAAATTGGCATTCAGAATTTCCAGCAAGAACTTTGTGTTCGATTAAAGAGTCGTATCATTAAATTTAATTGTTCTCAGTATCTTAGATTTGTGATAAACAATTATTTTGCAAAAGATGTATTTCATTTATGAAATCAATGATCATGCTAATGATCTAATCTGTTAAATTTTTATTTTCAAATAAATCTTGTTGTTCCCAAAATAATTTTCCTGCTTCAATAGACCAGTGTATATTGTGACAGGAAAAGTAATTGCAATGAACTGCAGTCTTCATAAACTACTGTAGTCTTCTTAAACTGAATTATAAGCGTACTAAGTATGAACAAATTTGTAGAAGAGTTGAAATCTATCATATTACTGTCATTGTATATGATATATCATGCAGTTTATACATTGCTTACTTTGGTTTTATTCTTGTAGTGTATACTATCATGAACATTTATATTCTATCTAAAAGACTAGCTCTAAAAGGCAGTTGCTTACATCCACGTCATTTGGACTCTGTTGGATAGTTGTCTCATTGGCAATCATACCACCTCACCTTATTTTATTGGTATAATTTAAGAAGAAAGCAAGTGAATAAAGTATAAATAAGTCTTGATTGTGTGAACGATGAAATGGCTATCACTCTATTTATTCATATAATGGCAAAGTAAAAATCTTACTTGAGTTTTATATTGAAATAAAATCTCTGTATTCAGTCCAAAGAACTATGTGACAAAGTGATAGTTGTAAATTTCTTTATAAATACAAAATAAGTTTATGATGGACGATAATCAAAGAATCTTCATTTGGGCCTTATTTATAAAAGTCTATTGCAAGTTGTAGACTTGTTATCAAAAACATTTACAATACATTATAAAACTCTTGAAATATTCAAGGTTATATATACTTACTGGATTTAAATTTTTCTTTATACATTCTGTGAGTGTCAAATATATATTTTTCTATTCTTTAGTTCAGTACAGGTTATATGGGATACTGGGTAGGTTGTCTTTTCAGTTATAAATAAAACTAATGGCTTTCAGGAGCTTAGCATGTTGTAGCAAAAAACTGACCTAGCAACCATTTATTAAATAGAGATTTTTTTCTAATCTGCTTTGTTGAGATTGCTGTAGCTTGAATTATTTAATTGGGTTTTCATTTAAGAGTACCTAAACAAATACTTAATCAATAAAGTCATTAAAGTTTTATAGTATTTTTTGTCACGTTGTTATGTTGTTGTGTAAAATCTATGGTGATTGGTATCGTTTAATGTCTTATCCTGCAATTAAACTTCTTTCAGTCTCTTGGGAAGGTTCCGTTGTTGTGGGCTATTAAAAGCAATGGACCGTTTTATTTTTCTAAACAATATAACAGTGCACAGAATGAATATATGATTTTTTTTCTCAAAACAATAAATCAGTGCAAAGAATAATGAAATATTATACACAGACCTTTTACTATCCTACATTTTTAATATTACCATTAAAAACAGCAGATATTTTATAATAGTTGATGTTTTAGTCCCAAATATAGTTTCAAGTTAATAGCTGCCAAGAATTAAAGCCTGAGAAAGAAAATGCGTTAAATTTGAGTACCAGCTTATATACATTAACTTGCTTTTCTCATTTCTCAAATTTTTTACTTCAAAATGTTTTATGTCTAAGAAGAAACATGTACTTAAGTGCTTGCTTCTCTCTTTTCTTACCTAATTTGTATCAGAAAGCTTCATAGCTTATTATAGAAAAGCTGAGTTATATTAAAACATAAACAAGAAGGAATACAGTGAAACAGGAACCTTGCAACACAAGTTAACAAAGGAAAGACACTTAGGGTTAATATTAGGCAAAACAAAATATTTACTGGTACAATGTACTTGTTTCCATTGCCTCCTGGTAGAAAAAAATTGGGTAGGTAGGTGAAAGATTTTAATTTTTAAAAATATTTTTAAAAGACTATATAGGAAAATGTGCATAACCAAAAATCTCTGGACCAAAAATGTCAATATTAATTGTGTTAGGGTAGGCATGAAAATTGGGCAGGTGACATAAAGATACAAGGATAACATTTGAACATTCTTAATATGAGGAAGGCGCTACCTTGAATGCCAGCTTACCAAGACTATGTCCTACATATTGATTGATTGTTGGTTTGCTTAACGTCCAGTGGCAAATATTTCATGCCTGTTCAGGACGAATGTCCTACATATAGTTTTTGTCTAAAATAAAATAATAAGTTCAGATGGAAAATGTTAAGGGAACGATCGTTGAACTTCAAAAGGCAGGATGGAGTATGTTTTTTTTCTTCAAAAATATTCTGATTCCCAAATTGATGAAAAAAAATATTCTAATCAAGCAGAGGACAAAAAAATATTCTGAATCCAGATCATCACCATACCTTCTAGCATTAATTTTTGACCAAATAATTTTGATTGATAGCGTTGAAGCCCTTTGCGTGAAAAAAAATCGTAACTCAAACAAAAAACCATACCCCCTACCCTTTTGAAGCTAAATGAAGGCTGAAAATAAATTTATTCATGATTTATCTAAATTATGACAATGCTTAAATTCATTATATTGTGCCATTTTCAAATCCATTTTTCTTTCTTTGCAAATTTTACAAAATTTAAAACAATAAGACATTTGTTTAATTTCAAAACTATGAATACTGTTATACAATCCATAACTTTATTAAATTAATTTTTTGTTGATTTTCATGAAAAGATGGAGGATTTGGAATATCTTTTTCATCATGATCAATATCTAAAAGTTGTAGCTGTTTTTTTTTATTTAGTATTGCAAACAACGCTGTTTGTTGAATTATTTTTACTTTCTAAATTAGCTGGATGTTCATATTGTATTCCCAGTTTCCTGCATCTCATATATATGTGATCAGCAAGAGGATCATTCTGATTGTTAAAAGAAGAGTTTGAATTTACAGTGAGCCTGTTTAGAATAATGTTTTGATCAGGTTTTTCATTTTGATCTAAGCATAAGGAACCATAAATAGGATTGTTAAGTTGATAATCTAAAGATTTTGCTATTTTCTAGGATGCTATTTAAAATTTGAGGGGAGACACTGCTCGGCAGTATAAATGTATTCCTGATCATCTTCTGTTTGTGGGTTTCTACATCAATTTCATGTACTAATTCAGAGTCAGTTTAATGTCATTTTTGCATTTTGTTTTATAAGCTTACTTTTCAATTTTTTATATGAAGGCAAAATAAATTCAGAATGGAAATGGGGAATATGTCAAAAATTTGCTTTCGAGTAATGCAATCATGTCGCTGTTGTTGTCCGAAGACACATTTGGTTTACGGACAATAACTTTAGTTTAAGTAAATGGATCTCTATGACAATATATGAAATAGTACCAGAAGGTTCAACTTCAATACACAAAAGGAAGGTTAGAATTGATTTTTGGGGTTATCATATGGTACCAACAGTTTAGGAGTCAGTGGTCAAAAACAACATTTTTGGGTTGTTTTTTCCATAATTTTTGGGTTTTTTCTCCAAAGAACCATTTTTACATTGATTATTTCTCATTTATATATAAATGCAATAAATACTGATATGGCAGGAGATACACACGAAACAGGCTGTGTTAATTATTTTATCAGTAATTTGTGCATTTTTCCTTTGATGTGTACTTCTTGATAATGTCGACGTCAGTATCAGTGAAATGGTCATGATAAAGAAAATATATTTGGTCAGTTCACAATTGACATGCGCGAGTGCACCGCAAAAGGATATTCTTTCCCTTTTTAAAATTCACAAAATTGCACATGATTTTTTTCGCAGAAACACACGAGTTATTTCATGAATGAAACACTTGTCATTGTTTGAAACTTTCAGTAATCAAAAGTTAGTTGTGTGAAAATTTGAACAGAAAATGAACGATAAACCTGATAAAATTGCGTTATCTGCAGAATTATTGATATCTTTCCTTACTATTCACAAGGACATATAACTAACATATCGTCCATGCTATTCCGATCTGAGTTTTTATTCATACATAGTCTGGCATGGCTGGTGCTGTTCCAAGTTGTCTTCTTTCTCTGCATGCTTCTTGAGAAGTATTTGTTTGACCTGGTCAGTCACTATAAAGTGTTACAATTTATATTTAGATGCAACACATAAATAGTGACCAAAAAGGTACCGCTTTCACATGTATGACATGAGAGAATCTAGAAAAAAAATTAAATGTACACATAATTTTTCAACATTGTTGTGGGACTATCATATGAAATTAAGGAGATATGTAGTTGGAGACTGCTGCTGAATAGAAATGTTCGGGCTCACCTTAAACCTGTTTTCAAATTAGTCCATATTAAAGTTTGAAGGGTCCAAAATTAAAATATGTTTGATTTCAATTGACATAAAAAATTTTGGTGTTTTTTTATATGCTTAATGTACATCTGCGGTTGTATTAGGCTGTGCTTGGCGAAGCATTTTATTGCTTTTTTGTTTGTACTTTATTTTATTTTGGTCATAAAAATTAACTTGTAGTTGTGAAGTTGCTTACATTTTAAAAAGATGATAATTAGATAACTTCGCATGGTGACAACACTGACGTTTTCGTAGATTTACTTTTTCCCGGGAATGCTTCATCGGGGGTCTCATTGGGGGGTTCTGATCCCGGATCCCCCTTACTGTTTTGTCAGATTCCCGTATCCCGCTTACACTATGTACGTAAGCAATTCTCACTTTTTTGTAATTTCCCCTATCCCGCTAGACTTCATTTCCCGTTTTCACGGCACAATAATTTGACTTTCACGTGTCACGCTTACAAAAATTCAGCAATCCCGCGTCACGCTTAGACCCCAGTGAGACCCACTTCATCTGTTGATATATTGAACAATTTGTGTATATTTAAATATATTAACCGATGTTGAAAGACATGTATAATGTCAAATCATAACAATGCAAATTGTTTAGTCTCAAAGAAAACTTGTAAGATTTCCGCAGTTATTTTTGTTGAATAGGTGCAAATTGGGTACTCGGTGCAATTTGGGAACTGTGACGTTATAGCCATAAGTGTTTATTGCTTTAATAGGTTGAAATGTGCACCTGAAAAAAGTATTCAGTAGAGGAAAAATGTTTTGATCAGGTTTAAACTGACGCATAAAATATACAGGCGACTGCGGGAGGCAATTATTTATATTGCATCCGAATAATGTGTCAGCAGCTTGAATTTCAAAGGATGTAGCCCACATACTTCCAAGTAACATGCTCTTTACCTATCAAAAGTCATGGTATTATCATGGGCTATCATAACTCCATCTTCCCATAAAATCCTATTTTGGACAATATGTGTGCATACAATATATATGTACCTATAAATGTATCACTCAGACTCAAGTCTCCTTTTACAGCTGTTTTATGATTAAACTTAGAGAGTGAAAAAAAACCAGTCTCCATCTCCTGGGACTGTTTAAGGTAGATATGTGTCATAATTAATGACAAGATTTGTTGAGAGTTTGTCAAAGGAAGTACAGTCTACAGATAGTGAATTTGAATATATTTTTTTTGTTTAAAACTTTTGTTAAGTTTTGAATTTCACCTGCATTTGTCTGTGAGCTACAGGAATAACCGTGATTACATTCAACAGTATAACCAACTTCATTATCACTGTAACTTGATATGGGAAATACTGTAGCAGATAAATAATAGTAGTCATGGTCAACCAGAGGCAGAGCACCGGATTTTACTACCTCCAGCTACATTTCTCCCGAAATTTATTGCTTGCAGAGGGTTTTTCTGTGTTCCCATGGCTGGACGGAACTTTTACACTACAAATGTTATCATAAATTATGATATTGTAACTTTTAAATGAAGTACCTGTGGTTATTTAGGAAATTTGTCACTGATAATGGAAAGATGAAGCAGACGATAAAAGTTAAAACATGGCGTAAGATGTTGTTGTCCAAACTTCGGTTATTTCCGTGGTACAATAAAATTTAAATAAACTACACAAGTTACTAAAATTTCTAAATTCTTGTTTTTGTAAACAAGTAAAAATTCATGTCGTATTTAACATCGAATTTATTCCGTTTGCCCCGTTTTTCAAAGATCGCGATTAAACGAGAATCTGGCAGCCATTAAAAATATAAGGGTTAAACTAATGTCCTGACTATGTCCTGACGGATATTCCAATGCTTATTTCGTTTTCATTATTTGAAGAATTGAATTTATATTTGGAGCCAAGCAAGAATACAATATTTATTTAATAAATATAAGGAAAAAAAAGAAAAAAAATATTTTTAAGAGTTAGATAACTTGACTTGATCATCTTCGAAAAATTAAAAAAAAAATCGTACGAGATTTAACGAGAGTGACGAAACTTTTTAGATTGATCATGTAGAGAGAGTTATCGTTCTTTATTCCAATTCGATGCTTCTACCATAAGTGCCAGCTAAAGCTGGCATATTACAGTGTACTTGGAAATTAGCAGATAAATTTTTATGACGTTTTGATGAATTGCCATATTTAGCAATTAAAATTTCTGACTGAATTTGATTATAATGTCAGTCCTAGTCTGCATACATAAGCTTGATATGTCATTTGCATGTTTATCCATCTGCATGGTGCTTATCGTTATACTGCATGAAACAAGATAATGGTATGTGAATAGAGACAAAGTCTAAAAATTAAGTTGGTATAGTGCATTTTTTTAACATATATACACATGTATGCAGTTATTACCACTAGTCATATAGTTTGGAAATTAATATGCTGTATAGATACATTGATTTTCTCATCAAATGAGTTGGGTTTTTTTTAATAATTTTATAGAAAGTTTTACTTCCAAAGTGACCTGCATACTTTCTATAAATACAAAACTTTTAATATACAGTTTATAATTTCCATATTTATTGTAGGAGATTTTTATTCACACTATATCCTTTCTTTGCCAATCTTTTACTTATCGGTATATATATATATATGTCACCATGTGTTTGTGTTGAAAAGAAAGTTACCAATTGTTTTTTGTAAAAATTCATGTAAACATATCATCAATACATTACTACATGTAAATCATAGTACATGTAAATGCATAAGTTATTCAACATTTATTATTTGAAACTCTTTTTTCACTATACTAAATGGACTTGACTACAAATTTGTCATATGCAGAAGTCCTATAAGATATCAGTATAAAACCAATTCCAAACTTTAAAGCATCTGAACTGTCTGTCATTTTTAAGGTGGGTCATTTTGGAAGTACATGTATAATACAAGGATATATATGAGTGTTTATTTGTACCTAATCAGTGTGAGAAATTGGAATATACAGTGCATGGACATAAGTCTTCATTATGTACAATTTTGTGCAATATATTTCATATGAAAACACATTTTTTGAAAAATTATTTTGAAGGCATTTATGGTTGGATTGAAAATCAAAAAAGTGTTGAGAAAGACACAGAATTGTCTGAAATTTGATGGTTTATTTGGTCAGTGTTGTCATTAGTTATTTTTGGTTTCTCCTTATGTGAACATCTATTATAAGTTTTTATAATTTACTTTGGTTTTTACAACCAAATAAGCAAATATTAAACCTGTGACAATTCTGCTTCTATTTGTACTAAGTTGATCAAAATCCAACCAGAACTTACCTAAACATATTTTTTTTTAAGACATTGTTTCACATAAACTATATAGCAAGAAGAGATACTTGGACCTAATAACATTTAGTCCCGTATGATATCTAGAAAGTTACCAATCCAATCTGTGCAAAAAAAATTCTTATTAAAAAACAGACCTCATAAACAAGACGTCAAGTTAATGGAACTGGCTTTAAATTCAATTGATACCATTTCAACAGGCACGTTTAAACTTTTGAAGTTGAATTAAAAGTAAATACAAAAGCTATTTAAATGTTCATTGTAAAAAAGGACCTTATTTTTAATTTCAAGTCCCATTCTGTATAATTATAATCTATTAAAAAAAAAATGTACAAATATGAAATTCTAGTTGTGTTTTTGATATGATTCAATGAAGCCCGGACAACAAGAAAACATTTAAGCCTTCAGGAATTTAGAAGACTATCTTTTAAACCAATACAAATTTAAATGTAAGGATATGTTTTCTCTTGTGATATTTAGTTACTATTTCAGTGAAGCGTTTGCCAATGTTATTCATGTAAATCAATACTCCAACAATGGTTCAAATACCTTTCTTCATTAATACTAGTTAATCTCTACTGAAATTTATTTGAACAAATTAAAGATATACAGACAGGACTAGTTTGAATAAGTTTAAATAGTCGTTTATTAATAGGAATTTAATGAACTAGATTGCTGTATATAACTTCCTGATAACAGCCGTCATAATGTGGCAATCTCAGTTGCCAGAGTAGGTAGATTTTCAAAGGGATTAAGGTCTTAAAGGAAGATCTAATGTTTTGACAAGTTATTTTTTCTTCAAAGTAGCATGATTTAAGAAGGATTTAATACCTTACAGTTTTCAAGTAACACCCCGCTGTACAGTCTTTACTACTGGTAAATAAATTGTAATTTCAGACTGCATGGCAAATACAGGATTTTCTCGTGGTCTCTGCGTGTGTGCACCTAGGCCCCGGCCTTTATGATATACGGAGGGACATGTCCTACCCTTTCCACTTCACCTTCCAAAATTTAATGTTTACAAAGTGACCAATGTTAGCAGTATTGGCTTTGATTTTGAACAATGACAAAGCACTTATAGTAGTAACATATTCAGAAAGCCATATTCTGCTGGGCTGAAAGTCATGTCATTTAAGGAGCCTTTAGTAGAAAATAATCAATAAGACTAGTCCTTAAAAAAAAATTTTGTAATTAAACATGAAAATAATTTGACCAAGAACACCTGGGGTGCCTTTCATATGTATTTTGGCCTTGCGTTTAAAATAAGATAAGACAGGTATATTTGTATCAAATTAAACTAGATAGAATTATGTTTTAAAGGTTCTGAAATTAGTCATTGTTATTTCAATAATCTTGAGACAATCTTGATCTTTATCACAATTGTTTTTTTTAAAAAAACTATAAATATTTAAATATATAAGGTTATCCCTGTAATATTAGAAGAATGTAATTATTTTACCTAATTAGTAGATAATTGTAAGGCGAAGGGACTTTTGGTATTGTACATACTATTAGTTATAGCATTCTGAAGTTGTCCTAATTATTAAGGTGTACTAAATAGACCTACAATGGATCAAGTATGAACCAGCTGTTCTATTCTGCTGAAGGTCGGTGGTTCTCTCTGGGTTTTCCAATTTCTTACAAAAAGTGGCCACCGTTCTGAAAGTGGTGCTAAACACCAACATACAAACAAACCAGCTAACAATACAAATCAAACCAGCTGACATACAAATCAAATCAGATGACATACAAATCAAATACTATGATTACAAAATAAAAACAAATTAACAACACTAAATGAAAACAAAATGTGAAAAAATTACATGTATTCCTTGGAAAAGTTATAAGCATTACTATTTAAATGAAGTATATGTAACATACTAATCAAAGTTTTTTCAAACTAAGTTTTGTAAGAGTACAAATTTTACAATAGATTTATTGGAAGTTGATATCGAAATAGTTTATATTTTGAAAATATCTACTTACAAATTCATAGCCAAGTGTAAAAGTAGAATTTATATACATGTATATGAAACATCCAAATTATTTATATTTATTGAAGTAATAAATATATACATATATATACATACATATTCAAGGATCAGCCACCTCCCCAGCAACCACCACCACTTCAGACAGAAACTTACAGAGGAAATGATTATGAGGGCATTGATGAAGAGGCACTACTTAAGCAGGAGGAGGCATTAATGGCGGAATTAAATTTGTCTCCAAATCCTTATGCTAAAATTCCACCAATACCGATCCGTGATGAGCTTACTGTTCCTGTCGTTGTTGAAAAAGGAGGGTATGCTTCTATGTACCAGGACAGTAAGCAGAAAGATCAAAACCAGGAACCATGGTACCAAGTTTATACTGTAAGAGATTTTAAAAAGATGCAGAAGGAGGTTCGTCTAAATAGAGGAACACTCGGACCTGACCTGGATAATGAAACATACAAGGATAAGGTATAAAATATTAACTTGTATTTATTTATGTATTTAAACAAAAAAGAAAATTTGAAGAAAGATTTGTGTAAAATGTTTGTAAAAAGGACAAACTAAAGTTAAGACTCAGGGGCTCTTCACTAAAAACAAAACTATAAAAATTGATTGTTAGTTAAACTGAAATGTTCATGACTTCCGAGTATTTTTTCTTGTAAGATTTTTTGTGAAATGAGTCGCTGATCATTTAAAAAAAGTAACAGAAATGCTTTTGATATTTCAAATATATTTAACTTTATTACATGGTTTGACCGAGTTGTTCAAAAGATTTTAACACAGGATACTTTTACAAAGTGTTTTAAATCTTACTGAATTACTTAGGACTTGTCAAGTGGAAAAACCTTTTACACTTCATAAAAAAACTTTTAACAGTATTGTTATTCTTTGGTGCAGATCTACTGTAAATGCTTCCATTTTTTTAAGTGAATGTTTTTCATTTTTCTTAATTTGCCTTTTATAATTAGGAACATCATAGATCTTATTTGTATTAAAACCTGGATAATTTTTGAAATAATATTGATTACTATTTTAGATGTACAAACCTGTCTGACATTGACCTCATGTTCTTTGTTCATTGGTCAATGTAATAGTTTTTATGATTTTGTAATAAGGTCAAGTTACAGTAAAATTTGGTAACAGTTTTTTTGTCAAATTTTGCATAATGCTGCTGTAGGTTAAACCTGAACTGAAAATTAAAAAAAAATGATGCATTAAGTGCTTATTTCTAAAATGTTACTGAAAGAATTCTTTCAAAATAGTTTAACATTTGTACAGAAAGCACATAAAATTAGGGAAAAACACATATTCTGTTTGATTGATATAAAATAATCAGATAGGTACATAATGTAATATCTTGACAATACATACTGGTGTGTGAGAAAAAATACTTTATCAATTTTACATATTATTGTTTATTGATTTCTTTTGCACAGTTTCCATCATACATGTATATATCAGTAGAGTTTATTATCTATTACCAAATTAATGCTTATATATATATATATATATATATAGATATGTGGGGGGCATCTTGCTCTTAATGTAACATGTTAAATTTCATTCTCTGAAGATCTTTAGCAACTACCAAGATGAGTAAAAGCAGTAAAAGTTTTCTCCCTTTGATGAATTGTCGATTGTAGTATTTCATGACAGTACTGTACATCTACTCCATATCCTATCTTTTCTAATGTACTTATAACTGTAAAAGTATGTTATCTGCATGTTTTAGTTACCTTTAATTGTATTGACAGCAATCATTCAAACTATAATGTTTCTCATTTATAATTTTAGCTTGAGAAGAGGCATAAACAGTTTGAATATGCAAGAATGGTAATGGAGAAAAATAAACACGACTTACATGATAAGAAACCAAACAACAAGTATCCTCGTAAAGACCCTCAGGTAGAAGAATCAGAAAAAAGTAAACGAAAGGCAGTAAGTATATATCTTAATCAATAATTAATGTGTGACTAGATTATCTTATCACAACTCCTGTTGCAGTCTATCTGAATTTTTTGTTTTTATTTTTGCACGGTAAACTTTCAATGTCTGATTCAAAACTTTAAGTTTTAGGCTGTGCTTCACTGAAATATTTTAATTTTAGAGAAGCGAGAAATATGAATCATAGCATTATACTTTGGGCTTTTCCAGAATTAAACACATTGTGGAGGGCATGGGAGGCACTTTTTAAGACCCTGACCTCATTTTACTTATGATTCTTATAAAAATTCTAAGGAAAATGCAATCAATTTGAGTGCCTCCCATCTCCCCACCTGATCAATTTTGGGACAGCCCTTTAATATTGAAAATATCATTTCATACTTTTCATCAATATTCTGATTTGCAAAAAAAACTCCAATTATATGTTAATATAACAATGCATGTATGAAGGAATTAAAGAAAAACTTAATACAGATATAAAATATTTGCATTCCTACAAATCTTTTTTTGTATTCCTACAAATCTTGTTTTTCATTTAGCGCCAAACCGTATTCAAAAATTTTGGAAAAGAAAATGATTAAGGTCAAGTTACAGTAAATTATCTATGTTACAGATATCTAAAAAATCTGTGACATAACCGATTTACTTTTCCTTGACATTAATGGAAAATATAAACATTGTTTGAATTTAGTTAAAAAGCATTGATGTTTACTTCATACAGGAAGTCAAAAATATCTTAAACAAGTTATAGTTGTGAAATTTTTATTTTTTTTATTTTCAAAAATAATATGTTAGCACTTATTTTGTGTAGGAAAAAATCCCTGCAGACAAATTAAAAGATCCATACTTTATTACAAGTAAAAATCTCAAAAAAGCAGTGAGTATCATGGGCGAGAAATACTAACATGCTTATATATGGAAAAAAGTGCTTCATGTAAATGAGCTCAATATTGGCTGAAATGTTATATATATGGAATGTGAATGTATTGATGTTTGTATGTAGTTTTAATAATATGAATGATGCTTGCTGTAATGTGTAATATGATTTGTTAAAGTTTGATATGTGTGGAAGGAAAATTAACCAATGTCCATTAATCGTTTTTTTTTTAATGGTTCAACATTCAAATCAAGTTTAGTCTGGCCTGGGCAGTGAATTCTATTTGATTGTGAATTGGCTTAGACAACCCTTTACACAGAAGTATAAAATTGCCTTAAGTTAGAGTTGCTGTTGTTTTTATGCATTAGACATCCCAAATTAAGTAAAGGTCATCTCTAGTGCATTTGATTTTTTTACCTCAATAATTTTCCTCAATCACATTTTCATGTTTCTGTTTGGTAATGTAAATAAATGGAAGATGTCAGCACTCGGCAGTGTTGATAATTACAAATATTACGAGAGTGTAGAGTAAACGGATAACCCTCCTCGGTGTTTGTCTTTATATAATAATGTCATTTGTCTTCATTATGTAGTACAAGATGTAATTATATTGTCATTATATACAACAATTTCAATAGGTATGACTTGTATATTTTTAATTAACTAAGGATTGCGTAACAAAAGAACAGTAATTTGATCCACCAAGTAATTATGAAATTGCTACAGTTTTACTGCTTACCATATATTACGTTGAAATTTTGTTTCTTAAACAATAAAATGTTTGTATAAGGCTTAAAAAGAATTATTTTCTGTATAAGGCTTAAAAAGAATTGTTTTCATGCAATTTTATTTCACATATCCTCATGATGAAATTTTTTTTTAAATAGTTACATAAGGCTTGAAATGCATGGTACATGTTAACATTAAGATTACATGTGTTCATCACTCTTCAGAGTATATCATTGTCTGTGCAAACATTGTTCTTACCAACCACTTTCTACTGACAGGATATTTTGAAAAACTAAAGAATTACATAGTTAAGTTGTCATAATACCATCAGCTGGTAGTTCATAATAGATTATGCATTTGGCATGTTGGAAACAAACTTTGACCATTTGGCAATTCAGAAATAAATATTGTTTATGCCTAAGAAAAACAAAATGTTTAATACATACTGTTGAATAGAAGATTGCTTACAGGAACATTCTCAGAATTCTAGATTTTTGTCGCCTTGACGGAGTCAAAAAGCGAGACATAGGTATGCTGTTTCCGGCATCGGCGAAGGCGGCGTCAACAATGTATTATTTTGTGATTAGGTCTAGTTCATGGTGAACCACTAGTGGTAGGTCAGTGATATTTGGTCTGCAGTTGTATTAGCATTGGCATATCTCATTACCATGGAGATTGTTTGGCCCCGCCCCCTCAGTCAAGGTCTATTGACTTTGAAACTTTTCTTAGTTTACATGTATTAGTTTGTGATTAGGTCAGTTTATGGGGAACCACTATGGTAGGTCAATGATATTTGGTATGCAGTTGTATTAGCATCGGCACATCTCATTACCATGGAGATTATTTGGCCCCGCCCCTTCAGTCAAGGTCTATTGACTTTGAAACTTTGCTTAGTTTTCAAGTATTAGTTTGTGATTAGGTCAGTTTATGGAGAACCACTAGTGGTAGGTCAATGATATTTGGTATGCAGTTGTATAAGCATTGGCATATCTCATTTCCATGGAGACTATTTGGCCCCGCCCCCTCATTCATGGTCTCTTGACTTTGAAACTTTTGCTTAGTTTTCATGTATTAGTTTGTGATTAGGTCAGTTTAAGGGGAACTGTTAGTGGTAGGTCAATGATAATTGGTATGCAGTTGTATAAGCATTAGCACATCTCAATTTGATGAAGAATATTTGGTCCTTACCCCTCAGTCATGGTCTATTGACTTTGAAACTTTTACTTAGTTTACATGTATTAGTTTGTGATTAGGTCCGTTTAAGATGAACCACTAATGTTAAGTCAATGATATTCGGTATGCAAATGTATTGGCATTTGCAAGTTTCATTTCCATGGATTATATAGCCCCACCCCCTCATCATGGTTCATTGACTTTGAAACTTTTACATAGTTTACAAGTTATGTTTGTGTTTAGGTTTGTTGAAAGGGAACGACTTATGATAAGTCAATGGTATTTGGTATGCAGTTGTATTAGCATTGGCACATCTCATTTCCATGGAGATTGTTTAGCCCTGTACCTTCAGTCATTGTTCATTGACTTTGAATATTTGCATAACTTACATGTAAAGTATTGCTATTTTAATTTCAACATTTGCATTATCAAAATAACAAATAGGCGAGACATATCTCTGTGTTAACAGTTTATGATATGACTGTTATAGTCCGTACAAATTTTGTTGTATTTATGTTGTCCCTCTGTCTGCTGCCCACACCTCGTACATTAAATACTAGAGAATGTTGAATCATATTCCACGAATCTTGTATGAGATATTTGAATCAGTGGAATAAAGTTCAGTTTCAATTTTGAAAATTTGTCTGTTTGTCGTTCTAGAGTTAAAGGGACTTTAACTGTCAAAAGTCCCTGTTAGATTTAAGACAATCTTTCAACGATTAATATGCTTAAGAATATCCTGCTGCCACTTTTTCTGCAGGACCATTTTACTGACTTCTAATTTAAAGCCTTCTACAGTATTCCATTTTATTCTTGCAACAATTTCAATGTGCATGCTGCAGTTGGATGGGCGTATCTTACACTCCTGGCACTGCTGTGTATTACTTTTGTATGTCATGTTAAGAAAAGTTGTAATTTTCACATGTGTATTGATCATACAATTTACTTTTACCGTTTTATTGATTTTGGATTCATTAAATTGAATTCTAAATTACAAACGCAATACTAAAATATTTTTTTTATTTGATGTTGTATTAAGCGAAAGATGACAACAAAATAAACAGCAATTATAAAACTAAGAATTAAAAAAAAAAAAACTAAACCAACGAAAATCCTAAAATTATCCAAAATCTTAAGGAGAATACTTACAATAAAAACCCTTAGTAATTACTGTATAAAGAGGGGAGGGGGGGGGGGGGGTGTTGAATTAACTATGAAAATATAGCATGTGTATGAAGTAAAGTGTCTGCATGTTGTCTTTGTTTATGTTTTAAAGCAAGAAAATAGTACACGAAAGGTATGTATTAGACACTTCACCCTGTGTTACTAGCTTATATTATGTTCACTTTATGGTCAGCTTTGTATTATATGTATATAGATTAGAACATTCATGTACTCCAGATTTTATTTTGTTACACATAGTGTAGTTTTATCAGGGTCATTTTTACAAACATGTCTGTTTAGTCTTTACCATATCATAAAATATTTGAAGGGTAGTTAAACACCCTTGAATTAAATTTCAGACAAGGAACTCAATTCAACTAGAGTAGAGTTTGTTGATATTATTCTTTGACAGTTATTTAAGGCCAGTAATATCAATTAAGGGAAACTTGTATGCCAATAAGAATGCAAGAATTTTTGCCTGTGATCCAGTATACAATAAATAAGAACTATATCGATCACTATGAAATCAAATCATTTGTATAGGTCCACAATAGGCTTTGTCAGTATGAGACAGGAATAAATGCACAGATCTATCGTTACATCCAACCTATATTTTCCCCAAAATTCACTTTAATATTTGGAAGGAATTGACAAAAAAAAATTTGTAGCAGGTGTAGTTGTTTTTATTTATATTTTTATGGTGATAACTAACACTTTCAATTATTTTTAGAGGCGAAAAGGATAAGCTTATATGGTTAAAACCCTCCCTCTTCCTTCCAAGATAAAAAATGACCTTTTTCAAGAAACATTTGGCATGGCATCACATTGTCCTTTTATAGGAATCCCCTTTTTATTACCAATAATTTGTTTATTCCACAAAGTATACAGTCGTTACGAATTTATGATACCTACCTTTTGATTGAAATAATTGTCAATCTAAAGGTAGAAATGTTCCCTTGTCTGCCTGTAACCTGCTTTTTATACGACCGCAAAAAAATTTTGTGGTCGTATATTGGTATGACGTTGGCGTCGTCGTCGTCGTCGTCGTCGTCCGGCGTCGTCGTCGTCGTCGTCGTCGTCGTCCGGCGTCGTCGTCCGAATACATATTGGTTTTCGCACTCTAACTTTAGTTTAAGTGAATGGATCTTTTTGAAATTTGACCATAAGGTTAAATACCACAAAAGGAAGGTTGGGATTGATTTTGGGGGTTATGGTACCAACAGTTAAGGAATAAGGGGCCAAAAAGGGGCCAAAAATGAGCATTTTCTAGTTTCCAGACAATAACTGTGGAACGGTGTATGGATCTCTCTGAAATTATACTACAAGTTTCCATACCACAAAGGGATGGTTAGGATTTGCTTTGGGGGGTTATGGCTCAAACCGTTTAGGAATTAGGGGCAAAAAAGGGGGAAAAACAAGGTTGTCCTGGTTAATGGACAAATACTTTAGTACAAAACATAATTTAAAGCAGTGTAAGGGAGATAAATCAAATACATCATTGAAATTATCTCCCTTACACTGCTTTTAAATTATGTATAAAGTAATGGTTAATGAACAATAAAGATAATCTAAAACAGTGTAAGGGAGGTAATCCAAATACGTTTTGGTTACTTCCCTTACACTGCTTTTAAATTATGTTTAAAGAAATGCATATTTATAAAGGAAGACCAGTAAAAATATCTGCAAATGTTTTCATCTTTTTTTTTTACAAAAAAATCCATATGAAAGATTTGACACTATATTTTTATTAATTCTATTATAAAATAGATTAAGTTAGCACTATGGTAAATTTAAATGGGTAATTATGGTTGCCAACTCCATTGGAAATTTGAATTGAGATTATGACCATATCTTGAGGGAAAGAATTTTTTTGGGGGAAAAAGGGGGGGGGGGGGGGATAAAAAGAAATTGTGGGGGGCCAATTTTTTCTCATTTCAGATTTCAGAAATTAAAAAGAATTATTCTTCAAATATTATTTTTTTTTCAAATTTCAAATATTGAAAAATTTCAAGAAGTAATCTTTAATTGCACAGTATGGCGCATTAGATTTGTAAAATCTTTGATCACATTTATTTATTTGTTATGCCGAATCTAACAGTGTATTTAGATTTTTAATTTTGGGTCCAGTTTTCAAATTGGTACGTCTACATTAATGTCCAAAGGGTCCAAAATTAAACTTTGTTTGATTTTAGCAAAAATTGAATATATGAGGTTCTTTGATATGCTGAATCTAAACATGTATTTAGATTTTTGATTTTTGGCCCAGTTTTCAAGTTGGTCCAAATTGGGGTCCAAAATTAAACTTTGTTTGATTTCAACAAAAATTGAATATATGGGGTTCTTTGATATGCTGAATCTAACCATGTATTTAGATTTTTTATTTGTGGACCCCGTTATCAAATTGGTTCATATTGAGGTCAAAAGGGTCCAAAATTAAACTTTGTTTGATTTCATCTAAAATTGAATTATTGGGGTTCTTTGATATTCCAAATCTAACCGTGTATTTAGGTTTTTAATTTTGGATCCTGTTTTTTAAATTGGTCTACATTGAGGTCCAAAGGGTCCAAATTAAACTTAGTTTGATTTTAACAAAAATTGAATTCTTGGGGTTCTTTGATTTGCTGAATCTAAACATGTGTTTAGATTTTTGATTATGGGCCCAGTTTTCAAGTTGGTCTAAGATAGGGTCCAGTATTTAAACTTTGTTTGATTTCAACAAAAATTGAATATATGGGGTTCTTTGATATGCTGAATCTAAACATGTATTTAGATTTTTGATTATGGGCCCAGTTTTCAAGTTGGTCCAAATTGGGGTCCAAAATTAAACTTTGTTTGATTTCAACAAAAATTGAATATATGAGGTTCTTTGATATGCTGAATCTAACCATGTATTTAGATTTTTTATTTGTAGGCCCCGCTATCAAATTGGTTCATATTGAGGTCAGAAGGGTCCAAAATTAAACTTTGTTTGATTTCATCGAAAATTGAATTATTGGGGTTCTTTGATATGCCAAATCTAACCGTGTTTTTAGATTTTTAATTTGGGTCCCGTTTTTTAAATTGGTCTTCATTGAGGTCCAAAGGGTCCAAAATGAAACTTAGTTTGATTTTAACAAAAATTGAATTCTTGGGGTTCTTTGATATGCTGAATCTAAACATGTGTTTAGATTTTTGATTATGGGCCCAGTTTTCAAGTTGGTCCAAGTTGGGGTCCAAAATTATACTTTTTTTGATTTCAACAAAAATTGAATATATGGGGTTCTTTGATATGCTGAATCTAACCATGAATTTAGATTTTGTATTTGTGGGCCCCGCTATCAAATTGGTTCATATTGAGGTCAAAAGGGTCCAAAATTAAACGTTGTTTGATTTCATCAAAAATTGAATTTTGGGGTTCTTTGATATTCCAAATCTAACCGTGTATTTAGATTTTTAATTTTAAGTCCCGTTTTTTAAATTGGTCTTCATTGAGGTCCAAAGGGTCCAAAATTAAACTTAATTTGATTTTAACAAAAATTGAATTCTTGGGGTTCTTTGATATGCTGAATCTAAACATGTGTTTAGATTTTTGATTATGGGCCCAGTTTTCAAGTTGGTCCAAGTTGGGGTCAAAAGGGTCCAAAATTAAACGTTGTTTGATTTCATCAAAAATTGAATTATTGGGGTTCTTTGATATTCCAAATCTAACCGTGTACTTAGATTTTTAATTTTAAGTCCCGTTTTTTAAATTGGTCTACATTAAGGTCCAAAGGGTCCAAAATTAAACTTAGTTTGATTTTAGCAAAAATTGAATTCTTGGGGTTCTTTGATATGCTGAATCTAAACATGTGTTTAGATTTTTGATTATGGGCCCAGTTTTCAAGTTTGTCCAAGTTGGGGTCCAAAATTAAACTTTGTTTGATTTTAACAAAAATTGAATATATGGGGTTCTTTGATATGCTGAATCTAACCATGTATTTTGATTTTGGACATTGGACCATAATAGGTAAATTAAAAAAAATCAAGTTCTTAGACCACATTCTTTCTGTGTCAGAAACCTATGCTGTGTCAAATATTTAATAACAATCCAAATTCAGAGCTGTATCAAGCTTGAATGTTGTGTCCATACTTGCCCCAACTGTTCAGGGTTCGACCTCTGCGGTCGTATCAAGCTGCGCCCCAGCGAAGCATTTTATTCACAAGTTAAAATTATTATAGAGTATTTTTTTTAAATAAATAGAAAATGTGTCCATGGGACACAGATGATGCCCCACTTGCATATAACGTTATAAAGGGACATAACTAGAGAACTGTGAAAGGGACGCCACCCAAATTCGAACTTGATCTGTGTATTATGGTAATGAGCATTGTGTATAAGTTTCAAACATTTGGTTGAGGCAAATAAAGTAAGAGAACGGAAACCAACATATGGACGTACAAGGGTAATGCTTAATGACCCCTTCGTCTAGCGGCGGGGCATTCAAATATCACAATGATTATTATAATTGATTTCAAATCTTCTTAACCAACGAGTACATAACTCCTAGTAAATCATGCAGATACAGAAAGAACAAATAATCAAATCAAATTCTCTCGTGATTTAATTTCTTTTTAAAGAAAGATATATGGAGGAAAAGGCATTGTTATAATATTTAATGGTTTGTATTGTCACCAGCTTATTTGAATTCACATGGTTTTATATATAAATTTGAACACACTTTAGAGTAGCTTCACTTATTCATTGGTAAGAGGCTTTATTTACAAAAAACTGTTTTATGCTGATACAGTAACAATTGTCACAGGTTGGTGTGACCAGGCAGTGTGACAAACCCAAACAGCTGTAACTTCAAAAAATCAAAAATGAAACTATGCACAAACATATCAATATTTTAATGACAGAGTCTTGTAATTTTGACAGTTATGTTCATGTTTTGAAGATTATTTTTATGACCCTCCCACAATTATGGTTAATCAATAACTTGTTTCCTATTTGAAAAAAAATTATCACCAAGGAAAATCACCAAAGAACCAGCATTCATGGAAGATATTACAGAGGACTTAAGTAGGGTACCTCCCTTATGTCACAAGATCATGTTTCAGAATTGCCAGGTCACTTTTCAACAAATAAAAATTAAATCTGTATCGGTTTGAACATTTTTAAATGCACAGGTTCTTTTAAACTGAGACATCAGGTCACCCGCCACACTATACAAGGTTGCAGGTCGGATTTGACAATGTTGTCTCCACATATTAGGGATTCAGGCAGGTTTCATGAGGTGTCAGGTTATTTTAGAGAAAATATGACAGAAAACAGGGAAATGGTCCACAACAAGATCTCTTGTCTGCCTATAGATCTGTTCTGACTTAATTAAGATCAGTTTACCATGTCTAATTAGGATACATGTTTATACAGTGATTTCTTGTGTCTGTTATCTCAGTGTATGGATGTTGTATTATAGAGTTTCATACGGTTACATTATTCAAAAATTCAAAAACGAAGTATACATAAGTTGAACATAACTGATTAGATTATTAGATTTAATTCCATTAGATAATAAATTATCAGTTCCCTTAGACACAGGAGTTGAAATGTTACAATAAACTTGTATGCAGCAAACAAAACAAAAAAAAAATGAAAATGTGATAAATCTTTTTAGATTTTACATGTTATGGTTAATTTAATCATTATAGTTGAACTTTTTTCCCTTTTCTGCAGAACTTAAATATGTGATAAATAGATTATAACATGTCTTTTCCATATTGACCCAGGTATCATCCCTCAACCCATATTGGCCCTCGACTAAAGCCTCGGGCTGATATGGGAGTCTCGGGATGATACCAGGCCCAATATGGAAAAGGGCATGTTATAATCTATAAATATTTAATTGTGAACAGGTTATATAGAAATACGTTATATTTTTACTATACCAACCTATAACACATTATACACAAGTTTTCTTACATTCAACCAATAAGTACAGTGTTGGGGAATATAAAAATACAAATTGCATGATGTGTTCTTGAAGAGATATTACCAATTTTTATTTTGTCATTGGTTTATTTTTTGTTTGCAGAAAATTAAAAGATAACATTTATTTGGAAACTAGCTTAACAACCAAATGAAAGTGAATTAAATGCTTTGTTTTCATTTAAAACCCAAGCCTGTTTTATGATAAATATGGAGTCCACCTGCTTTTTTTCCTACCAACTACATGTATTTTGTTAAACCTTTTAAGTTTTTTGACATGCCATAAATTAACCAATATCCTCAAGGACCTTGCATAGTTATTTGCTTTAGAACACTGTTTACATACTATTGAAAAGTGTACATAAACTCTGTTAAATTTCAATAATATATTACATCTACTCTATAAAGGAAAACTCAGTTACTTTTCGATTGTATGTGCATAACAGAATTTTTTAAATGCAATTAATAGTACACATTGTCCCCATATTAAATGTGTGAAGTAGCTTTGATAAAAAATAACAGGATATCTGTCACAATCAGTGTTTATGTCAAGTTGGTGTGATATACAAGTTCATGATTCAGAAGAAAAAAGAAGGAATTTTTATTTGTTTGCTTTCAGATAGTCTGTATTTGATATAATACATGTAGAATTGAAGCAAAAAATATCAATACTGATAAATTAAATAAATAATAATTACATAAAGATCAATAGGTACTTGTCATCAAATATTTAATGGATTTGGGTGCCACTGTAAATAGGGAAAATTCATTTGGAATTTATTTCTGTTTACTATGTTGAAGTTTGTCCACATTTATACACATCACTTCCCAATATATTCCATTTTTAAGCAAAAATGGAATCTACCTTCATGAACTTAGAAGTATACCAGTATTACTATTTAAGAAATGTTTTATATTGTTAATTTCTATTTTTAGGCACTTGATTATGCAAAGAATGTTCCAAAGCCAGCAGTGAAAGCTCGTCCAACACAATACAATTCTTATGAAGTTGCTTCACAGTTATCTCCCATTGTAAAAGCAGGATCTACGGGGTCAAAGTCACCAACACATAGTACACAGAATGTTGATGTTGTAGATCTGAAGAAACTTCAACAAAGACATGAACAGGAGAAGAAAAACATAGCCATGATGAGATCAAACATGGAATCAGTGCCTCAGAAGGCTTAATATAATTTATACTGTTATACTTGTTTATAGTTTATATAAAAAATCTATTTAATAATCTGTTCTATATTTTATTTTATAAAAAGCAAAGAAGAACAATATGCAATACATGACTTTATGTATTTCCTTTGTCTGATCTTACAACATGACATAGTTGGTTTTATCTAAGATAGGAAAAGCTATACTAGATTTAAGTGCAGACAGAAAAAAATGCCTGTTTGGTATTGCACTTTTTTCTTGAAACTTTCTTACCAAATACAAAAATTATTGTTAAAAAATTGATAAATTTATATATTTATTGTGAAACTGATATAAGATATAAACGATTTTAACATTCTCAAATTTTGCAAAGTACTCCTGAGAAAAAAAAACCAATGAAGAGATGAAAAGGTTTCAGTTCCAATTCTTCAGTGAAAGTAAAATGTTCTACATTTGAGCAGAAAATCTTGCAAGGATATTATTTGAATATGTGTTTAATGTATATTTATATATATGTATAATATATAGACAGTAGAGACCTATTTATAGTTATAGTATTGTCTGGGTGGAGAAAATATCTTTTATGTAACCTTTTTCAAAGTTTTATCATTTAAAGTTTTTTGTTATCAGCCTAGTTTTAGACTGAAAACTGATTTATTCCAAAGTGCCACAAGAAGAAATCTATATACTTATATATTAACAAAGTTTTTAATCACAAACTGGAAGTTTTAATAGGTAGTTTTCACATGAAAAAGTTTATAACGAACAGACAGTAGGCTTTAGCACTAACAGTAATTAAACATCATTTACTAAGATAATGAAAAAAATCAGGGGATAAAATTTTCTGGGTTTTTTTTGTATCTATTTCAAAAAAAATATTTTAAAAGGATTATAATAGTCACAGAATATTTAAAAAAATATGTAAGTAAATATTTCGTATAAATCTTTCAAAAGACTGAAGATAAATTACGAAGGTCTAGATCCTAATTGTGTTTCAATCTCATACCTCCAACACAGCATTTATTATATTTTTACATTTAGCAGTCCCATAAAACTGACACTTGTTTCCCAACAGAATAGGACCTCATATCTATTCTTTACATCCGTCCTATTACACTATTGAATAGAACCTTTGATCCATGAGTCATAGCTGTCCAATTAGTGCTGTACATTATATAACCCATATCGAAGCATACTGTGATATATTTTAATATTGTACAAATCATTATTAGAATTACGTTTTATTAAAGTGTCAAGTTTTCATTATTCATTATTATATTTGTATATTTGAAAAAAATGTCTTTATTGCCATTATTTTTATTCCAAGTTTATTCATATTGTATAAACCTGTCTTTATGAAGTCTTAAAAGTATTAAGCACATTTGTAATCTGAATTGTTTTCTGTAGTGTTATGTGATATGTTTGTTCCCTATTTGTCTTAGTTTTTCATTAATATTCCTTCATTTTGATGTAACATTCAACTAATCAAAATTTAAGTGACATTAGTTTTTATTTTACACACATAGTAAAATAACATTCTTCATTGCATTTTGTATATATTACCTATATGCATTCCAAAACATAATTGTAACTTGTAAGCATATTTGTTCAAGTACCATCAGAATAGTTCATCAATAAAGGTTGATTTGTTTTATGAATTAAAAGAAACATTATATAATTGATTTCTATTGATATGATAAATCATCCTTTACTATTTATTTCATATAAAATCCACAAAATATTATTTATTGAAGCACACATAAAAAAATCTTATCATTAGCCTTTTCACCCTTTGCACTTTTAATTTGCTCAAAGACCTAATATGAGTGATTTGAAATGTCGTGGGAAATGTCATCCCTGTATTTTATACATTTGTACTTCATTTATTATATGTATAAAATTATTACACCTTTTATAGTTATGCCAGGAATTAGTGGATATGTAGAAGATCTCTTAATATATATTTCTGTTTTTTTTGGGTGGTGGCAGATCTATGAATAACAAATCGTTCTACTTTTGTTGTTTGTTCAAAACATAATTTAAGAAATATTTAAATTGTTTATCATTTTTTTTTTTTTTTACATCTTTGGGAAATTTCTGAAATTAATTGAAACTCCTTAATGCAGTTATTATTTATTTGAGTTGTTTTAGAAAAAAACAAAAATTTTGTTCAGCTCTTGATGGTTTTAATTTCTTTCTAAGATGTGAACACTTTAAATTGACTATTAAAACAACAAAAGCACTGACACATTATGTTACCATCAGTATTTATATATTCACAACTTTTGTAAATCCTATTTGATGTATGACTAGAACTGTAGCTTTGAAGATGGATGTCAACAGAGATATGTATTCAGAAAGAGAATTAAACTGTTACATATTATAATGTCTTGTCATTACTAAACAATAGGAAATGTTGGATGTATATTAATGAGAAAGTAGGGAGTCTTGGCTGAGTGATCTAAGTAGTTCATCTACAGTGGTCATCAATGAGAAAGTAGGGCGGCAAGGCTGAGTGATCTAAGTAGTTAATCTACAGTGGACATCAATGAGAAAGTAGGGCATCTTGGCTGAGTGATCTAAGTAGTTAATCACAGTGGACATCATTGAGAAAGTAGGGTGTCATGGCTGAGTGATCTAAGTACATTTTGTAGTTCATCTACAGTGGTCATCAATGAGAAAGAAGGGTGTCATGGCTGAGTGATCTAAGTAGTTCATCTACAGTGGTCATCAATGAGAAAGTGGGACGTCATGGCTGAGTGATCTAAGTAGTTCATGTACAGTGGTCACTAGCCTGTCACACTGATGTTGTGAGTTTAAACAAGGCTGATAGTGTGATAGGTATGACTCCCATCTTATTCTCCTTGAAAAACCCATCATTCATTGATTGATTTGGCTGTACAAAAAAGAAACTCCTAGTGATGAAAAAACATGTACCAATACTGAATAATGACCCATATTGTCAGAGCAAGAAATAATAAGTACAAAATTATGTCAAAAACAGATTACTGAAGCACAAATATTGATTTTATTTGGTTCCTATATACAGAAGAAAAAAAATATGAGAAACTGAAGACAATGTGTGCACATTGCAAATAAATTATATCTGGTTATTTTGGGTTTATAGTTCTAAAACTTAAGGCTAGTATTATAGTAATGCAGTCAACATTGTCCTCATACAATCTTCTTACAAACTATTATTTCAGAAGAAATAGATTAGTTGATATTGAATATATATAATAATACACTGTGTGTTTAGTACTGGTACATATATTTTCATCTCTAGTTAATCAGTGTTCTCCCTACAAATTTCATATAGCATCCTGGTAAACAGCGAAACCATGAAATATCATCTTGTTTCTAGAATTTATAGCATCACATCCAAAACACTATCTATAAGGGAATCATTTCTAATACTATCACATTCAAGTAATATATCATCACATTACCATGATGCTAAAAGGCCTTTGGGAAAACACTGAGTTTATTTGAAACAAAATTATCTTCAGCTTTACAAGTTCTATTTTTCTGTACTGACCAAATAAAATTACTATTTGTGCTTCAGTTATCTTTAATAAACTGACAATGACATGTCAAAAAATGAAACAAAGATCAAAAGACAAACAACAGTATACAAAACACAACTAAACTAAAGACTGAACAACACACACCCCACCAAAAACCAGGGGTGCTCTCAGGTGCTCTGGAAGGGTGAGCAGATCCTGCTCTACATTTGGCACTCGCCATGTTTCTAATGTAAGTACAAATGCTGTGATCAGTTGAAATTTGGTGGGTTATATTTGAGGAAAGGAGGACAGATTGTGGTTATGACTATTGGAACATATCTGTCATCATCTGTGTATCAGATATTCCATGACGGTCAACCAACTCGTGATGGTGTCCATAAAATTTTCAAAGGAATGATTTCAACTTCACCACTTGGAAATCTTGGTTCAATAGCTTCCTTTTGAGCAGTAACCCTCTATCAAGGAAATGCATGCTCTGGAATATTGTATCAACTGGGAGATATATACTCCATATGCAGGCACTGCAGAATATTGCTACACAGAAATGAAAAGTTCACTATTGGGAAGCTAATCTCATCTCTTTTGAAATGAAGCATAATCAACAAATACTTTGTAAACTGTTCATAATTTTTTATACTGAGATTGCATTATCTCCCTTTGTAAATTTGAAAAAGTTGGGGAAATAAACCTTGCTATTAATACACTGTTTCTACTGAATTTGTTCAAGCATAAGATACCCATGAAAACTTGCTTTAAAGCATAACCAACAGTGTATGGTTATTTTTATGTGTTGAAAATTTTGGATCAGAACCTGTCAAAAATGAAAACAACTTTATAATTTTCATGTGACCAAAGTGCTTTTCTGGATTAACCTTCATCAGGAATGCTCAGAGTTAAATATTTGAAAGCAAGGATGTATAAGAGCTGAAACAGTTGAAGAGCTATATGACCAAAAAAGACTTAAAAAATGTGGATAGTTTCAACATGTGGACACAGATGACCCCCGCTTGCATATCATATAGTTATAAAGGGATATAACTGAAGAACAGTAAAAGTGACACAACCCAAATTTGAACTTGATCTGAGTTTTGTGGTAATAAGCATTGTGTGTAAGTCTCATAACATTTGGTTGAGGCTAACTTAAGTAGAGAACAGAAACTAAAAATTCAGCAATTTTTCTATTTGTAAACACGCATAACTCTAGAACGGTTGTGTATAAGTTTTATAACATTTGGTTGAGACAAGCTAAAGTTAGAGAACGGAAACGAAAAATTCAGCAATTTTTATGTTTATAAAGGGACATAACTCAAGAATGGTAAAAGTGTCACCACCAAATTTCGTACTTAATCTGTATTATGTAGTAATAAGCATTGTGTATAAGTTTCATTACATTTGTTTGAGGCAAACTAAAGTTAGAAAAAGGAAACAACAAATTTGTACTTGATCTTAGTTTTGTGGTAATGAATATTGTGTATAGGTTTCATAATGTTTGGTTGGGGCAAACTTAAGTTACAGAATGGAAACTAAAAATTTTGCAATCTTTCAAATTATAAAGGGGCATAATTCAATAATGGTTAAAGTGACACTACCCAAATTCAACTTGATATAAGTTTTATCAGTGGAAGTCAAAATTAAACATTGCATTGTATAAAGCATTGATTGTAGTTGATTCAACTATAATCATGGACAAAGGAAGATAACTCCAATTTTAAAAATTACTTGATATTTAGAAGAAAATAATTATTTTTTAATTTTTCCATTTATAAACGGGCATAACTCTAGAACGGTTAAAGTGACGCCACCAAAATTCAAACTTGATCTGTGTTTTGTGGTAATAAGCATTGTGTAGAAGTTTCATAACATTTGGTTGAGGCAAACTTAAGTTAGATAACGGAAACTAAAAATTTTGCAATTTTTCCATTTATTAAGGGCCATAACTCTAGAACGGTTAAAGTGACACCACCAAAATTCAAACTTGATCTGTATTTTGTGGTAATAAGCATTGAACAGTTGAATATAAGTTTCATAACAGTTGGTTGAGGCAAACTAAAGTTAGAGAACAGAAACCAATTTTGGGATGTACGGACGTATGTTCATAACGTACAGACGGACAAGGGTAAAATTTAATGCCCTCTCAGCTATAGCGGGGGCATAAAAAAGTTTACCTAAAGCTATTGCTATAGCATGTATAGTAACAGACATGACCATGGAAAATCTCAACCAATGGTCAATGGGCCATGAAATTGAGGTAGAGGTCATATCATACCTGCCAGACTGACACGCATGACATCTACACCTTGCAATCATCCCATACAATTACCCTGAGAAACGCACCTAACCCAGGAAAAAACATTGACCAACCAATCATGAAAATGAGGTCAAAGTCAGACAAACCCTGCTAGACAGACATGTATACCAAATACAGTTATCTATTGCTTTTAGTATCTGAAAAACACACCAAAACCTAAAACTTATCATTGATCAATAAACCATGAAAATGAAGGTTTTAAGGCCAGATGAAACCTGCCTGACTGACATGTACACCTTACAATTATTCCATACACCAAATATGTTTGACCTACTGCTTATAGTATCTGTGAAACGGACCTATTAAATGTAACTTTAACCTTGATCACTAATCGATTAAATTTGGTTGAGGTAAGGTGCATCCTGTCTGATGGTCATGTAAACATTGCAAGGATCCCATATATCAAATATAGAAATCAATTTCTGGTAATAAGAATAAGAGAAAATATCAAATGACAATAAAATTCTGTGCTGGGCGCAGCTTGATACGACCGCAGAGGTCGAACCCTGAACAGTTGGGGCAAGTATAGACACAACATTCAAGGTTGATACAGCTCTGAATTTGGATTGTGATTAAATATTTGACACAGCATAGGTTTCTGACACAGAATGAATGTGGTCTAAGAACTTAAACAATTTTAATTTACCTATTCAAACCATATCATTATTATTTGCTTTTATATATAAATCAGAAATAACCAATTTAAAATGGAAAATTTTAAAGAAGAAAAATATCCCCCCCCCCAAATTTTTTGAAACCCCCTTATGATTCATCACCCCCAATCTCAATCCCAGCCTTCCCTTTGTGGTATGGTACCTTGCAGTACAATTTCAGAGAGATCCATACTCTTGAACACAAGTTATTGTCTGGAAACTAGAAAAATGCTAGTGTTTATGCCCCAAATTCCTAAATGTTTAGGGCAATTACCCCCAAACTCAAACCCAGCTTTCCCTTTATGATATGGAACCTTGTAGTTCAATTTCATAAAGATCTATACACTTACCGGTAAACACAAGTTATTGTCCTGAAAGTAGAAAGATGCTTGTTTTTTGCCCCTTTTTGCCCCCTAACTCCTAAAATTTTGAGGCAATCACCCCCAAAATCAATCCTAGCCTTCCCTTTGTGGTAGAGTACCTTGCAGTACAATTTCAGAGAGATCCATACACTTGAACACAAGTTATTGTCTGGAAACTAGAAAAATGCTTACCAGGTATTTTTGGCCCCCTTTTGGCTCTTATTCCTAAACGTTTTGGGCAATTACCCCCAAACTCAATTCCAGCTTTCCCTTTGTGATATGGAACCTTGTAGTACAATTTCAGAAAGATCCATACACTTACACACAAGTTATTGTCATGAAACTAGAAAAATGCTTGTTTTTTGCCCCTTTATGGCCCCTTATTCCTAAAATTTGGAGGCAATTACCACAAAAATCAATCCCAGCATTCCCTTTGTGATATGGAACCTTGTGGTACAATATCAGAGAGATCCATACACTTACACACAAGTTATGTCTGGAAGTTACAATAAAATGCTCCGCTGGGCGCAGCTTGATACAACTGCAGAGGTCGAACCCTGAACAGTTGGGGCAAGTATGGACACAACATTCAAGCTTGATACAGCACTGAATTTGTCTTGTGTTTAAATATTTGATACAGCATAGGTTTCTGACACAGAATGAATGTGGTCTAAGAACTTAAAATTTTTAATTTACCTATTCAAACCATATCATTATTATTTGCTTTTATATATAAATCAGAAATAACCAATTTAAAATGGAAAATTTTAAAGAAAATAAAATGCTCCGCTGGGCGCAGCTTGATATGACCGCAGAGGAGGAATCCTGAACAGTTGTGGCAAGTATGGACACAACATTCAAGCTTGATACAGCACTGAATTTGGATTATGATTAAATATTTGACACAGCATAGGTTTCTGACACAGAATGAATGTGGTCTAAGAACTTAAAATTTTTAATTTACCTATTCAAACCATATCATTATTATTTGCTTTTATATATAAATCAGAAATAACCAATTTAAATGGGACAATTTTAAAGAAAAAAAAAATCCCTCCCCCAAATTTTTTGAACCCCCTTATGATTCATCACCCCCAAACTCAATCCCAGCCTTCCCTTTGTGGTATGGTACCTTGCAGTACAATTTCAGAGAGATCCATACACTTGAACACAAGTTATTGTCTGGAAACTAGAAAAATTCTTGTTTTTTGTCCCTTTTTGGTCCCAAATTCCTAAACGTTTAGGGCAATTACCCCAAAACTCAAACCCAGCTTTCCCTTTGTGATAAGGAACCTTGCAGTACAATTTCATAAAGATCCATACACTTACACACAAGTTATTGTCCTGAAACTAGAAAAAATGCGTGTTTTTTGCCCCTAATTCCTAAGATTTTGAGGCAATTGCCAACAAAATCAATCCCAGCCTTCCATTTGTGGTATGGTACCTTGCAGTACAATTTCAGAGAGATCCATACACTTGAACACAAGTAATTCTCTGGAAACTAGAAAAATGCTTATTTTTGGCCCCTTATTCCTAAACGTTTTGGGCAATTACCCCCAAACTCAATTCCAGCTTTCCCTTTGTGATATGGAACCTTGTAGTACAATTTCATAAAGATCCATACACTTACACACAAGTTATTGTCCGGAAACTAGAAAAATGCTTGTTTTTTGCCCCTTTTTTGGCCCCTAATTCCTAAAATTTTGAGGCAATTACCCCCAAAATCAATCCCAGCATTCCCTTACTCATTGGAACCTTATGGTACAATGTCAGAGAGATCCATACACTAACACACAAGTTATGTCTGGAAGTTACAAAAATGCTTATTTTTGGCCCCTAATTCCTTAACTCTTGGTACCATAACCCCCAAAATCAATCCCAACCTTCCTTTTGTGGTATTGAACCTTATGGTAAAATTTCATAGAGATCCATTCACTTAAACCAAAGTTAGAGTGCAAAAACCAATGTGTCTTCGGACAACGACAACGCCAACGTCATACCAATATACAACCGCGGTCGTATAAAAATGCTTATTTTTGGCCCCTAATTCCTTAACTGTTGGTACCATAACCCCTAAAATCAATCCCAACCTTCCTTTTGTGGTATTGAACCTTATGGTAAAATTTCATAGAGATCCATTCACTAAAACTAAAGTTAGAGTGCGAAAACCAATGAGGTCAAGGACAATGGACAAGTTTATGACAGACCAAAATTTATCTTCTTAACATAAGGCATCTATATTTACATGTATATACATTTTTGTACACATGTACAAGGTATGAAGCATCCAGATCTTTTACCTTCTGCAATATAAGGCTTCATATAAATAGTTTACATCGCTGCTCTCGCATTTAATGACTTTTGTTGCAGGCCAGACAAAAACCATAACATCAGATTAGATACAAATGTTTCTATGTTTAATTTGTATTACAAAAAAACAACTCAATTAGATACATGATCATAAATAAACATATTGATGCATGAATAATATTTTAAAACCTGAAAGACTAAAATGGCAAGTCAGTGCACAAAAACGTTATAATATGTACAATTCATTTATACTATTAATAAATCTTCTTCAGATTCTGTTGTCAAGTCTACATGACCTTTGGCCCCTGACAACTGAGGTGGCAACAGTGCACAGTTACATTTGCCCACTAGCGGAGCTATTCTGTCATAATGATTTCCATTTGTGTGACATAAGGTTATGTAACAAAGGTCAAAACAATCAACATCACTTTGTTTAAATCTTGGTGAAAAAAGCAACCAGCGATAGAATTTTCCAGAATGATCAGGTGATAACATATATACATCACGTTGCAGTAATGTTGCAGCACCGTATATTTCTGCTTGTGTTGCCCATGTCCCATCCTTCCTCATTGAAATTATATGAGATTGTATCGACTTCCCATCTATGAATTGTTCAAAATCTTTTGGATACTTTTCCATTAAGTCTACAACTGTTTGACGAAGTTCTTCATGACAAGTTTCTGTGTTGTATATCACTTTACTTAAAGCCCGGAAGAAACAGTTGCCATCACCACGAATATAATCAACTTGTCTCTCTTCAGGTTCGATTATGTCTCGGATCATGTCATAGGCTGGATAACTGGGTGTAGCCATTATTTTCCCATCAGAATCAGTATTTGACTTTAAAAAACTTTGCTTTTTGTCATCGATATAGATGGTCTGTTTTGCACCTTCACTTAAGCCAGCATTTCTTTCACCTGAAATTTTGCCACCATGGAAATCTTCGTCTCCAATGATATAAGATTTCTCAGTAGATCTATGCTTTGATGACGAAGGCATGTTTTTGTCCTTGTTTGCGACCTCGATATCATAGTCATAAATTTTGGAAAGATCATTTTCATACCGACTTGAAGAGGGTAATGCTGACATTATCCTGTCGTTTCGCTTACTACTTCTGTCATTTTCATCATCAGATAAACAAATTATACCATGATGTGTTCCAGATGACCTTGGCTGTCCAGGTCTTGATGAATGCCTTCGAATATTATTCGAAGTTGGTATTATACGAGAAGGATGAGTATTTGGTGGTGAATCTAATCTGCAGTCTGTCTCCACATTTGGAGATTTATTCCTAGTATTCATGGAATATGGTTGCGTACGAGGGTTGGAAGTTGATCGACCTCGCCTTGTCTTTACATCTGTACCATTGTTGTTTAAATTTCTGTTTACAAAAGGTGCTATATCACAGTCTGAATCATCAGAAAGACTTTCACTGTATATTTCATCACTTTCATCTGACAGATCAATATAATTATCACTATATCTCAGAGCTCTCCTCCTTGAACTGGGAAGAGTTTTATATTCTGGAATCCATGAATTTGGAAGACTTTTATGTTCTATTTTTCTTGAGTTTGGGAGAGTACTATAATGTTGAATTGGAATTTGAACTAATCGATCATGAGCCTCATGCTGAACTCGTCTGGTAGAAATAGGTTTAGAAAATTTTCCATTATTTGCTTTATTATAAAGTCTGTGCTCATCTGATTCCCAGTCTGATGTGGAATAAGGAGAAAAGTGTTCATCCCTGATGTACTTATCTCTTTCGTTATCAAACCCAAGTCTAGAAAATTCTCTTGGTAATGATGGTCTTGCTAAATTTTCTGTGACCGGATTCCAGATATTGGTACCAGTTTGGAATGATGGGTAATCGTAGTATCTCAACGAGGGTCTTGAACTGTCTGAATTCCAACTTTCCCTTGGCAATAGACGACTTGTGCCTCTTAAATTATCTTTATAAGTTCTCATTTTTCTGAAAATAAAAAAAGATTATATGACAAATTTATACTGACACATTGTTTTTGTATATATCAATATTGAAGAATTTTCTTTCTTTTTACTACTTCCTTTTGGGTTGGCAAAGTATAACCCAGGAGGGAAATCTGGGGTGGGAAAACCAGTTTTTTCCCAGACTTGGCTATATTCCCTGAAAGAGTAATACTGGGCAATATGATTTTTCAGGCTTATTTTTACACAGAATAGAAAAGAAATATCGTATTTTTAAAGTATTGTTGCTAAATATATATATTTTATACAGATATACAGTCATTTTCAGAGGATAAAAAAATCCATTTCTTCGTCTCCAATAATTCTATATAGACAGAATACAATTAAGTTTTGCACATTTTTACATGTAAAACTTTTCCAAAGTTTAAAGAAATAAATTTTAGTGTAGTCTGTTAGTGAGTTGTAAATTTAAATTGCTAAACATTAAAAATTTATATAGTTTACACATATTTTATTTGCATAAACACAAAATGGATAAGACACAAGCCAAACAGACTTATGAAGTAAAAATGTATATACTAAGTATACACCCTAAAGGGACCTGTCACACACACTTGTAGAGATGATAAGGCTAATTTATTAAAATTGCAATATAAACGTATCCATATTATAATCTGAATAATCACTTTTGTACTAGTAAAATACTATAAACACTTTTTAGCAATGAACAAAATTGTTAATATAAAGTTCATTTTCCTTACAATTATAACAATTGTTTACTATAAATATTAGTTAAGGAATGACTGATATATATATCTTTAATTTCTGTCTATGAAGAAATAACTTCAAAAATGTGGTGCACATTGAATAACCCCCATAGCAGGTTATTTTAAAGTGTGCACCTCATTTTTTAGGTTATTTCTTAGGTTATTTCATAGAAACTATTAGTATAATAGTCCCAGATGTAGTACACAAATCTTGATTCTAAATTTGAGCAAAAATATTTGCAGAAAGTGCTTTGAATGGACCATGGTTATACACCTTATCGCTATTTGGAAATCTGTCCCGCTTGAACTATTGACGTCATACAACAATCACTTTTCCATTGTGGAGTCAGATATTCTGTAATGTGATGTCAAAATTTTACAGGAACCTTTGTGATATCCAGTAATGGCGGACAAATAGCGATAAGGTGTATTAATTCTTAAGGAAATTTGATATATTGTCCTATAACCCTCTTTCCTTATCGAAGACTCAGTAACTTAAACAGACATCCTCAGTTCCTGTTCCAGAAATAATGTTTACCAAAAGTTGTTGCCTTTTAATTTATTTATCTGTTTTTTATAATTACTTACGGAATTATTGTCTGTACATTCCAATTAAAATTCAATTTTAATTTTACTATTCCTCTTTAAAGATTTCAGTATATAGTCTGATGTTCCACAGGTCTTAAGAAACTAACACTGATCTTGCGGTCATTGCTTATTAACTTATATAATACTACAGTATCCAGGTATATTATTGATAGACACATGATAGAGAGGTATTGACAAATGAATAATTATAAAATGTCTATAACTAAACAACTTACTAACTGTGTTCTCATGTGAAAGGTATTTCAATGTTCTGTCACGATCAGCAGCTTTATCTTGTATGAATCAGCCTAGTAAAGGGTGTAATTTTCGCGATTCGTGAATCATCCAGAACAACTGTAAACAAATTGTCACGTGGTTTATTATGTCCAAATAAATCCATATAAACTGCTTGAGATAGTTACAAAAAAGACTACTGATTGAAACGCTTTTTTGACGCAGACTGATAACAATGGTTGATGCGTCTTATTACCACAAACTCCATTCAATTGTACTACGGACAAAAAAGAACGCAATTATGACTTATGAATAGTAATTAGGAACTTTGGGACAGGACTATTTATTATAGCCCTCTCCCTTTTTTCCAAAAATCCTTATTTTTTTTTCTTTCTTTATTTTGTATCATTTTTGCACTTTTTTTTATGTTATATATTGAGATAAATATACCAGAAATAACATGTTTTTACTATCAATTTCTAGTTTACTATCAACCGATCAGTATTTTAAATCTTTTTTGCATTTTCTTTTACTTTTTATATAATATGTGTACATAAAAAAACAAAATTTATAGTAAAAATTTTAACTGTTTCTAATAATTGATAACAAATATTGATAAAAGAAAAAGCTGTCAAAGTGGCTTAATTTTGTATATTGACTGGCTACATGGTGCCACAAAATAAATCAATTGTTACAAGGTTTAAAAGACGATTAAAATTTGATAAATCTTCTTTTAAAATGCCAGTGTACAATTTTCTAAAATGTAAAATCCATGAATTCTTCTTTTAAAAAGAAACTTTCAATAATCTTATCTTGTACATGCATGTATATTCAAATGATTAACTAATTAATGGTGACTTATTGTCCAAACAAATTAATGAGTAGGCTACTTAAAGGCCTAAAAATTGAACTATAATACCATATCCCAGTAAAACTAATAATTAACCAACTTAATTTGCAAATTCAAAAAAACAACATTGTTTACCATTACTGTTGGTTGAAAAGACATAGTTGATGTAATACAGCTTCAAAACTATGATATTTTTCTAATTTTTAGGAAATTTTCTCTAAAAGCTTATTATCAATAACAAATTTGTTTATAGAAAGATGTATTTGGGTGAAATATACATTATAACAAAAAAATATGTTGGTCACATGTGCATGTGGCCTGAAATTTATGATTTTAATTATCAAAGTGTACAATTGACACATGATGTCACAGTGACATTATTATTGATTGAATGTTTCAAAACTGGATGATTTTGTACATAATATAATAATTATTTTTACATGATTTTTGTAACAATTTAAAAAAAAAATTAATAATTTTTTTTTTTCAATAATCGTGAGGGGGCGGACAGGGGGTACCTTTCTCCTTTCTCCCGCCCTTTCTCTCCTTTCTCCCACCCCCTCTTTCCTTTCTCCCGCCCCTCTTCTCCTTTCTCCCGCCCCTCTTCTCTTGTCTCCCTCTCTAAAACATGAAAAACTAATGTATAGGAAGCTCATTTTAAAAGAAATTGATCAAATATCTTGTTTTTTATGGCTCGTCCCCGTCTTGTTCTTTCACGAGATAGAAGTGTTGTTTCTTCTGCTTCAAGAATCTCAATAGATTTTTCACTAAATGTTAAGCTTTCTGTTTGCAATGAATTTGTAAGTCTGATGCACGCCGTTTCCCGATGTTTTTTTTTTCAAAATAGAAATCCAAATTATAGAATCGCAGGATAATGTTTGAAAATACGGGGAATTGTTGTGCCACTATTTGCAATTTCGTTAAGAAACCCATTAGTTTTAAAATGGTTGCTAAAAACGCTGCTTGCAAATTAGAAAAATAGAATTCATTAGGAAAAGAATAGTTACACGGATATAATTTAGCGAAAATGCATAGTACAAGCAGCCGTGGAAATTCAGACAGAAAATGGTTTGTTGGAATGGAATTAACAAAGAAGAATAATTGTCTCTGAACTTGGTTATTTTGCAGCACAACCTTTTCTATGTTCCAAGTGTAACCAGTTTCTGAACATTATTGGACTGTACAGAAAATATGGTTCCGGAAGCTTGTATAAAATAAATTGCCAACACTGTAATCGTATACGCGCTAAGCGTAGTTTACACAGGACAGCAACATCAGAATGAGGCAAAAGTTAACAAAGGCTTGACATTTTGGGATGTCAACACTTAATGTGCACCCGATGGGACGAAATAAAATTAGATCATTCAGATCCCGTTACATATTTTTCTTTCAATTTGGTATTTCAAAACAAATTATTTCTCGAAATTTACAATCACACGATTCATTAAAAAAACAGTGGCGAACAATAAATGAATAATCGGTGCTTTGATGAAGTTTAATCCAAAAAAAGCGCTCCGAACGCAAAAAAAATAAATTAAAGAGATACTTTTGTTTACATGCATGTAGTCCGGCCGCAACTACGCACTGGGCAACTCACACGTTTACATCATAGAGTAAATACTATATTAAAAATATGTATTATTTTATTTATCACTTTTACAACTGATGGAATGTTTTTATAAATAACATTTTTTGATGGTTGCATTAAATTAAATGTGTCTTTTAGACACAACTAATCAAATTGTATTGTATCGTCCTGATAATGCCTGAAATATTTGCCACTGGACAATTTGCAACCTCAAATCAATCAATTCAAACTACTTGAAAATCACAGTGTACTTAATCAAATTTTGAAAGCACTTTATCCTTGCATGAAAGTAGGGTGGCATTACCTTTGTCTAGTTTGATAGTGTTAAGTTGAAGAAATTTTTTTTCTAAGCTGAATGTGCACCCAGTTACATGTAGGTCGAAATAAAATTAAATCAGTAAAATTGATAAAAAATTTACTAAAACGGACAGAAGAAATGACAACAAAATAACAAACACCATTCAGATCCCATTACATATTTTTTCAATACCTCGGAGTAAAAATAACGTTACTCTACATTCAGTAACGTCTTCCCTTTTATGTCAAAATCTTTGCATATCAGTCAATTTTGAAGCAATTTGTCTAAAAAAAGGTTTTGATTTGATTTATGTGTTGTTAACGCCATTTTAAAGTACCGCTTTTGATCTATAATTTTAGTGGCGGCCAGTTTTGATTGGTGGAGGAAGCCTGAGTGCCCGGAGAAAACCACCGACGTTCGATAGGAAAACGGACACTCCTATAATGGTTTACTTTTATCAATTGTAACTTGGATGGAGAGTTGTCTCATTGGCACTCATACCACATCTTCCTATATCTACTCCTAGTCAATTAAGATTGGAGTCGAGTGCACCCGCATGAGCGAGATTCGAAACTCACAACCTCCGTGTTGACTGGCTAGTGATTACTACTTAGACCACTTGGCCACCGAGTCCCCCTTTTGACATGTGTCTCTATACATATAAAAAAGAAGATGTGATGTGATTACCAATGAGACAACTCTTCACGAAAGACTTAATGACATAGAAATTAACAACTATGGATAATCGTATGGCCTTCAACAATGAACAAAGCCCTTTCCGCATAGTCAGCTAACGGGAAAACTAACGGCCTTATTACTGTACAAAAAAATGAACCAAAAACAAAAATGTAACACAGCAACAAACGACAACCACTGAATGACAGGCTCATGACTAGGAACAGACACATGCATACAGAATGTGGTGGGTTAAACATATTAGCTGGATCCCCAACCTCCCCCTAACCTGGGACAGTGGTGTAACAGTACAACATAAGAACGAACTATAAGAATCAGTTAAAAAGGCTTAACTCATCAGATGGATACAAATAGAAATACATATAACAACAAATTGCTTCGCCGAGCACAGCTGGATACGACCGCAGAGGTCCAACCCTGAACAGTTGGGGCAAAAATGGACACAATATTAGCGCTTGATACAGGTCTGAGTTTGGATTGTAATTAATATTTGACACATAATAGGTTTCTGACACAGAATAACTGTAGTCAAAGAACTTAGAATTGGTTATATGATTTGAATTTATATTCAATATTTTGCTATTGTGCAATACACTATGATGTTGCAAATTGACCCCCACCCTTTTTTCACACCCCCCCCCCCTTTTCCAAAAATAAAAATTCTTTCCCTCAAGATATGGTCATAATCTCAATTCAAATTTCCAATGGAATTTGCATCCATAATTACCCATTTAAATACATCATAAAAGTTTTAAAATAGAAAATGACATACATAATCATGGCTAAAATTAATTAATAGTAACTTCTAAAATTAAATTGACAGCTAATCACACCAAAATAATACCATTACTTTATACATAATTTAAAAGCAGTGTAAGGGAGGTAATCCAAACATACACAACATTGTACTTTAAATGTGTTTGGATTATTTCCCTTACACTGCTTTTAAATTGTCCATTAACCAGGAAACCCTTGTTTTCTTCCTTTTTTGCCCCTAATTCCTAAACGGTTTGATCCATAACCCCCAAAGTCAATCCTAACCATCCCTTTGTGGTATGGAAACTTGTGGTATAATTTCAGAGAGATTCATACACCGTTCCACAAGTTATTGTCTGGAAACTAGAAAAATGCTTATTTGGGCCATTTTTTGGCCCCTAATTCCTAAACTGTTAGGACCATAACCCTCAAAATCAATCCCAACCTTCCTCTTGTGGTTATAAACCTTGTGTTTGAATTTCATAGATTTCTATTTACTTATACTAAAGTAATTGTCCGGAAACCAAATGTCTTCGGACGACGACGACGACGACGTGATACCAATATACGACCGCAAACAAATTTGCGGTCGTATAAAAACATAGAATGGACGAGGCCAGGTACTTGTACATCCCAACAACACAAAAACACCAAGTACAGATCTGAGGGTACTCGCAGTTACTGACAGCTAGTTCACAGCCACTTTCAACTAATAAAACAAAATCATGCATCTAAGACTAAATTATCAGTCAGTACACATTCAACATCCAATGGAATTAGTGTAAAGATGTCACAAACAGCAGAGAAAAACATGTCCTTGTGCAATGCCACGATATAGGACCTGTATCGTTGCATTGCACATGGTCATGTTTTCCTCTGTTGTTTATGACATCTTTACACGACCTGTATCGTTGCATTGCAAAAGGTCGTGATTTTCTCTGCTGTTTATGACATCTTTAAACTAAATCCATTGGATGTTGAATGTGTACTGAATGATAATTTTGAGGTATCGACAGATTGTAGATCTATGTAGACTCAGTATCATATCCTGTAAATTGTTAGTTTTTAGTCTTTCTCCGGATATGAGATCGTAGTGAATGAGTGACGACGCTCATAGTATTTATGAGGTCGTTTTCGTTACTACGACATTTATTTGCACTTTCATGAAGCTTTTTATTAACTAATTTAATAAAATAATTGTTTTCCAGCTCACTTTTATTAATATTTATATACATTTTGGACATTTTTGTCTCCCTTTTCAATTCCTTTTCTCCTTTCTCCTGCCCCCTCTCTCCTTTCCCCAGCCCCTCTCCTTTATCCCGCCCGTGCTCTCCTTTCTCCCACCCCTTCTCTCCCTGTCCGCCCCCTCCAATAATATACAGGAACAAGATTTTTTTAAAAGTCAAAATTTATTTCAAACTTACCTCAATTTAATTTATGTTTGAATGCCTCTTGTAATTTAATAGAAACACACCATTAGGGTTGTTCAGTTACTATTAGATTTAAATTTTGGGGCAACATTGGCAGGTCATCATTGACTTTGAAAGGTATTATAACAAAGAATTGCAAAGGTTAATTCAAGCTAAAGTTTGTTAAAATTCAAGCAAAAAACATTTAGTTTTTCAGCTGTCATACGGACCTCAAATCCTTATACATGTAATGACTCAATTCAAACCAAGATTTCAAAGGTACAGATAATATTACACTGAAAGCATATATGTTTGTCTCAATACTAAAGTTATGTCTTTTTATCGTCACAACACACATTTTAGGATTCTAGATAAAACGTTCAAATAGTGGCAACACCACTTCTTCCTAACATCTTGTCAACATTTTATTAATGGCTACATTCTCAAAATACTAGTTACACCCTGGTAATACCTCTGGCAACAATATCATCATATATAGAAAGATGCCTGACCTTAATTTTGTGGCAATAAGCAGTCATCCAATGAACTGGGAATGTGTAAAAAATAAATAGAGAATGTGTCTATGGGCCACAGATGCCCCCGTTTGTAAATATGCATGAGTCAACTCCCACATACAGATGCAGGATTCACGTAGTTAAGACCGTTTTGTGATTATAAGCATTGTGTATAAATTTTCATAACATTTGGTTGACGCGAACTAAAGTTAGAGAACGGAAATGACAGATTTAGCAATGTTTCCATTCATAAAGGGGCATAACTCATGAATGGTAAAAGTGACACAACCCAATTTCGAACTTGATCTGTGTTTTGTGGTAATAAGCATTGTGTATAAGTTTTATAACATTTGGTTGAGGTAAACTAAAGTTATTGAATGGAAACCAATTTTGGGGAAGTACAGACCGACGGACGGGACGGGACGGACAAGAGTAACACTTAATGCCCCCTCCGCTACGGCGGGGGCATAAAAACTGTGGTATACGATAAATCGATACAAATATGGGATTGGACACTTTTGAAAACTCTCGCTGTTATTCTGATAGGACAGGTATATTGACTATTCAATTTTTTCACCTTTAATCATTTATTCACAGGGTATAAAATATGAGATACATGTAGTTACAACATACGTGTATAATAAATTAATATAATTCTACTAAAATATTAATCCCTTTGAAACATGAGCAATTTGACCAGGATGGGTACATTTCTTGTAGCTATATATATGTATCATAAATTCTTTATTCTATTTGTAAGAAAGTATAAGCACTTTGTTTGAAAGTGAAATATAGATGTATATGAGTGCATGTAGTATGTTCTAAACAATTTGTAATAATCAAATTGTAAATCCAGTATTGAAAATTTCTTTTCTGTCATATCATTATAGATACATCGTGATTCCAACTCCTACATGCTTTGTTGGGCAAAAAATTAAAGTTGCAAATTGTGAAAACATATATGGGTGATAGGATTTTCCAGTCCAATATACATACTCAAAGAACTTCCAAGTTTGAACACATATAACTTAGACCATGTAATAAACACATCTTGATTCTGCAACTGAAAATCAAACTAAGATGAAAGGAACAATCATTTTATATTTTTGGTAACTTTATTATCCCTAATTAACTTAACAAGGACCATAATAAAGAAAATGATATTTGCAAATCTGAACCCCCAAACAGGATCATGTAAAAATTAAACATTAACTCACAAAACAAAAATAAAATACCACATAACAACTGTCACATCTACCTTTATAACACACATGACTTAAAAAAATAGTTATAAAGAAATTTTTGACAACTAATGACTAAAACTAATTGAACAAAATCCATATACTTATATTATGATTACTGGTTTATGGAAACAAGTTTGAGTTATTTCCCTTTGAACAGAAACTAATAAAGCAAAAAAAGTTCTCTAAAATTAGATATGATCTAACCACTAAAAAATTAAATAGTTCTCTAAAATTAGATATGATGTAACAAAATGTATATCTATTTTCAAATTATAATCAAATATAATTAATAGTTCCAAGTACTTTTTCTTTCATTTGTCACAAACTAATATAGATCTGCAACTTATCTATTATCTACACAATGTAATGTAATGAAATATACCCTTTATTAAAAATAGATTATTATCTAATTAAAAGAGTTCACTTCATCCAAAAAAAATTGTATATAGAGCATTCAGAAAATGAGTTTATACAGAATAACAAACACACCTACCACAAATTCTTCAAACAATTTACCAAAGAAAAGAAAAAAAAATCCAAAATGTCATTTATCATTAATACAATGTCTTTTAAAAATCTTTTAAAAAATGAATTATTTCCCTTTGAACAGAAATCTAGTAATTAATAAGTATTTCATCAAAAATTTAATTCTTGGGAAAGGGCTATAACTCAACAATGAGAAACGCTAAAATCGTGAAAATTGAACTTGACCTTCATTCAGTCACAGGAAACAACATATCTAAATTTGAAAAAATTTTGTCAAAGGGTTTTTATGTTAGTGAACGGACACTGTTTGGCAGCCGCCCACCAGTCCGCCCATCCGCCTGCCGTACATCCACAAATCAATAACCGATTTTTACTTCGAAAATCCGGTTAATAAAATGAATTGCATCTCCTGCAACAAAACTATATATGTATGAGATGAGAGTTTTTTTGCTCAGTGTTGAAGGCCTCACTGTGACTTTGAGATGAATCAATGTCTGTAATCAAGAATCTCTTCAGGAGATATCTTTGTTTCTTATTACATGTCTTTTGAACATTTAGAAATTGATCGTTAACAGCAGATCTTTGGTAATATAAGCTGGATTCATTTAAAACTTATTTTTGAAATTAGTTGTAGAGCTTGTAAAAGTAATATAAAAACCGGAATATAAAGATAAGAAGATGTGGTATGATTGCCAATGAGGCAAACAACTGTCCACCAGACACCAATTGATGAGAAGTTAGTAACAACAGATCACTGTACTGCCTTCAACAATGAGCAAAACTCATACCACAGAGCAAGCCATAAAAGGCCCAGAAATGACAAATGCAAAACAAACGAAGACTATTCTGACTTTTTAGTTTAATTGCACTGTTTGGTTTCTGTGTTATCAATGTTTCCCCAATATTTCATATTTGTGTATATTTATTTTCTCTGTTTGATTTTTAATATCTTTCAGGTGGTTAATTAACTTATTGCTTAAAGATGCACATGTCATAAAGTTCAGTTCACATTTATAAAACTTTGGTCACTCAATAAAGTGCACAAAGTACTAATTGCATAGATGTTACTATATAATCAAAGAAAACAAGACATTTTTAGTGTTGTACAAAAATCTTTTATTTCAGCTTCTCTCTTTATTATGCATAAGACATAGGACTAAATTAGGAAATCGAACATACTTATCATCTACATAATATTTTTTTTTTAAGTGGATAAAAATATGAAAGCAGTTGATTTTTCCCCTATGAATGTAAATTTTTATAACGGAGATGATATGATTTAGGGCTGAATATTGTATTTGCCAATTCCCATACTTGACCCAGTCTTTAGAGATCCTTTTTTGTCTTCCTTAGGAGAGACATAAATCATCATTAACAATGGAGAGGTAGCAGAAAGAGCATATTTATCTCTGTATGTAATGTGTGAAACCATTTTGTTTTTCAAATCTTTTAATTACATTTAATTTTTTGTTAAGGTAAAAACTTTATACCACTGGTTATTTTTCACTAAAAATTGGTTAAAATGCTTATATATCACTTTCAACTTATCAACAATTTTGTCTGGTATAGAACCAGTATATGATTATCAAGGGGAAGCAATTTGTGTGAAAAGTGTGCAATAACAGAATCAAATCGGTAATTGGCAAATGGAATATATTGCCCTAATATAAATTATTCAAATTTGCAGAATTAATGTTTTATTTTTGTACATTTGACCTGTCACAAAGCAAACACTTTTATAAGAAGAAATAATGGCTTCCATTTTTTATTCATGAAAGTTTGTTCATCTGATTATGGATAATATTCTTCTGCTGATAAACAGTGACACAGTAATTCCTTCACATCAGTTAAACTTGAATTCACAATCAACATTACATAAGCATTCAGCAACAAAACATTGAAGATAGAATACATATATCTTCTATACATTTTGGGACTTTATCAAGAAATAACATTAAAAGAACAAGAAATGCTTTCTAAATTTCACAATAATCAGATAAAATTTTAAATTTTACATACAAAACTTAACAATTAATTTTTCCCAAATTCTTCGAAGATCTGATTTATCACACTTTTGTACCAATTCCACAGCCATTTGACATTAAAATCTTTGTTTAAATCATTCTTTAAATCACCATCCAAATAGTTTTTTTTTAATCTATTTTCAGCTTTTTTTGTCTTAACCACTTTTCACATTTCTTCCTGTGGTAGACTTGTTACAGAAATAAGCATGCTTGTTAACAGTTGGCCAATGCCAGATGATAGATAAAATAATTTTACAAGTAATAAAAGAACAGAGTTCTAATGTCCCCCCCCCTTGCACATATTTTATAGACTGCTGAAATAGATCTTTGATTATCTTGTTAAAGAAAATAAATTACATTTCAAACAGACCTTCAGGGGCATTACTTATAGTATAGTATAAGTTTTATAAAGATCTGGCAAGAATTGTACCTGTGAGAGCACTAACGAGGCCATTTTCCATAAATTTAATATTTCCAAGGGGCATAACTCTTTTAAAAAAAAGTCGATTGACCACCATGATAGAACTTGTCCAAGATATTGCTGTTATATTAACCTATAGTATAAGTTTTATAAAAATCTGGCAAGAATTGTACCCGTATGAGCGCTAACGAGGCCATTTTCCATAAATTTAATATTTCCAAGGAGCATAACTCTTTTAAAAAAAAGTCGATTGACCACCATGATAGAACTTGTCCAAGATATTGCTGTTATATTAACCTATAGTATAAGTTTTATAAAAATCTGGCAAGAATTGTACCCGTATGAGCGCTAACGAGGCCATTTTCCATAAATTTAATATTTCCAAGAAGCATAATTCTTTTGAAAAAGTCGATCGGACACCATTATAGAACTTGTCTGAGATATTACTGATATTAACCTATAGTATAAGTTTTATAAAAATCTAGCATTAATTGTACCCGTGAGAGCGCTAACGAGGCCATTTTCCATAAATTTAATATTTCTAAGGGGCATTACTCTTTTAAAAAAAGTCGATAGGCCACCATTATAAAACTTGTCCAAGATACTGTTGATATGAACCAATAGTATAAGTTTTATAAAAATCTGGCAAGAATTGTACCTGTGAGAGCGCTAACAAGACAGGACAGACAACCAGTGTTTCTATGTCCCCTACAACGCGTTGAGCGGGGGACAAAAATAACAATGATGAGAATTTGATGTATTTTATTGACTTTGATATACCTATGTAAACATTCTTTAGTTGAATTGAAGGGAGACAATTCCACCAAGAACTTAGCAAAATGATTTAACTGATGCCAATGAATGTTCATTATCAGACAGCCAAAGGAATTTCAACCAGGTTCAGTGTAGTCAAATTTAAATTGTTTTTTATTATTGAAAAAAATAACAAAATTTATAATTCAGTAAAAAAGTAAGACTCATTGGACTTTTAAGGCACCTTTTTTAAGTGTCCAAATAGAGATCATTCTGACAAAACCTTCTGATATCCTATAGCTATTAAAGGGTTTATTTTTCATTGTGATATAAATCAAGAATGTCTAGTTTGATTTAAGGTTGAGACTTGCAACTTTTTGAGAAGAAAGTGTTGTTTCATCACGTAAAATACAATGTAAATTATGAAGTACCGGGTATTCTTTCTTTATCTTCACAAAAGTCCTCCTTTGATTACTGTCACCTCAGGGGAGACAACTCCTCTCACATGGCAAATTTCATGATACATTTAGAATATTTTATCATTCAATCTCTCAACAGAGCCCACCACTGTTATGAGGACATTTCTATTGCAGACCTCAGAAGAAAGTTTCAGTTCTAATAATAAAAGTTTTTATAGATTACAAGCTTTCAAGTTTCCTCTAGTGTATAGCATGATAAAATTACATCCTCCAAACTTAATGTACAGAAAAATGGTTAAAGCTTCTTTCTTGAAGCGGATTATTTTTGTTTTGATTCATTGGTGAACTGTTCCTGAACTGAAAACTTATGCATATATAAATATATCATAGCTGTACAGTTAATGATGACTGTTTCATAGCATTATAAATATATGTATTATTAAATGGAATAAATTGTTTTGTTATGATTTTAATAGCTTCTTGTGCTGCAGCTCCTCCTATGAATGATGAAATTGTGTGTAGTTCTGCGGCTCCATATCGACATCTACAACAAGAAATTTATATTTATATATATATATACAGAGAAAAAAACATTGTAATGCATTTTGCATCTTTCTATATTTTGTTCTAGTTAGTTCATTTGCTATCTTACAATCCTTATTTTACTCTACACCTATAAATGTACGATATAATCCCATATGAATTGTGATCAGTTTTTGTTTTGACTCTCAATCTCAGGATGACCAGGAAAAATCATTGCTCATTGTTGAAGGCCGTACAGTGACCTATAGTTGCTTACATCCACATCATTTGGACTCTAGTGGATAATTGTCTCATTGGCAATCATACCTCTTCTTATCTTTATATAGAACATACAGTCTATAGCTGTAAAAAGTGAAATATTTGAAGCAGTTCACCGTTGCTTTTGTTGTGACAGATCATCTTCAAAATATAACACTACTAGATATTTAACAAAAATGGTACATATCCCAAATTTATATAAAAATATGATATAATATCTTCTCAAATAGGGATTTTAGATTGGGAAAATAACATTGCACTAAAATTGCCTGGTAAACAGTTTTGCTTGTTCATGAGATGAGATTCTTGTCATATCAAACAATTTTTACAGTGTACACAATGTAGTGAATAGACTAAAGCCAGACAGACTATTTAAATGGAACAAGAGTGCACACGCTGAAATGTCTCGCCTTCTTTACTAATCATTGATATTATGTTGATAGTTCTAAATATAAAGCTTTATTACAACTGTCACATAAACTTAACATTAAGCAAGTAAACTAAACATTGACCAATGAACCATGAAAATGAGGTCAAGGTCAGATGAACCATGCTAGGCAGGCATGTACAGCTAACAATTCTTCCATACAACAAATATAGTTGACCTATTGCTTATAGTTTAAGAAAAACAGACGAAAACACAAAAACTTAACACTGAGCAATGAACCTTGAAAATGAGGTCAAGGTCAAATAAAACCTGCGTGACTGACATATAGATCATAAAATATTTCCATACACCAAATATAGTTGAACTATTGCATATAGTATTAGAAAAAAAGACCAAAACTCAAAAACTTAACTTTGACCACTGAACCATGAAAATGAGGTCAAGGTAAGATGACACCTGCCAGCTAGACATGTACACCTTACAATCATTCCATACACCAAATATAGCTGACCTATTGCATGCAGTATTAGAAAAAAAGACCAAAACTCAAAAACTTAACTTTGACCACTGAACCATGAAAATGAGGTCAAAGTCAGATGACACCTGCCAGCTAGACATGTACACCTTACAATCATTCCATACACCAAATATAGTAGACCTATTGCATACAGTATAAGAAAAACAGACCAAAACACAAAAACTTAACTATAACCACTGAACCATGAAAATGAGGTCAAGGTCAGATGACACCTGCCAGTTGGACATGTACACCTTACAGTCCTTCCATACACCGAATATACTAGACCTATTGCTTATAGTATCTGAGATATGGACTTGACCACGAAAACTTAACCTTGTTCACTGATCCATGAAATGAGGTCGAGGTCAAGTGAAAACTGTCTGACGGGCATGAGGACCTTGCAAGGTACGCACATACCAAATATAGTTATCCTATTACTTATAATAAGAGAGAATTTAACATTACAAAAAATCTGAACTTTTTTTTCAAGTAGTCACTGAACCATGAAAATGAGGTCAAGGACATTGGACATGTGACTGACTGAAACTTCGTAACATGAGGCATCCATATACAAAGTATGAAGCATCCAGGTCTTCCATCTTCTAAAATATAAAGCTTTTAAGAAGTTAGCTAACGCCGCCGCCGCCGCCGCCGTAGCCACCGCCGGATCGCTATCCCTATGTCGAGCTTTCTGCGACAAAAGTCGCAGGCTCGACAAAAATGACGACCTATAAAGATACACACATTCACAAGATCAAACAATGACATCTACTTACATCTCATGTATATAATCATCTTTAATTGATGTAGGATTTAGTCCCCAGTCATGTAATATCTTCTGTACTGATGTCTGAAATCATAGAAAATATTTTATAAAATAAAAGGAGATGTTGTGAAAATAAAAAAGCAAGCAAAAAAAATCAAAAGTTCAACAAAAATATGCATTTACTGGTATCCATAGCTTTTAACAATATATACATGCTATAACACTCTAAATTGCCCCAAATCCAGATAAGATGTGATTGACAAATTTCATAAAAAGACAGCAAACAAAGTCTCTTCTTTCTTCAGACAGAAAAACCTTTCCAGAGAACCATTTAGATTAAATCTGAACAACAATTTTTTAAAAACAAAAACTACCTTTAACATAGTGACATCTGCTTCTACTTGGTCTTCATAAACACCAGGATATCGATTATATTCCTCATAAAATTTATCTACGCCTCTCAGTAATACATAAAATACAAAGTCATCATCATCATTGTCCTCATCACCTAAATGTTGAGCTGAAGAAAAAAAAATTTGTAATAACCAAGAGATTTAGATACTTATAACATTCTTATATTGTAAATTCAGAAATTATTGCGTGCATTTATTATTGCGATTTTGTCATTTTAAACTAAAATGCGATTTTAATTTTTGCGATATTGAGAAAAATCCTGTTTAATTCATTTAAAAAATTTCAAAATGCGAGTTTAAATTATTGCGATTATAACCCTGTCGCATTTTTCGCAATAATAAAAACATCGCAATAATTTCTGAATTTACAATATATGAAATAAAATATCAAATGTTAAAGCATTGGTAAATATGATACTCATATTCAAGGTGTATCATAATGAATTATGAAAGTCTACATATGTCAGCAATATACTGTCACTTATGAAGCAGTAACAGATTTTCTATAGGTTTGATTTAGAAAACCATCTTAGGATTTTTATCTTTTTGCAACACAGCACTTTATAATATATATAATAACTACACAAATTATTGGAACATTACAACCTGTACATTTTAAGGTCAATTTACAATTAAATGAAAGAATTCAAGAGTTGAATAATAAGTACAAGTCCATAAATTCCTGTTAAAATAGCTACTCAAACCATTTTGGTATTTCATTTCATTAAGTTGCAGTATCAGTGACATATATATACTATCTATATTTTTTTCATTTTTAACATAAATGAGTAAAATGATTGGGGATGTTGATACACTCAAATTTTATTTCCACATACCAATGACATAAATTTATGTAAATGTTTTGGTGTGGTAAAAAAATTTCTTTACAGTAATATAAACCTGGCAGTGTAAAAGGTGAAACTTTTGATTTGTTAAATATGTACATTTTTGATGATGTTAAAGCTAGTGTGCTGGAATTCATATTACCAATATATAAGACGAAAAATATAACAACATGTACATTCTCCTTTAAATTACATTATTTGTCATTAAATACCTATTTCTTGTAGATTTGCTGTTTTGCTATTGTATTCCTCTGCTAAACTTCTGGATCTAAATACTCTTAAAAATGCAGCATTTTTACCTGAAGCAAATAGAGGTCCTGTTATTTGTTGTGAACAATTGAGAAAGAAAAGGAAAAAATTCTCCATATCTTTAAAAATATAGGTCACATAATGCATAAAGTTCAACTCATCATTGTTTTGAAATAAACAATTTCTCTACAAAGCAGCCATCTCATATGAATAAAAGGAGATGTGGGGAATATGTAAAGCTGTGACATCAGTCCAGTTGCACCACAAGAGTACACATGCTGAAATGTCTCACCTGCATTACTTATGATAGAATTTATGTTGAAGTCTGTATTATGAAAGTTTTACTACAAGTATCACATAAACTGAACATTATCAATGATCCATGAAAATGAGGTCAAGGTCAGATGAACCATGTCAGACATGTTCACCTTACAATCATTCCATACACTAAATATTAATAAAGTGGTCCAATTGCTTATAGTACCTGGAAAACAGACCAAACCACAAAAACTGAACACTGACAAATGAACCCTGAAAATGAGGTCAAGGTCATAAGAACACTGCCAGACAGACACGTACACTTAACATTTATTTCATTCACCAAATATGGTTGACTGTTGCTTATAGTATTGGATAAACAAACAAAACCATAAAAAATTAACACTAACCATTGAACCATGAAAATGAGGTCAAGGTAAAATGAAACCTGGCAGACAGACATGTAACTACACCTATTATGCATGAATCATAAGTCTTCATAAAAATATTTTATGTCAGTAAAATTACGACAGCCTCTATCCTGCTACACAGAGTTATGAAACAAAATTAGTTTTTACATGACAAATTTTGAATTTCTTAACTTTCGACTTGTAACTTGACAAATTTCTATGATATGACAGAACAGCCAATAATATGAGGACATTTCAAATATTTTATAAAATGAAACAGTAAAGGCTATCTATCATCAATACATGGTGGTCAGTGCTTGATTTTCTTATGAAATAGATTCTGATTTTACTTGCTGGCATTGGCAACAACTGTCATCATCAACGATGTTTCAAGTGGCACAGTATGTTGTATTGTAAAAATATTAAATAAACTACCGTTTAGTAATGGAATATACAAAAGGGACTTAATGCATACAATTTAATTGCAGGTACAGGTAAAATTGACAAATTGCATAATAATAAATAATTCCAATTTTAAATAATATCCTGTTAAAATATTCAGTTATACTTACAAAATAATTTGATATCATGGTCTGATATGCAGTTTTCCTGTAAAAAGAACATCAAAATTTTAAGTTACAAATTCAAAGTCAACATAATGAATCAACCAATGTACAAAATGTGCCTATGAGAAAAATCTGTATTTATCAGAAAAATTTATATTATTGAGAAAAATCTGTAAAATTGAGAAAAACCTTAAATTTATTAAAAAAATCTATTTACTTCTATCATATTTGAAAGTGTAACAAAACTAAAGGCTCTAAAGAGCCTCTGTCGCTGACCTGCACTTTCAACAATGGGCACTTTTTAGTAAAAACCATCATAAAAGGGGAATAACTCTATTAAGAGTTAACTGACAATTTCAGTCATGTTGACATGGTTGTAGATCTTATCCTGCTGAAATTTTCCTTTTAAAGTTTCTATTTATCTATTATAGTTTTCAAGATAATAGACAAAAAATACATAAAATTATTAAAAATTATCATTTAAGGGCAATAACTCAAATAACTAGCTGACTGAAGATTTTGGCCATTACGGCACATTTGAAGATCTTGTCTTGCTAATCATTATGTGCTATATAAAGTTGAACATTTGTAGATCTTGTCTTGCTGATCATTTGTGCTATATAAAGTTGCACATTTGTAGATCTTGTCTTGCTGATCATTATGTGCTGTATAAAGTTGCACATTTGTAGATCTTGTCTTGCTGATCATTTGTGCTATATAAAGTTGCACATTTGTAGATCTTGTCTTGCTGATTGTTTGTGCTATATAAAGTTGCACATTTGTAGATCTTGTCTTGCTGATCGTTTGTGCTATATAAAGTTGCACATTTGTAGATCTTGTCTTGCTGATTGTTTGTGCTATATAAATTGGCACATTTGTAGATCTTGTCTTGCTGATCGTTTGTGCTATATAAAGTTGCACATTTGTAGATCTTGTCTTGCTGATTGTTTGTGCTATATAAAGTTGCACATTTGTAGATCTTGTCTTCCTGATCATTATGTGCTATATAAAGTTGCACATTTGTAGATCTTGTCTTGCTGATCATTATGTGCTATATAAAGTTGCACATTTGTAGATCTTGTCTTGCTGATCGTTTGTGCTATATAAAGTTGCACATTTGTAGATCTTGTCTTGCTGATCATTATGTGCTATATAAAGTTGCACATTTGTAGATCTTGTCTTGCTGATTGTTTGTGCTATATAAAGTTGCACATTTGTAGATCTTGTCTTCCTGATCATTATGTGCTATATAAAGTTGCACATTTGTAGATCTTGTCTTGCTGATCGTTTGTGCTATATAAAGTTGCACATTTGTAGATCTTGTCTTCCTGATCATTATGTGCTATATAAAGTTGCACATTTGTAGATCTTGTCTTGCTGATCATTATGTGCTATATAAAGTTGCACATTTGTAGATCTTGTCTTGCTGATCATTTGTGCTATATAAAGTTTCTATCTATCTATTACAGTTTTCAAGATAATAGGCAAAAATGGGGAAAATCGTCATTTAAGGGCAATAACTTCAATAAGGAGTCACCAAACAATTTCGGTTATGCTGACTTATTTGTTGATCTTGTCTTGTTGCTCATTTTTGCTTTTTTAAGTTTCTATATATATATATATGATAATTTTTAAGATATTAGACACATATGAAAAAAAATGAAAAATTTGGCAATTTTTCCATTTGTAAAGGGCATAACTCTAGAACAGTAAAAGTGACGGCACCAAAATTCAAACTTCATCTGTATATTGTGGTAATAAGCATTGTGTATAAGTTTCATAACATTTGGTTGAGGCAAACTTAAGTTAGAGAATGAAAACGAAAAATTTAGCAATTTTTCCATTTGTAAAGGGGCATAACTCTAGAACGGTAAAAGTGACAGCACCAAAATTCAAACTTGATCTGTATTTAGTGGAAATAAGCATTGTGTATAAGTTTCATAACATTTGGTTGAGGCAAACTAAAGTTAGAGAACGGAAACCAACTTTGGGACGTATGTACGTACGTACAGACGGACAAGGGTAAAACTAAATGCCCCCTCCGCTACGGCAGGGTCATAAAAATTGGTAAAAATTCATAAAAGGACAATAACTGTAAAAAGGAGTCGTCTGACAATTTTGGTCATGTTGACTTATTGGTAGATCTTGTTTTACCGATTATTTTTGTTATTTAAAGTTTCTATCTCTCAATTACATTTTTCGAGATAATAGGCAAACATTTTTTAAAAATGGTAAAATTTGTCATTTAAGGGCAATAACTCCTATAAGTCGTCTGACAGTTTTGACTTAAATGGACAATAGGTAGAGCTCAACATTCTGAACATTTATGCCCCTGTCAGATTTTCTCTATAGCGGTTTTCAAAATAATAGGCAAAACTTGCATTTTACCGCTATGTTCTATTTTCAGCAATGTCAGCCATCTTGGTTGACAGCCGGGGTCATCAGGCATATTTTTTTAACTAGATACCCTAATAATGATTGTGGCCAAGTTTGGTAAAATTTGGCCCAGTAGTATCAGAGGAGAAGATTTTTGTAAAAGTTAACGGACGACGAAGAAGGACGCCAAGTGATGAGAAAAACTCCTTTAGCCTTTCGACCAGGTGAGCTAAAAATAGATAATAGAATATTTCAATGACTACACATTCTAACAGATATACCTAGACTTAATGGTTGTATGAAAACATGAATCAAACACACCTAAACAAACGAAGGAATTCTCTAAATCACATTTTCAATTTATTGGTGTACTGCTTAGTTATTCATGCATTGGAAATTTTTGAAATTATTCTTGAACAAGAGTGAAATGCCAAACCCCACTACATTGTATAGAAATTAACAAAAACAAAACCATTTACATTTGTCACTATGAATAGATTGATCTTCATATTACACCTTAACCAAGAACTCTCCTAAAACTACCTCAAGCCTTTCTTAAAAAGTCATATGCAAAAGTGAAAATTTGACTATAGAATAATTATTTGACTTGTATTGACCCCATATATATATCTATATATACTTTCTACCACTACATTGAGTGTGATATAATATTTCTCCACTCTAGACAATAAAATTTCAAATTTAAATACTGTAAACAAACTTATTTTCTCAAATGATTTATTTTTGCGACTTTTGCGAGTGGAAAAATAACGTGAAAAAAATAAATCGTCATGAATATGACTATTCCCTAATATAAATTGATCAGGAAAATTTAAAAATTGCAAACAAAATCGTGGCATAGTCAGATAAAAAGTGCTGAACGTGAAACAAAGTATCAGGGAAAATAAGTTGGTTTACAGCATGTACATTAATATGATCAACTGGTCCTGGAAAGTATAAATATAAAGTACATTTGTACTTCCTCAGAAGAAGTATTAATAATGTATCACATTTCAATTTTAAAGTTTAATTACTGCTTTTGGAAATGACCTTTGTGAAAGGACTTTTAAAAATTTATTATACAAATGTGCAGATATTCAGATAAAAATAGTTATCAATTCTGGCCAAATAGTATACAATCAGGCTGGAACTGCACGGTAAGCTAATGAGGTTTTTTGAATATGAAAGTTTGATGAAACAGCATGACTCATACAAATACTTAAGCAACATCAGTGCAAAACAATTGTTCAGTAAGTGGTGACTGACACAATAAATAAGCTTTCAGGACAAAGCTTCCATGCCTCTGCAAAGAGTCCTTATATTTAAATGATTTCTTTATAAACTTTAGAGTTAACAAATAGTTTGACAAATACAATCTTTTTAAATACATTTACTATTTAAACAGATTCATCTGCTGTTCATGCTCAAGCTTAAGAAAAAAAAAGCTGCACATCTAACCTCATTTCTAGGGCATTCCCTGTTCAGTTAGGCTTATAGTTTATTTTTAACATTTAATCAGTATTTAGCATTTGATTTAAGAAGTTGCAAAAACCTGCAGTTTTTCTATCAAAAGAAGGAAAATAGTGAAAAGAAGAGTATATGCCACCATAACTGTTCTTAGCTATCTCATTCTACAAATAAGCAATCTTTTTATGAGTGTTTCGGTAATCTTTCCCGGATTAAATTTGAAAACAATAGTCCTACAGTTATAAATGAAAGAACCAAACATTCAGAAGATACACAACTAGTTTATAAAGGTTAACATACAACTGGTTGACCGACAGATCAGACACAGGACAAAGAGAAAGTACTTTTGTCAAATGTTTACATATTGTTAGATAAAGTCATTACTTAATTAGATCAGTAAATATAAGTAATTCTCAACATCTAATTTACTATAAAATATTCTGGAAGATTTATCTACCTGAATAAGTACTGACTGTTTAATGTTGATCATGATGTGATATAGACAAATATCATTATATACTGTAAATACAGAAGTTTTTTTGATTTTTTTTATTATTATAAAAATTGCAACAGGATAGGTTTGCAAAATTAAAAACTTGCATTTTAAATTTTGACAGCATTATTGTTTTATTTGTATGCAGCATTCATTGAGATCGCAATAATTAATCTTGCTTTTGCTTCCATTGATCAACAATCACAAAAATAAAGGAATGCAAAAATTTCTGAATTGACAGTTAATGTATATCATGTTCAAACACAGTTAAAATATCCCTTGTGTGAACTTTTATATTTTATATTTAGCACTTTAGATATGCAGCTTTTTGTTCATAGCAACTATAAAAATATCATTCATACTGTATAACAAAGTGCAACTGGACCATTTGGAAAAACAGAACTAGGAAGTTTTACACAAAATATATTTCTCTTTCATTTACTGAAAATTTCATAAGGGCAGATAAAATTGATCATGTTTAATAAGGATTAAAAAAATCATTTTAAGTCAATTCCTGAAAAGTATACTATAGGTATCTTAGAAACCAGATGGTTGAAACAGTTTTCTTTGAAAAATCAGTCATCTTTGAAGGCAGACAGAATTATCAAACATAATATCATTATTTACTGGATTTTTTCAATCAATTTTGTTTAACAAATATCATTGACATTTGGTATAATTTCAAACAAATGTTTTAACACAATAGAATAATTGAGGTGCTAAAAGGTGAAAATTGATAAAAAAAATATATCATGTATACATATATTTCAAATTATCAAAGTAGTGAATATTTTATCCTGCAGGCTGGTATAATTGGACACATTTGTTTAAACAAGACCCGTAGAGGAAGAGGTCAGCAGTTATGTTTTACTACTATTTCTATTTATAGAAAAGGTTGCAGAGTAAGTTAAACAATTCAATTTTAGTCTTCCAAGAGAGAATTTACATCTTTTGAGTTGAAACTGGTCATGCAGTTTTATAAATAATTGTGGATTCATTGAATGGACAACAGGTGACAGAAAAGGGACACAAATAACTGGCATTTTGAAATAAAATTATTACTTGAAAAAAATTTGTTTTAAAAATAAACAGAACAATTTATTGTATTACAATTACTTTAGAATATACCAAATTATATGGTCTATTACTGTAGAAATTAAGGCAGTCTTTTAAAACCTGTACCAATGAGGAGCCACCTATCTTCAAAGTTTTTAAAAGACTTGCTTTATTCCTATAAAGAAAATTTAAATGTCCCCTCCTCCCCCCTGCGTATCATTGTCTTTTTTTTCAGATATCAAAGAACCAGGTAGCATGTTATCACTTTTTTAGGTCACAATTTTTGTGGATTCTAAGAAGCTTGACACATTGTATGGACACTTTATTTTAATGGAGACCATTTGTTGACCTCTACATGTCCTTAATTTTTTTTGTGTTGTTGGGTAGCTGTCACATTGATAAATACACCAAGATCCTTTTATTTATATACACCAAACAAAACTATACCTTTACATATAAAATTTGGTACATTTTCATTAACAAACTCCTTATGGATGTTCACTACTCTGTTTCAAAATAACAAGCTTTTTAAAAGACTGTTATAAATTGATAGTATATGGGAACTAAAAATGCAGAAAAAAATTAAGGGTCTGTGTTCTTGTTTTCAAGATATAAACCATTGAAAATTTGGCGGGAAATGATTCTCTCTAGATTTTTCAAACATTTAACATTGGCACCTTTTTTCATTCAAAAACTATGAAAAAACAACAAGGATTGAATAAGATTTTCAAATATGGCTTTTTAAACTGTATGTAATAAAATTATGAAAAGAAAAGTAGGGGTTAGCAGGCAAAATATTTTAATCGCAATACATAGATAAAACCAGAGGATTCCAAATATCTGGCAAAAACTCAAAAACAAGTGGAGCGAACATCCTTAAACATTGGTTCTTCTTGAATAGTAATACCTCCACAATCTATATGGTCAATTGTCAAATTTCCACAATTAAAAATTCTGAGAAGCCTTTTTAATAACAGTACAAAAATCTTTCCTATAAGAATAAAAAATTAGTTTCATACTTTTAATTCAAAAACTGAGAACATAAAAAAATATCTGTAATAATAACACTAATTTCCAGAAACATCATTTAAATACAATGTATATATTTGTTCATGCATTTTGTTCCATTCTATTTCTGATTTACAAATGGTCCATTTTGAAGGATTTTGTCAATGTGGCTTTGAATTGTTGCTCAGAAGATTATCTGTAAATTTCTGAATCAATTTTTACGCTTAATTAAGCAATTTTTTTTCTATATATATATATATATATATATATATAAGTTTGAACGTTGTTTTCAATTAAGACTTGTATATATATATGTTATATATATATGTGATTTTTTTTTCAATTTAATTTTATATTTTAGTGTGCATTTTGCCATTTGTTGTTTCCTGTCAAGGTATTTCAAATTCAATCTTGTTATTGAATTTAACTCATCTACACAAACAAATGTAGCCTTAAATGAACTTTTCAAGTGATTACATCTTTGGAAATCTGCAAAATGTTTAATTAAAAAAAAAATCACTCTGGTAAAATGAATAACTTTAAATTCAATATACATAGCTTAATTTTAAATGTTTCTATATTTTTGAGTAATATCTAAATTCTGTAAAAATTAAAACCTTTTCATTTTAACATAAAAAGAACACTGCTTATTTAAAAATGAAAAGAAGAACCACCAATGAAAACAAGTCATGTTCTCTTGTTAAATGACATTCATGATTTAATGGTAAAATGCACCCGACGGCCAAATTCATTGACAATTCCTTGTCCAATACAGGAATAATAAAGGGTAACAGAATAAAAACATCATACATAATTTGGTGTTGGCATATTTAATGTGTTGACAGGTTCCTCCTACAACAGACCAAAACCACATCTTAGAAGGTTTACTGTTGGACTATACCATTACCAATTATTGTATATACAAAACATGTTAGCTCTTATATTCTACCATTTCTTCATATGATATTTCTTTGGATACTTCAACATTGCATGTAGATACCTTATATTATTGTTTTGAATACTTTACTCACAACTATTTTCAAGTTACACCACATCTTTGAAACATTTCTTAACATTGATAACAATGTTTTATGGACCGAAAATATATATGTAAAGTTCCTATAGAAAACAATACAATACTAGTTTTCTTTACATTATCAAAAACAACTTGAACTGACACGAGTCTAACCTTTGCAATGCTCTGTTCTATTCTACGAACTTTCTCTGTCACTACCCCAACATCATCATCTGCTTGGCCATGGTAAACATGTTGTAACTGTATATATCTGGTGGAGTCAGCTGTCATATCAGGGATGGTTCCACGCAGAGGTAATAATCCTACAACAATCAATGTCTGGTCTTTGTACACCAAATATAACTATTTAAGATCCTATGTTTTTACCAAATCACTGTTTCCATTAGTTGCATGCCCAACTTTTAGTTTTAAGTTTATGATTGGTACAAAATTTTAAACTAGATTTACAGACTGTAAGCTGTACCAAGCACTATGAACATGTTTAAAAAAAAACACCAGAAATTTACATGTAACTTCCCTCCTACAGAGGAGTTTCTTTATTAGCCAGATTTAAGCTATGCACTTTTCATTGTTACCATCTACTATTTTCATAATCTTACCAAAAAAATTCTTATAAGTCATGAACATTTCAGTATAACTAACCATCAATTCTTATTGTAACACTTTTGTGAACAAGGACATAGAGATTAAAAATAACTATGAAACTTGCTTCTTCAGATGTTGGGTGCTTAAAAAAAAATTGTACTAACCTTTTCCTTCATTATCTACAAATTCTTTGACTGCTCTAACTAGAACCCAGAAAGACGAACTCTGCAAAATAAATTATATTAATAGAAATCAGCTGAGCGCTGTTCTATAAAAACATAAATGGGTCCTCGGGAAGGCACTTTGAAATCATAAATATGGGTGGGTATCAAGTACAGTGGAATTCTTAGTGAAATTCAAAATTTGACTCTACAGGTAGTTAACAAATTTTGAAAGTGCCTTCCCTAGGTTCCATTCATGTTTAAATGAAATATCCCGGTCAAAAATGTGGATTTGTGTAACAAAGGTATGTAATCTAACCACCAAATACTGGAGAAGTATCAATATTTAGAAAGCAGCTGTTAGAGGTGAACACTCAAATTGCATAGGCCATTTACTTCAGTATTCCATACTGCATTTATAACATCAATAGTCTTAGAGCTGAGAGTGACTAAACAGCTAATTCAACTGACACATTATGTCTGGTAAATATGCAACAGGTTTGTTTATTTCTTGCAGTTACTTTTTTTGGTGGACATGCGCTTGGAGTACAGAGCTAGATGTCTCCTGATGACTAAATAATATGATCTTTTTGCAGGGTCTTGTCAGGTTGAAATACCCATAAGATGATCACATTTAATATATTGGGTTGTGCTTGGAGAATTAGTACTACCTGAAAGAAGAGGACCATTTTTGGTAATTAGGATTGAGAATATTCCAACTGCAGGTGCTAAAAATCAGAACTGTCTGACCTGATTAAACTCTTTCTCCTTTTTATTGGTTATTGCTCATTTGTGTCCCATACCTGCCCAAGTTTTGGAACAATTTTGGTATTGTCAGTTTTGTTCCCATCCTGACTATGTATGAAAAAAATGCCTACAGACCAGCAATCAATCATTCCATCATTGTTAGTAACCCGGCTATGGAATCTAAAATTTCAACGGTACTTATATAAGGGTCTGGATGGGGATACTTCATTTTTGTATTTAAAATTTTTTTTTAGTATTTTTCTTGATCTTTAAAGTCATATGAAACTTTCAAATTTAAAAAACAAGTTGAATATGTTTTATCTACTTGAATGGCTAAGTTGTATTATAAATCAAGTGTACATGGACTTTCTTGTGAAAGAAAATCCATTATCTTATCAAAATCTTCAAAAATGTACATTTGTACTGCGGTTGAATTATTGTCTTCGCGTATACTAATTGGTCGATACTTTTCCGTATGCAGTACCCTTAATTACGAGACCTCTCGTTAGAACTTTGGCCACGTCACAGCCCAAGTGCGAGGGAAAACCATGATGACAGAATGTAAACAAACGTGCATTGGAAGGTATCAAAATTGTAATAATCGATTCTTCAAGAACAAATTAAATACACAAAATCATTTAACAAGTTATTGAAAAGTTTATTAAACACATGGGAATGCATTCAGTTCACTTATGTTTTACATGCTCCATGTGCTTCTGTGTTAATTGTTTTTCAATGTCACAATCCGGTAAACTTCGGCAACAAACTTGAAAGTTAATAAGCTAACGATTAACAATCACCGAATGAAATATTATGTGTCGATTATACGTTATAGATTCGAAAAAAAGTGCATATAGGACTTACTTTAGTATATATGCATGCATTAGTTTAACAATTTCCTGAACATTAAAATTTTTTGAAACTCATTTCATATTACTTTTAATGCTTATTCTGTAAAATTTTTGAAATTTTTGACTATTAGATTTATCTGTAACTACATGATTTCTTTATTTTGTACATTGTTCATTTGTATAATCAGTATTGTATTCCATAATTCTTTTGTTTTCCACAGTTATTCATTACACTTTTACAATCCACTATTCTCTGTTCTTTGTTTTGCTTATTCTTTTCTATTCATTAATCTTTTTGTCATTATTCTCTAGTATGTAAACACCATCCAGACCATCTTATATAAACATGAATACATGAATAGCTCTTTTTTAGAAATATCTTGTATATCATTTTCAATGATGATTTTACAAGTCAATGAAACATCTGATTTAGCTTACCTCAGAATCTAAGTTCTTACAACACGGATCTTCAAACAGCTTTCTCACTTCACTTGGCATCTAGAATAGATATAAAATATTGATAGGTAAAATCATAAGAAATTAAATTGATAGTTTGAGGAATGAACAAGTGTTGAAGATGTAGTAATGGTTTTTTATAACACATTTATTCTTGGTTATGAACATATACTAATGAAAGATTTGAACTAGTTTACTTTTCATTAATTTTTTTTTACCAAAAATCAGTTCAATATCTATGGGTATAACAATAAAAGTCAGAACAAGCACTGATACAATTTTCTTGAAATTTTAGGTTCAAGGATCATAATCTGTGAAATGTAGATCTTCCAATACAAATCACAAACAAGATCATAGACCATTCTATACTTATAAACTTACAATTCAGCTAAATATCTACAAAGGAAATTAATCCTGAAAACTGAATTTTGTAATGAAAGAAGGACTGAAGGATGATATGATGAGTGGCATTGGATTCATTATTCAATGCATTTTCTTATGTTCTTTTGGGTAAAGAACACTCACAATAACAAAGTTCACAAGAAGTACAGATACAATACCTAATGAAGGGAAAGGATATCAAACACAGTATGGGTCAAAGTTTCAATCTTTTTAAAAAAAAGGAGAACAGGAGAACAATAAAGTAGATATAAAAGATGAAAGGTTAATATAACTTATAAGTTCTCTTTCAGTTTTGAAAGGGGGGGGGGGGGGGTGGAATCAGACATACTATGTAAATGTTATCAGAGTCAACCATAATTTTAAATCTCTGAATAAAAATCAATATGAGCAATTTTATAATATCCTTACTTTTGACAACTATACAAAATTGGCCACAAATACTTAATGAACTCATACAATGTCATATAATTACTGTTGAGTACAGTGATACAATGGGAAATCATTATTTATACCATGACAGAGATGTCTATGCATGGCCTATTTAATCCCTATAAATCAACGTAAGCTATAGTGAACCAAATAAGCAGTTCTGGTGTCCCATGGTATACTTTTTTAGTAAATTTATAAACTGGTACTATTTCAAGAACGTTTGTCTCTGAAACAGAGAAAAATTTTAACAGAGTTCTCCAAAAAAAATCTCAAATTTTATGGGATATATCCTAATAAGCTTCTTACTAAACACATTTGTAGATTAGAGACATTGGTTAGAGAATGAGGCCAATGCTTGGGATATCTTAATATCTTAAGAAGCAGTTCAAAATGATTTCACAACAACATTACAAGTATAAAACTATATAAAAAGAATAGAACTTGTGCTAAATTATGCTAAAGCCCAAATTTGAAATTTCATAAATTTAAAGATATAATTCACCCTTTGTATTAAAAGCTATTCCTTTTATAACTCTTAACCAAATATTTCATAAATTAAGATTTTAATTCCATAAGTGGTGAGTGCTGCAAGCGTTTCAATAATTTCAATCATGGTTGGCTTGCTTCATTTTAATACACATAATGAAATTTCTGTATATCTTGTTAACGTTCCTCTCCTTCTGGTGACATCTGTTGACCCTTTTACTCTAACTTCATATTTTTTACATGCAACAATACTATACAACATACACTGCTGGGTACCAAAGCTGTGTTGACACTCTTTACTGCTTCATCAAAATTTTCTTCATCCAATGGAAAGCCTTCTTTATTTGTCCTTATACCTACAAATTTTAGTCAAAGATTAACAGAAGATGTGGTATGATTGCCAATGATGAGACAACACTCAACCAGAAATACAATGACGTAGCATACATATGTATTATTATATTTGCTTTAAATTCAAAGTCAAGAAATAATTTGTTTTAATCTAGTAGTAAATGTACCTTAATAAAATCTTCAACGGTGGTTCATATAACAAAGAAACATAGACACAAAAGGGACGATTTTCTTTCCCTATTGTTAATTTTCCTTTTTTTGTACAGTGATGTTCCTCTGGCAACATCTTACGGTGTTTATATATCACAACTTGTTTGCTATGCCTGTGTCTGTAGTGATGTTTTGGATTTCAATGAGTGGTATCCATGTATTACTGGCAAATTAGATACGATCCAGGTAAACTTATCAATCCTTTAAATAAACTTATCCTTAAAGGTTACCAATTCAACACTGTAATTATATCTTTGAATATTGTTTTTCTTGGTATAAATATTGATTTTGTTATCAGTAAAATAAAATTGATTGATTGATTGGTGTTTAACGCCACTTTCAACACTATTGTGCTTTTTCGTGGCGGTCAGTTTTTATTGGTGGAGGAAGCCAGAGTGCCAGAGAACCTCAGACCTTCGGTAGGAAAACTGCCAATCCTAGTCAATTCAGATTGGAGTCGAGTGCACCTGCCCAGGATTCGAACTCACAACCTCAGTGTTGACTGGCTAGTGATACAGTAGTTCAACTACTTAGACCACTCGACCACAGAGGCCCCAAGTAAATTCAAAATCATACTACATATTATTGTTACACACATATGTACAATCATGGTACTACAATCTGTCAATATCTATATTTTGGCATTGAACAAGGTCATGTTTTTCTCTGACTGTTAATGGTGTTTTTTCACTTAATCCATTGGATGTTGGGTGTGTACTAATTGATATTTTAGTCTTATATACATGATTTTTTTATTAGCTGTTATTGGCTTTGAACTAGCTGTCAGTAACTGTGAGTACTCTCAGATCTTTACTTAGTGTCTTTTTTGTTGGATGTATAGATATACTGCCACATCCGTCTGTGTTTTCATTAGATATTTTCTGTTTTTTATTGATCTGATGAGTTAAGCCCTTTTCAACTGATTTTTATAGTTAAGTTTATTCTTATATTGTACTGTTACACCACTGTCCAAGGTTAGGGGAAGGATTTGGCACCAGTAAACTAGTTTAACCCCGCCACATTCTATATGCGTCTGTCAGGAGACTGTAGTTCAGTGGTTGTCGTTGGTTCATGTCGGTCATATTTGTTTTTTCGTAAATTGTTTTGTTATAAATTAGGCTATTAATTTTCTCAATTGAATTGTTTCATATTTTTCATGTAAGGCTCTTTTATAGCCGAATATATGGTATGGGTCTTCTCATTATTGAGAGGCTGTATGGTTGCCTACAATTGCTTACATCCACTTCTTTTGAACTTTGGTGGATAGTTGTCTCATTGGCAATCATACCATTCACAGAATTGCCTCTATGAATGGTAAACCTATTTTTTACAGTGCCTTACCATGTATGTATTAATGGAACAGCCCTTAACAGTAAAAGAGGATGCAATAAAATTACAAAACATCTAAATTTACCTTGTTTGATAAATTCCTTAAACAGTAATTTTTCTTTATAATTCTTTGGTGCATTTCCATCATGCTGTAACAGAAATAAAGCTTCACTTAGTACTGTTAGTGTATTTTGTTGGTTTATATATGTGTGAATCATATACTGTGAAAGTACTTTTATTCGTGGGGTCCCAATTTTCGTGGTTTTCGTGGAAGGCTTTATCCACGAATTTAAGTGTCCAACGAAATATAACAACTGTTGTCCAAATCAAGACTTGGAAAGATCCCCTGTAGGTTTGACTACGGATACGGACATATAATCTACAGAAAACATTGAATATCAGCAAACGGAATATGAACTATATGCAGTGGCGTAGCACCAGTGTAGCATGTAAAACTTCAGACAGGATTTTAATCTTTAAACATCTTAAGTTGTATGACTATCAACCTTTTAATTCTCCTTGAAAATAAGTTTTGAAAGATAATTTCTGACGACTTCGGGTGGAGATATATGATGATGAATTGTTCATTCTATCTCCTCATAATTCTCTCACGAAAAATAATATAAATTTCATATTGGGCTTGTTTTTTATTTTTCGAAAGTATTTATTCAAAGTACAATTGTAGCATTTTTTATACAACCTTTTTCTTTAAATGACATGTTTATGGTCCAGTTAACACCTTTGATGATCATTAATCTGTTGATCATTCTATCTTGGGTTAATTAGTGTCACCAGAGACCACTTCTGATTATTTGTGCAACAATTAAAATGTTTAGTAAGCAATTTCCTTCAATGAGACAATTTGTATTCAGAGATGAATCAGCTTATTTCTAAAAGCAATTATCTTTTAAAGAAATTTGATGAATGTTGTCAGAAATGAAAGACGAATATTAAGTGAAAATGAACACCATATGATTATTTTAAAGAATCTTCGTTTCTTATGGGTTCAAATTCTTAAATCAATTTTTTTTTCAGAAAACTAAAATCCACAAATTGAAGAACCCACGAACATGTAACTTTTTCTCAATCCACGAAAATTGATACCCATGAATAAAAGTGCTTTCACAGTAGTAAATTCAAAATTAATGTGTATATTTATTCATGTATAATCATTATATTTGTTGTTACAGGGTTATCAAAATAGAACAATATTTCCTACTATTTATATGATTTAGGCCAGATAAAAAGCTAGATGCTATAACCTTGTGTTATATTAAAGTATATAGGTAATTTTTTTCAGATACAAGTGCCTGTGGGAAACAGGTATCAATCTTTAACTGATAAGAACATTTTCTTCACCATGTTTTACCATAACTGTGCAATCTTATTTACACCACATTCAAATCATAATAGTCTTAATTGCCTGTGTTAACAAAAAACATGCAATATGAAAAAAGATGCTATGTAATATAATGTAATATAATGTAATATAATGTAATACAATGTAATATAATACATACTGATTCTCTCCATTTCTGTAAATACTTATAAACTATTACTATCCATGGTGTGTGTGAATGGTCCTGAAATTTATAAAAAAATAAAATTTATTATCACATATTTTTTAGTTTATTAACATAGTTCAGGAATCTCAGGATATAATAAAATGCTCTGCTAGGCGCAGCTTGATACGACCGCAGAGGTCAAACCCTGAACAGTTGGGGGCAAGTATGGACACAACATTCAAGCTTGATACAGCACTGAATTTGGATTGTGATTAAATATTTGACACAGCATAGGTTTCTGACACAGAATGAATGTGGTTTAAGAACTTAAAATTTTTTAATTTACCTATTCAAACCATATCATTATTATTTGCTTTTATATATAAATCAGAAATAACCAATTTAAAATGGAAAATTTTAAAGAAAAAAAAAAAAACTCCTCCAAATTTTTTAAACCCCCTTATGATTCATCACCCCCAAACTCAGTCCCAGCCTTCCCTTTGTGGTATGGTACCTTGCAGTACAATTTCAGAGAGATCCATACACTTGAACACAAGTTATTGTCTGGAAACAAGAAAAATGCTTGTTTTTAGGCCCCTTTTTGGCCCCAAATTCCTAAACATTTCGGGCAATTACCCCCAAACTCAAACCCAGCTTTCCCTTTGTAATATGGAACCTTGTAGTACAATTTGATAAAGATCCATACACTTACACACAAGTTATTGTCCTGAAACTAGAAAAATGATTGTTTTTTGCCCCTTTTTGGCTCCTAATTCCTAAAATTTTGAGGCAATTACCCCCAAAATCAATCCCAGCCTTCCTTTTGTGGTATGGTACCTTGCAGTACAATTTCAGAGAGTTCCATACACTTCAACATAAGTTATTGTCTGGAAACTAGAATCAAAGCACGAAAGCGCTGTAAAGGCAGTTAATTACAGGTTGTGTGTATTTTAAGTCCAGTTATATCATTATCTTGCATAGTACAGTGTACTTATCAGAGGTGGCTTTCAGTATTTAAGATTTAGAGTTCTCTAATGATATTGAATAAGTTTTATGAATGTCATATTCTGAGCACTATATGAAGGCGATTGTTCTCACTTGTTTATGAACTAGTGCATTATGTCCAGTTTGTACCTTTTTTATCTATGTTTATAGTCAAATTAGTTATCAAAGGTACCAGGATTATAATTTAATACGCCAGACGTGTGTTTCGTCTACATAAGACTCATCAGTGACGTTCAGATCAAAATAGTAACAAAGCCAAACAAGTACAAAGTTGAAGAGCATTGAGGACCCAAAATTCCAAAAAGTTGTGCCAAATACGGCTAAGGTAATCTATTCCTTGGATAAGAAAATCCTTAGTTTTTTCATTGGCAATCATAACACATCTCCTTATTTATATAATGATCTATATTCAACGACCTCAGGTACAAAAAAAATGTATGTAACTAAACTATGATGGGAAACCTTTGACTTCTTTCTTTATATAAACTTTTGATTTGGTACCATAGAACTATGTAGAGTAAATGTACATTGCAACATGTCAACTCTTTCAACTCCAAGCAAAATTATATTTCCAAGCAAAAAGTAATTTATGAATGAAATAAAATGCTCCGCTGGGGCGCAGCTTGATACGACCGCAGAGGTCGAACCCTGAACAGTTGGGGCAAGTATGAACACAACATTCAAGCTTGATTCAGCACTGAATTTGGATTGTAATTAAATATTTGACACAGCATAGGTTTCTGACACAGAATGAAAGTGGTCTAAGATACTTAAAAAAATTTAATTTACCTATTCAAACCATATCATTATTATTTGCTTTTATATATAAATCAGAAATAACCAATTTAAAATGGAAAATTTTAAAGAAAAAAAAGAAAAAAGAATCTCCCCCAAAAATTTTTTTGAACCCCCTTATGATTCATCACCCCAAAACTCAATCCCAGCCTTCCCTTTGTGGTATGGTACCTTGCAGTACAATTTCAGAGAGATCCATACACTTGAACACAAGTTATTGTCTGGAAACTAGAAAAATGTTTGTTTTTTGGCCCCTTTTTGGTCCCAAATTCCTAAACGTTTAGGGCAATTAACCTTAAACTCAAACCCAGCTTTCTCTTTGTGATATGGAACCTTGTAGTACAATTTCATAAAGATCCATACACTTACACACAAGTTATTGCCATGAAACTAGAAAAATGCTTGTTTTTTGCCCCTTTTTGGCCCCTAATTCCTAAAATTTGGAGGCAATTACCCCCAAAATCAATCCCAGCATTCCCTTTGTGATATGGAACCATGTGATACAATGTCAGAGAGATCCATAGACTTACACACAAGTTATTGTCATGAAACTAGAAAAATGCTTGTTTTTTGCCCCTTTTTGGCCCCTAATTCCTAAAATTTGGAGGCAATTACCCCCAAAATCAATCCCAGCATTCCCTTTGTGGTATGGTACCTTGCAGTACAATTTCAGAGAGATCCATACACTTGAACACAAGTTATTGTCTGGAAACTAGAAAAATGCTTATTTTTGGCCCCTTATTCCTAAACTTTTTGGGCAATTACCCCCAAACTCAATTCCAGCTTTCCCTTTGTGATATGGAACCTTGTAATACAATTTCATAAAGATCCATACACTTACACACAAGTTATTGCCATGAAACTAGAAAAATGCTTGTTTTTTGCCCCTTTTTGGCCCCTAATTCCTAAAATTTGGAGGCAATTACCCCCAAATTCAATCCCAGCATTCCCTTTGTGATATGGAACCTTGTGATACAATGTCAGAGAGATCCATAGACTTGCACACAAGTTATTGTCATGAAACTAGAAAAATGCTTTTTTTTTTGCCCCTTTTTGGCCCCTAATTCCTAAAATTTGGAGGCAATTACCCCCAAAAATCAATCCCAGCATTCCCTTTGTGATATGGAACCTTGTGGTACAATGTCAGAGAGATCCATACACTTACAAGCTATGTCTGGAAGTTACAAAAATGCTTATTTTTGGCCCCTTATTCCTTAACTGTTGGTACCATAACCCCCAAAATCAATCCCCACTTTCCTTTTGTGGTATTGAACCTTATTTTAAAATTTCATTGAGATCCATTCACTTAAACTAAAGTTAGAGTGCGAAAACTAATGTGTCTTCGGACGACGACGACAACGCCAACGTCATACCAATATACGACCACAAAAAGTTTTTGCGGTCGTATAAAAAGGAGTTCTTAATTAAGAGATAAACTGATTCGCTGAGCGCAGCTGGATACACCCGCAGAGGTACTACCTTGAACAGCTTGGGCAAAAATGGACACAATATTCAAGCTTGATACAGGTCTGAATTTGGATTGTAATTAAATATTTGACATATTATAGTTTCTGAATAAATGTAGTCAATGAACTTGAAATCGGTTATATGAATTGAATTTATATTCAATTAAAGATTTCTTGCTGTTGTGCAATACACTGTGCTGTTGTGCAATACTTAATAAATCTGTTGCCAGACTATAATCAAATAAAGTTCAATTTCTTCTCAATGTCATATTTGAAATTTATGAAAATCAATAGGGAGATTACATCAATAGCTATAAATAATTCACCAAAGTTTCATGTGAACTGCTTAAAGCATTTTTGAGTTGTTGTCCAAAAACTGGAAAATCCCCCCTTTTTTAATGAATAAAACCCCATAACTCAGAAATGTAAAATCTAAAATTTATAAAATTCTAAAGGGAGCTTACGGATTGATAATTTAGTCTTAGATGCAAGATTTTTTTATCAGTTGTTAGTGGCAATGAACTAGCTGTCAGTAACTGCGAGTACTCTCAGATTTGTACTTAGTGTCTTTTTGTTGTTTGGATGTACAACTACCCGACCACGTCCACTTGTATTTGTATTTATCCATCTGATGAGTTTAGCCTCTTTCAACTGATTTTTATAGTTCTTTCTTATATTGTACTGTTACACCACTGTCCCAGGTTAGGGGGAGGGTTGGGATCCCGCTAACATGTTTAAGCCCGCCACATTCTGTATCATGTGTATGTACATGTATGTGCCTGTCCCAAGTCAGGAGCCTATAAAAGTGTAATTCAGTGGTTGTCGTTTGTTTATGTGTTGCATATTTGTTATATTTGTTCATTTTTTTACATAAAATAGGCCGTTAGTTTTCTTGTTTGAATTGTTTTACATTGTCATTTCTGGGCCTTTTATAGCTGACTGTGCGGTATGGGCTTTGCTCATTGTTGAAGGCCATACTGTGACCTATAGCTGTTAATTTCTGTGTCATTTGGTCTCTTGTGCATGTGTGGAGAGTTGTCTCATTGGCAATCATACCACATCTCCTTTTTTATATTTACATCAACAGATATAAAAAATTCACCAAAGTCAAGGTGAGACAACAAAACTTAGTTGTAAGATCTCTGAAATTTTTTACAGGGTACGAGTTTTTCTCATTGTTGGAGATTGTACGGTGACAGTAACACCTGTAACTGCTTAAACCCATTTCTTATGCACTTTAGTTTGATAAACTCACTGAATATCATACCACATCTCCTTATTTTTATATGCATTACAATTTACATGTGCATGTAATTGTAAATATATATATATCAGAACAAAATTCATTGCGTCACTTTTATTTATGCATCCTTTGGCACAATACAAGTTCTAAAATTACACAACATAAAACAACTAAATGTTATTTCAGATGAAAGTTTTGTTTCAGTTCCATTCATAGGATTTATTAGAATTTTGTATGTTTTGCCAAGTCCAATAATTCGCTCTATGTGACATAGAGACATAGTTGACTAAACCACCAGGTGTCGAACATTCAAGAATTTTCAGTGTTTCTGTTTTTATTTGATGAAAAGGTTGCCTGAGCTCTAGGAGCTTTAGGTTTTATCACGGGATATTCTGTGCTGTCAATAATAATCCAAGTCGTAGGAAACTTTAATTTGAAGTTGGATGGTGAAAAACACCTGACTAAACCACTAGATGGCCAAGTGTTAGCCTCACACCACTGTTTAGACATAAAAACAATCCATGTATACACAATATTCTTAACACTAGATTCAATCTAGAATCTAGACAGTTCAAAGTTGGTTGTATGATGCCTCAATTTCATCAAAGTCATAAAAAAACTGATTTTCAACTGACACCCTATCAATTTGAAAATATATGTATCTCAAACAATGTGTTGCTGGACCAAGTGTGGTCAAAACAAATAAAAATTTAGTATACAACTCTAAACCGGTATAAAAATGCATGGCTGTGTCACGTGTCTTCATTTCAAAATTCTCTGCTGAAAACATAGGCATTGATGGTGTTTGCGTAATTCCATCTGTGAAGCTCAACATTAGCTCGGCAGTTGGTGGTGGACAGTCATAAATCCTTTCTGCAGTATGAATGACTTCTTCAGGAAAACCAACTTTACAATCAAAACTTTCCTCTAGATTTCTACTACAATATTTATCAAGTTTAGTTCTTTTGTTTTCACAGGAAACTGCCCTGACTTTTCTTTTTGCGGACGATTCAGTCTCTTGCTTGGTCCAGGAAAATAGGCTGGGAATTGCAGTAGACTTAAGTCTCTGTATGGTGGGTTTGCGCCCTGAAAAAGGTTATAAAACATTAGTTTTTTATAATTAAAAGAACTTCCATTAGCAATGTATACTTTGTACTACCTGGCGAAATATTAACTAGATTTATTCATTACAATCTGGATAAAACTATGTTTGTCTGATTCAATGTATGTTATGTAAATCCAAAGGACAAACAATGAGAGACTTATGCAACAAACGTACATTGTTTGTACCTAAATAACTATAATATAGATGAGAGCATGTCATTGTTTTGTTCCTGTTAACATTGTCATTGATATTTTTCAAGAAAGTCTATGAGGCATAGCTTATGCATTCCTGTCATTACTACATTAGCATAATTACTGCTAAAATAATTCTCAGTATGATATACCTCTTGTAAGAAATCATTATAATTGTAGCAATCACCAAAAAATCTCAAACAGATCACATTGAATCGTAATCCAAAAAATTATGACGTCTTGAATTACCCACCCCCTTTTATTCTAAAACGATAATTGCGGTTGTAAACAGACTTTGGTTTATTCGCATGGCGATTACATATATAACTATATATTTCACAAAGAAAATAGAGTTTTACCATGAATAGTTTCCTGCACGTAGTCTTTTTCAGTAAAACGTGCCTTGCAAACAACAGCTGATTGAGATGGACTCCACGATATCATCGTGTTCTCGTCCAATCTGCGTATGGGCCATGGCGTTGATCCAACTTTTCCTTCTTTTTAAGTCATTTGGAAATGCATGTCCTCCTCTTAAATGACATCCAGGTACACAACAACAAGTACTTGGCATCGTTAATTAAAAATATAACTGAAATAGTTGCACAGTGCAGAAACCGGAAGTAGAGGAACAGGATCCGCTACCACGGCGCCACCTATTCAGGAACGATAATTTGCTACTATATAACTGCGAAAATAACGTTAGACGGGTTCACGTGCATAAACAGAAATGCGCTTTAAATTGTATAATATAATTCATGTTCAGTCGACCTTTTATTATTATATCAACGACTGAAATGATTTATAAACATCTAGATTGCAGATAACACTCGAAATTAACCCGAGCTCTTTCCACACGGAATTCAAATAATTCTAGTTTGTCAATCGGTTGACTGCTTATAATGCAAAATACTAACATATCAAAAGTTTTTAAAACTAACAAAACACAATGATCGTTTCTCTATTTCCCAATGTAAATGAAATGAAACAAAAAACATTTTATATCGCAATAAGAAGAGGAGAGAATTCAACATTTCCGGATCTACTTGGAGTCTAATGACCCCCCACGTAGATAAGTTGGATATCGCGGAAGGAAGGATTAACCCGGCAACTAGAAAGGCATTAAAGCACTGCCTTTAAAAATGCTTATTTTTGGCCCCTTATTCCTAAACATTTTGGGCAATTACCCCCAAACTTAATTCCAGCTTTCCCTTTGTGATATGGAACCTTGTAGTACAATTTCATAAAGATCCATACACTTACACACAAGTTATTATCATGAAACTAGAAGAATGCTTGTTTTTTGCCCCTAATTCCTAAAATTTTGAGGCAATTACCCCCCAAAATCAATCCCAGCATTCCCTTTGTGGTATGGAACCTTGTGGTACAATGTCAGAGAGATCCATACACTAACACACAAGTTATGTCTGGAAGTTACAAAAATGCTTATTTTTGACCCCTTTTTAGCCCCTTATTCCTTAACTGTTGGTACCATAACCCCCAAAATCAATCCCAACCTTCCTTTTGTGGTATTGAACCTTATGGTAAAATTTCATAGAGATTCATTCACTTAGACTAAAGTTAGAGTGCGAAAACCAATGTGTCTTCGGACGACGACGACAACGACGACGCTAACGTCATACCAATACAATAAAAAATGACAAAATTTATAAGACTTAAATGTCAGTGCAAATGTTACTGATTAACATCAGATATCACTGTAATCTTTCAAACAGTGTGATCTAAGTACAGGAAAATGTATATGTAAATGACTTAGTCATATAATCGTGATATGATATAATAATATAGTTTATAGTATAAAATGGATATCTTAAATGTTTGTACTGATATACAATCTGACTTGATGTGAGCAAGAGCTTTTAGAAAGATTAATTTTATTTTACAAGTTCTATAAGTCAATCTTAATTGTTCAGAGCAGAGAACCTAATTTACAATTTGACCTGGTTCTTGGACATGACAGTATAACTGACCAATTGGACATTAAGCATACATTCATCAATTATTTTTTTTTAGGATATCATTATGACATTTTATCCATTAAATTACATTATTCTAGCTCATTCAATAACAATAATTTAAATCTAAATCCTATATGAGTTGAAATCTTTCTGTAGAAAAGTAACATCTTCTTTAAGCATATAATACAATCATATTTACCTTCTGATCCATGGAATCCAGATCTAGAGAATTACAATAATCGATAAGTCTTGGAAAAGGATGATCTAACCTTAAATCTTCATGAGCACTGTCTGGGTGTGATTCTATCACTGAAATAAAAATAAAGAATATAATTCATCTGTACTCTACAGGTAAGGAGAAGATATATGCACTTACAATGATATTTTACCCTGACATATTATGTTCCTGTGCTAAGCCAGGAACTTGTGGTCCAGTGGTTGTTGTTTTGCAGACCTAAATGTTTTTAGGTTATGGCATTCCCAATAAAGACAAAGCCAGAAAAGCTCTTTGAATTCACAATATTTCTAAGGTGTTATTCTAATCTTCAAGTTAAAGGAGAGATTAACACTTATGATGTTTAACCCTTTCATATTATGTTCCTGTGCTAAGCCAGGAGCTTGTGGTCCAGTGGTTGTTGTTGTTTTCCTGTTATTTATACTTATTGTTTATGTTACTGATTACTATCGGGCCATTGATAGTCTTTTATAAATTTACGACCATGGCTTACCTTATGACCTCCATGGCTTACCTTATAGAAAAGACTTGTAAACAATTGTTGAAGGTTGTATGGTAACACTGCTGTAAATTAGAAATTTAATCTAGTCCTTTTACTTCAGTGGATTATTATCTTTTTTAAAACTTAGTCCTGTGTCTTATACTATTTGTAATACATTAATGATTGTATTCAAAGAAAACAAGGGAGTGTTTAGGTATAATCAAGATCTTATTTAATTTTCTTGAGATGTAACTACTCTAAGCTTTTAAAGCTAATTATCTGAAGAAAATTAATGTTTCCAATTTCTAATTTTTAAGTATGTTATTCCTGAACCATACACTGTACTTTGTCAAAATGTTTTTTTTTATCCATATGTGGATATTGCATTTAGCAAACATAAGTTTTCTTGTGACCATCTGTGTCATACAAACAGTAACAGTGACTATATGCTCCCAAAATTATTACTTTATTTGATTACCATTTTACCAGGAATTTGTCCATTAAGAACCTCTGACTAACCTGTGTGTTCTTTGATGACTATTCTCATGTAACCAATAAATCCATAACTTCTACATACTAACAATGGGATGTTCCTCTTAGATAACAAGGAATCTAACTCTAATAACTCTCTGTAAAACATTGAAATATAACATTATTGTATAGGGTTACAGCAACAATATTAATTTAAAATGTTTACACTTCAATGACAATAGTTATTAATGAAGACTTAAAATCACCACATTAATTGATTAAGAACCCAAACAACAACTCTCTTTGGGAGTTGCAAGGTGACCTATTGTATATTTCTTACTCTACCCAATTGTCTTTTTTTAAGGATCAGACCATTTATGTATCCTTTCGTAAAGTCCGTCCACTTTCAGATTCTACCAACTGATATATAGAACTTGTTCTGGTCATGAATGTTCATGAATCATTTCACAGAGGAAATCATACAACCTAACCCCAACCAATCATCTGAAAACTTCCTTATGCTACCATCAGATCTGCCATTCTTTAGACAAAATATCTTACAAGATGCCTCTTACGTGACGGTACCCAAATTGCACCTATTTTGACAGTTTTTTCACCTATGTTTATTTATGATCTAGACAAAAGTTTCCATTCTGTATTTATTTTGTAGATGTATTATTTTTTCTATATATTCATACCAATCTAATTTTGAATCCATATTGAATCATAGAAAAATGGGTTTGAACCGACCTCCAAACGACCCATGATTGGTTATGAGGAGTTCCCAAATTGCATCTATGCTTAAATTCACGTCCGTAAAAATCGAATAACTGATGTTTTGTGTCATTTATTCAAACATTTAGAACAATTTGACAATAGTCCATGCTAGCTATTAATTTTTCAAGAAATTGATGCCTGTAACATATTGTATTTGCTCATTTTTAAAAGATGACTTTTTGTGGACGTCGCATGACATCAAAACGATCCATGATTCTGTAATGAGGAGAACCCAAATTGCATCTATGCTTAAATTCACATCCTTAAAAATCGAAAAAAAAACCAGATGTTTTGTTTTATTTCTTCGAATATTTAGAACAATTTGACATTGGTCTATGCTGACTATTCATTTTTTAAGAAATGGATGCTTGTAACATATTTTATTTGATCATTTTTAAAAGATGACTTTTTGTGGACGTCGCATGGCAACATTATTGTAGATTTTACTTTTTCCAGTGAATACTTCATCTGTTGATATATACTGTGAATGTTTTGTGTACTTTTAAATATATTTACCTATGTTGTAGGACATGTAAAATGTCAAATCATTAAAATACAAATTGTTTAGTCTCAAAGAAAACTTATAAGATTTCAGCTGTTATTTTTGCTGAGTAGGTGCAATTTGAGTACTCGGTGCAATTTGGGTACTGTGACGTTACACCTTTACACTATCTAAACACAAAACTTTATTATAATTTTTCAGAATCTGCACATTTAATGTAATTCTTATGTGATGAAAATAGATGCTTACCTTTCACATAGATTTGTAGCTATCACTAATGTAAATCTTGAGAAAAAATCTGGATTTGCTCTGATCAGTTTTTCAGCACTCTATGTAATACATAAAATGAATTTACCATAATAAATGTTTGTCACTATGAATAACAGCAAGTAGCATATAGAGGGAGAAAATGTTAAAATCAATGTTACTATGTTTAATTTCAAAATTGTTCAAATATTGAAGTAAATAACAACAAATGTTCATTAATGAAACAATACTGATTTCTAGCTTATAACAGCCTCTTTCATTGTGCATATGCTATTTTAGATAATTTTGTTATATAGTAAAATCAGAAAGTACTATGATGTACCAATTAATGTAAAAAGTGTGAATATGACTAACAATAATATGTGTCCTTAGGACATCATGCCCTGCTCTCAAGTTCACTGAACAAGGAAATCTAGACCCCAACCCTAGTTTGGCATATATTATTTAAAGTTCACATCACAATTAACATGTGTACTAACTACTAAGTTTCAAGTTGATGATGTAACCACATTTGTAACATGATACGGGACAGGTTAATGGACAGACAGTCCAAAAAAATATAATGTCCTCCCAACTACATCATAAAAACAGTTCTAAATATATAGTGTAAAAAATGTCCTACATGTTTTACAATATGGTTTAAAATCAAATTGACTCATCTTGCTTTTTTGGATGGATATCAGAGATTCACAATAATAAATATGTTTTTTTTTAGCTTTCAAACTTCAAGTACAGCAGTGACTATGTTAAATTATACGTTCTAGTACTTCTTACTTCTGAATTTTTTAATCTATCAGTTTTCCTTTCTAGTTATTATATTCTTGTGACTGGATATGATATCTTTAATACGAATTTTCAATCTAGACAGAGAAAAATTTCAAATGATTGAATAACTAATAAAATCACTTCATGATTTTTTATTTTTTTTATTTCTATTTAAGAAGAATTTTTATTTAACAGGAGAAGTTTGAAATGAACTTCTAATTGTACATACACCTCACACATTACTAACTACTTTGTATTGTTAAACTAGATATTACTTTGGAACACCCCTACTAATTACTTATTTCTTACCTCTTCAACAAAATCTCCACTAACATCATCATTCAGTTCACTCAGTAACTCTGTCGCTGCTTTAGCTCTAGACTGCAAATATATCCAGTACACACACATGTAGTACAATCTACACACACATGTAGAACAATCTACACACACATGTAGTACAATCTGAATGAATCAAAGTTCTTTTGCTTTAAACTTTTCCAAAATTGTATAGGAGAATTTTTCCCAAGGTCTAGGTAAAATATTAGAGAGAGTCATAGGAAATTTAGCCAAGTCCAACATTATTTCTTCAGAGAAATATCAAAATTATAATGTATGTGTTAGTTATTTTGATGAACATGATGGTAAAATTGAAAATAAAAGAAATATTTTATATTATAATTTCTTGTGATTATGAAAGATTCATTGGACTATTAATAATGATGGAACCTGTCTACATAATCCAAATAGAAATAATTCAGAGAGAATCATTTGAACTCTTCACTGCATAATTTTAATTTTGTAATAAACTATGACAGGGTTTATTTGGATTAAAGGTTGAGACTAACAACTTTTGAAGTATAAAGTATTGTCTCATGATGTTAAAATACGATTTGAATTCCCCAAATCTAAAATCTAGTTGATATCTACTTCTGATGTCTTTTACACTACAATAGTCTCCTCTGATAAGGACCAACCCCCTCTCTCATACAGCATATTTCATTATTTGATTTACATTTTTTTCATTCATTTCCTTGCAAAAGGCACCCACTATTAAGAAGACACATTTCTTTTGCATAAATTTACAGTCTTACAAGAAGAATACTAATCATTGTGTGGATCTTGATCCTCTTTCTTAACATACTTTTCCAATAGTATATTTTCTACATACCTCCCCAATGCTGTCTTTTGTCAGGAAAAAACTACAACATACAATAAGATATTTATTAGTTAATACTTGCTAAGAATTGTTAAAAAGGGGTGCACAAATTATCACGACTTTCAAAACTAAATTGATTGATTGATTGTAGGAGTTTAACGCCACTATCAGCACTCTTGGCGATATCATGACAGTCAGTTTTTATTGGCAGAGGAAGCTGTAGTAGCCAAAGAGAAGCACAGACCTTCCTCAGAAAATCAGGTAATCCTAGTAAATTAAGATTAGAATTACACCTGTCATGAGCAGAGTTCAGAGTCACAATCTCAGTGTTTACAGGCCAGTGATAACTGTAGATGAACTACTTAGATCAAAACAAAATTAAATCTACAAGACTTCCAATGAAAAGGTTTCAAATAAATGTGTCATAATTGCTCAATCATTTCCCAAACAAAAAATTACTCTTCAAATAAATTTGGTCATAAATATCTATGAATAATTATTGCTTAAAATTTAAATATATTAAATTAATGACATCTTAAATATGTTTGAAACATTACAACTGTACATGTATATGCGAGTGTAGCAGAATACTAAAGTTTCAGTGTGTTGCTCTTTCAAGGCCCACCAATCAAGACGACATCATTTTCAGAAAGGTCACTTCTTAATCCAATAAACAGTTACATAATTCTTCACTTCTTAAAACACATTGCAAAGTGTAATCTAACACATTCCACATGTGAAATGACCATCTCTTTCATAACCCCTGCCCAAAAAGTTATTTTTCAAACAATTCAAATCAACTGGAATACAAAAACCCTAAGCAGTCCAGGGCAGGTGACTTCAGGGTCACTGCTATTATAACATATCCCAGTTGCCAGGGAAATTACAAATGGGAGTAAAAGACAAAAAACCTGCATTTACTTTCCATATAGAAAACAGTACTTACTTATTTCCTACATCCTCTCCGCTTACTTTGTTTCCATCAACAATTGTGAATGAACCAACACCTACAAGAAACCATCAACATTTATAATTGTTTCCCACCATTCTAACTTGTTTGATCAAGTGAGGAAAATTTTTATATGAACATAGACACAGTAAATGTAAGAAAAGTACAATTAAAAAGTGAAATTTACAGTAAACATTGAAAAAACATTTAATTACAGGTTATTAGTATAAAAGATTTGCTTGAGTTCCATAAAAATAGCATTGGTTTCAACAACTGATATTTCTTAATTCGGCTCTTGATAGGTTTTAATGTATACAGCAATGCCATTAAAAATTCAGCTGGTTAGTCTGAATTATTCACAAATTTTTTTTACGGTTAAGTTTAATATAGTGAGATAATCAGAAGTGTTTGCGTTCTTTACCTGGTAATATCATATTTTTAAGAATTTCTGTCCCTACAGCTGAGACATTGACTAAACAGACACATGCTGACTCTAAGGCTGACTGTCCATGGTCTCCCCACAATCTACAAATAAACAACATTAATCTATTAATTGGGAAAAGGCAAACTTTAAAGATTTAATTTAAAAGGGAAATACATGCAACATGATATTAAAAATTAGAATTGTAAAATTTCAGTTTTCTTACTTACTTTCAGAAATAAATTTAGGATAGAATGTTCACATCTTAAAGTAGCTTGAAAATTCAACAAACATTGAGGAAAAACAAGTAAAGAACACATGGTTTGCAACGTGGCAAAAACACAGGTTTTATGAGTATTGTCCAGCACAGTATTTTAATTTATAGTGTAAATTCACTTGTTTGAGTCTAAGTTAAATTTTAGTGTGTAATTTTGAGAAAGTATTGGTCCAGCAACTCTCAAAATACATGAACAGAAATAGTTATATAGACAAATGTGAAATGTTTCTCAGTAAGATTTATATATAATCGCAGTCGCAGGCAAAACAAAAATCATATTGCCCAAAATTACCCATTTCTGGGAGTATTGCCCAGCACGGGGAATAAAGGGTTTTCTCAACCATGAAAGAACAAGACATGTACAAAAAAAAATGTTTTGACTTTCCAACAAGCAAAATATCTCAATATTCATGATATTTGAAGTTATGAACTAATTTGATTTGATTTTTGGTGTTTTAACGCCACATTTAAGCACCGCTTTTGGGCTATTTCGTGGTGGCCAGATTTTATTGGTGGAGGAAGCCGGAGTGCCCGGAGAAAACCACTGACCTTCTAAGTTCTATGAACTAATCATTTGCGAAAACAGTGATCAGGTAATCAATTAGAACCAACTAGAAGACACTGCTGTTGGAACACCAAGCGTTGAGGACTTTAAAACTGCTCTCACGCACTGTCAATATCGACATAACCCCTTCTACCGTACTCATACAGATAGAGTTCCTTGTACTTCCATTGTATCAAAGGATGAATAAATTCATGTCCGTATCAAATGTTCGAAACCTATAGTGTTAAAACCTAAGGGAGATTGTTCGTAAAACCATTACTTAAGTAATATAGAACATATTAACCTCAACTGTCTATCATATTTATTTTTCTTGTCGATTACAACTTTTTTGGTATCTGCCATTTTCTGGTTCCTACTTAGATCAATCACCGACAGGGGACAGGAACGCAATCATACCGGGAAACAGTTATCAAAACTAAAAATTTAAAAAGTAACGGAAGAAAAATGAGAATATTCCGGATATGTATATTCCTTTACTCCTTGTTATAGAGCTGTGAGCTAAGACCCCAGGTCAGAGGCGGATGTAGGGAGAGGGGACATTGGGCCCAACCCACCTTATGGAGCTTCATATATGATAAACGCATAGACTTTAAGATACGATAAATGCGATAAACGCATAGACTTTAAGATACGATAAATGCGTTTTGTTTAAATATACTTTTTCACTTTTTTTGGTCTTTTGGAAAATGTTGTTTGTGCTGTATTTAGACCCCTCTACCAAGAAATTTGTTTTGAATGCACACGTATAAAAATTGCGGTTTTTATCCAACGCAATCATAGGTTTGAACGTTGTTTTCAATTTAGACTTATATATATATACTACATATACATTTTAATGCTCATGCTTTATATTTATTTAACTGAGTCAGTCTTATCCAGGTCAATACTAGCTATATAAGCTAGTAACGGATTTTTTGTGGGTCAGAATATTCTTTTCTATCTTGGGTAAATCTATCTATTCAAAAGACGAAAGGGAAATAAAAACTAAATTGCTTATCATTTAACTCACAGGCAAATTTGATTTTAATTACTTTTCAGCGATCAAGAATACGCAATTTTATTTCATAATTTTTTAAGGTGGTCGCCGTAATTTTTGTTGTTGTCTCACAGTCATTAACGTACATGTGATGCATGCAAAAGCATGAAACATCACGCATATATTGTCCTTTTCCGATATGACCATTTTACATATCGAGACTTATTTCGGTGATTTCTATTGCGGGAAAAAAGAATAAGGTGACCTCAATCAGATACCGTTATACGATAAATTAGGTTAATTTCAGGTGACGTTTTTAAAAATTTATGCAAATTTTGAGTATTCAGACCTGTGATATCCACTGATTACCATCCATGTTACAAGGCTTTGTACGAGTGGGTTCAATGATTGAGATGAGTGTTGGCATTAGCGGATGAGTCTGTAAAATTTTGCCGAAAAAAAGACTAAGTTCCAAAGTATGGAAAAATGAGAGAAACATCCCCAGTCAATTCAATAATAGCAGATGCATAACTTCAAAAAGAAAGGCGAAAGATATCAAAGGGACGTTCAAACTCATAAGTCAAAAATAAACTGACAACGCCATGGCAATGAAAAACCATAAAATACCAAACAACAGTACACAAAACACAACATAGAAAACTCAAGACTGAGCCAGACGAATCCCCCCAAAAAAAACCGAGGGTGATTTCAGGTATTCCAACATATGTTTCAACATATGTATGTGCAATCTTCAAGTGAAGTTTCAGGGATCTGAGTTTAAAACTGTAGGAGGATTTGATTACACAAATTAGGTACCCACTTTTCTCCGATCCCCCCGCCCGACATCACAATACTATAAACAGGTTCTGGACCGTCCAACCGGGAGAAAAAAATAAGTTCCATCTTATTGTCGCAAAAAAGTAGGACTAATGTCCCGTGAATTTATTTCATACGAGGCCCATATATAATGTTCTTAAATCTTTACTAAAATTCACAATATCACCAAGGAGGTAATATCTCATACTTAACCATGTTAACCTCCTTGGGTTCACAGACTCATGCGTGTACTTTGAGGTTCTTACGTCAATAGTATGGCTTATTTCTGAACCGATGCCAAAATTATAAACAAAACTGACTATCTCGGTAAATTTTGAGTGTTTGAAAAAAAAAATGTAAAAGAACGACATTTTTAATCAAAACCAAATTTCGTGTGGCTGTAAATCTATAAATATAATAATTAAATATCATTTTTACATGATTTGACTATTTCTTATTTTGTAGATTTTGACCCTGTGAGTTTTAATAACAATTCCAGAGGAAACTGGCTGTTGAAATTTTCTTTTGTAATTACATCTAAGATTATCGTTATTAATTGACACAGGGAGAAAGATAAGCAAACATTTATCATGTTAAACATAACCCGCTGGTGTCATACTGTTTCCAGATGTGCGCAACGGGGTAACCCCATATCGTTTTACTCTCCATAATTAGCATTACGTTATTGGCAGCGGAAAGAGGCACACGCCATCTTAGTCATTTTACAACCGTTGTAATATTTTCAGCGAAGATAATAGTAAGTTTCAATTATTTTTTTCTCTTTATTTATTGCATGAATGATATATTTTATTCTGTTCTGGCTTTGATCTTAATTCGTTGATTATTTCTTGTTAAATATCTTCAAATCATACTGTTGCAAACTACCAATATGTCGTATAGTATTTCATTATAATACAACACCCAAAGTGTTCTTCAGGGGGAAATAAATTAAAAATGCCAGAATGCAAAAATAAGTCTTGAACCATCACCTTTCTTGTTGAATATCTTATCTTATGCTATGAATCCAAAACTTTACTAACAAAACGATGTTCATGTAAACGGTTTTATATTTTTATTTTTAGCACACAATTTGAGTTATTTGCACACGCGTATTCTATTTATAATTACGCGTATGGAATCAGATCATGCAGATGCATTTAAGCTTCAAGAATCGTAATCTTTTTGTTTCTTATTTATAAATATTCTGTAGAGTTTCAGGTCTGATTATAACATTTCGAGCTAAGAAAATATCATCGCTTTATTTCATCTTGAAATTCTACATCTGTACTTTTTTCGCGTGTACTTATTTTCGTACGTATTAAAAAAAATACCAACATAACTGCTTGTTTTTTTGTGAGTCAGAAGTGATAGTTATATGACAAAAATATATAAACAAGAATCAAGCAAGAGGATAAGGATGCAGGGTGATCCAACCATTCCATTTTCCCGTTTATTTTCTTGAGAGAAGCTGAAAAAAAAAATAAATGATAATAATAACAGAAATCAAATACTTTTAAATAACGATGACAAGTATTTTTTCCAGTAAGATGGTTTGAAAACCGCAATTGAAAGTTCTTTATAATTGATTTTGAATGTTACGTACTGCGGTATTCCTGCCAAGCTTTACGTTTTAGAACAAACATATTTATAGGTTTAATAAGGAGTGAGAATTGGATATCGCTTGATATCAACTCGAGTTAATTAATTTCAATATAATAAATAGGACTCATTTTCTTGAAACCACCAAGGAGTATGTGATACAGATTTATGGACTCATACTACCATAGATAAAATAGACAAAGATAAAGTACTACATAGAATTAAGAACATACTTTTCAAACAGTTTAAAAAAATTGTTTGCAAATATAACGTGTACATGTTCAGTTTTTCAATATTGTTTAACAAATTTTCAAAAGTTATGTAAATATCAATTGTCCATTGACCGATTCAGGAGATTTTGTTTAGAGGGGCGTACACAAATATAGTAATATTCATTGAAAGCGAGGCGACAACATTTTTCGTTTAGGTTCCTATTCAGAGGAAATCAGTTACGTTTTTGTTTATATTAACGATGGAATGTACTGTGTGATCTTCAGATATTTTGTATTTAAAAAGAGGGGCATAAATAGAATACTTGAATATCCATTTAAATCAGATTACATGTAGGTTGGCATTAGTATTATTATTCCGAAATGAAATCCAAACATACTCTTTTTTTTATGAAATCATCCCTAGTAAAGACAAACACACATTGACCATTTTAATCCAGAAAGTAGACATATGGAAAGCTACGTTCTATAACATAACAATAAAAAAGATTGAAGTCAAATTTGCAGATATTATGTATAGTCAGTTTAATGGGGAATTAAAAGATTCTTGAAAAAATGAACAGGTTTATCCCAAAATGTAACAAGCCAATATTTAAAATATATACAGAAATTGGGAAACTTGACCCAATATTTATTTTTTTAAAGTTAAAATATATAAAATCAAATTGTGAATCCTCACTCAACAAGCAAGTATTCTGCACAAGCCAACCAGTAAAAATAAATATTAAAGAAGAACTTGAATTACCTACACGAACCTATTTTCAAACATCGTTTATAGTTGGTTCGAAATATCATCTATAGATTATTAACACAAAAAATGACTTTACTAATTGTATTAAGGGTAACTTAAAAACAAAAAAACGATATCTTAAAAAGAAATAGGGTACTAGTAGCTCTACGTATATCAAAAGCAAAAAATCTACGTGTAACTGCATCTGTGACTTCATGCAGTTTTAGATATATATGAATACAAGTCTGAAATAATATTCTTATTGTTTTTTGTAGACAAAACATGACAGAAACGAATAAGAATACTTCAAATAACAAAGAAACCGATAAAGTCATAAAGCAGCTATCAGCCAAAATAAATAAAGAACCAAAGAATGCAGAAAACTTTTTCAAAAGAGCCCAGCAATATTCCAAGAAAAAGGACTATGAAAATTGTTACAATGATGCTAAACATGCGTTAGAACTAGACGAAACCTTGATTGAGGCAGCCATTCTTGGGGGCGAAGCAGCTACAAAATGTGGGAAGTTCCAGGGAGCACATAGCATATTTTCTATCGGCTTGAAACAAAACAAAAAGAACGAAAACCTGATACAAGGCCTGCAAAAGTTGCAAAGAGCAATCGTCGACTCTTACGATACAGAGGACACATCAGAACAAGGGTACAACGCCGTGGACCTCTGTACACAGAGTCCGTATCCTGGCGATGACCAATTATTGAATTTAGAGAAGGAAATTCTGGACAGAAGGCATGACATTAGGGAAGTTCCAAAATTACCGAAGAAAGAAATAGATCCAGATCTTAGACAAAGGGCAGCACAAGCCGCAATGGCTGGTCACAAATGTATGATCGCAGGAAAATTTAGCGAGGCTCTAGAAAGTTTTTCGTATGCGGTTGACATTGAGACAGACAATATCATACTAAGACGTCTCCGAGCTGAGGTATACTTTATTAACCAAGACCCAGTCAGCGCCATGAAAGACTTAATGCATATACAGAAACCAGAGAGATCAGCTGATGCCTGGAAGTTAGGAGGTAATAAGAGTATAAAAAAGTAATGTGGTATGATTGCCAATGAGACAACTCTCCACAAGAGACCAAATGACACAGAAATTAACAACTATAAGTCACCGTAAGCCCATACCGCACAGTCAGTTATAAAAGGCCCCGAAATGACTATGTAAAACAATTCAAACGAGAAAACTAACGGCCTAATTTATGTACAAAAAATGAACGAAAAACAAATATGTAACACATAAACAAACGACAACCACTGAATTACAGGCTCCTGACTTGGGACAGCAACATACATACAGAATGTGGCGGGGTTAAACATGTTAGCGGGATCCCAACCCTCCCCCTAACCTGGGACAGTGGTGTAACAGTACAACATAAGAACGAACTATAAAAATCAGTTGAAAGAGGCTTAACTCATCAGATGGATAAAAATACAAATACTACAAATACAAGTGGACGTGGCCGGGTACTTGTACATCCAAACAACAAAAAAGACACTAAGTACAGATCTGAGATTACTCGCAGTTACTGACAGCTAGTTCAAAGCTACTTACAACTAATAAAAAAAACATGCATCTAAGACTAAATTATCAATCCGTTCACGTCCAACATCCAATGGATTTAGTGTAAAGACGTCATAAACAGTCAGAGAAAAACATGACCTTGTGCAATGCCAAGATACAGGTATCGACAGATTGTAGATCCATGAATGTGTATATGTATATAACAATAATATTTAGTTTGCTTTTAATTTACTGATAACAAAATCAATATAAGTACCAATGAAACAATATTTAATGATCTAATTACAGTGTTGAATTGGTAACCTTTTAGAATAAGTTTATTTAAAATATCGATAAGTTTACCAGGATAGAGTGTATTTCTGCCGCCAGTTTTGGCATACTAGCAGTCTTTTTAATTAGTTGCATAGTTTTTTTCACAGTGCATCTAGAGTTACAGTTATATATGTAAAGTGATGTTTGTCTAATAAATGTAACTGTCACACCTTTCTTGAAATAAAATAAATTAGTCTTTTGCAGTTGTACTTTGCAATTTCAAAGCGAACGCATCAACCTTAACATAAACGAACAAACAAACAGACATTAAATTAGTTTAGTGAATAGGGGTATTTTAACGTTCTGCACACTAAACAACTCGATGCTATAAGGAAAAAAAATCGGTACATTTTACTCTCATTTAACACCACCGAGGAGATACCGTCAATGATGGACAGTTGATCCTCAATACTGAGTATCATCAGTCCAGTTGTCAATATTTCGGCAAATCTAATATTACAAATTGACCGTTTTTGTTTTGACAATACAATTGTATTTCGGCAACTTACGGATTTATACATTATATTAGGCATTCCTAACTAATAGTATTCCTGATAAAGTAAATCAAGTTCATTGCAAGCTCAAATATTCTTCTCTGTTACAGGAAAATTGCTAATGGAGTTCAAACTTCCTGTGTTGGCTGAATTTTGGCTAAGAAAAGCATCTGAGATGGTGAAAGGTAAAGACGAAGAGACCGCTATTTGTTTTCAGAAAGTGCGAGCTCATCGTTTGTATGACCCTTTGACAAAAGACATGCCAATCAGTGTGGATTTCACAATGTATGGAAAAGCAATATTTGCTGTCAAAGATATAAAAGCAGGTGACATTGTATTTTCCGACGCTCCTATTGTGACGACACCATACGTAACAGAAGACAAAAAGCAGGTGGTAAAAGGTTGCAACCACTGTGGTACTTCACTTATGACTGCACGTGACTACTTCCAAGAAAAACTGGACAATATGGATGCAACCGCAAAAGAAGTCGTTGAAAATAACTGGCCCGTAACCAAACCAGTAGTCTGCTCGGAATGTAAACTGGTTACATATTGTAGCAATATTTGTAAAAATACAGCGTGGGAAAGACACCACGAACTGCTTTGCCCAGCAAGATCGAAAGCAACGAAGAAGTTGTATGACATCGACCAAAACAAGGGATGGGGAACTGATGTAGATGGGACATGGAAAGAATTGTGGTCGGGGCACTTTTCCATATATATTTTGGCAAAGATCTGGGCAAACATTGCAGCAGACGTCAAATTGTGGATGAAACAGGATGGAAAAGATGTACCAGAAATGATTCACTGGGCTAAAGCTAAAGCCCCCTTCAGGAAGTAAGTGGTTTGTGCTCTTTATTTGAAAAAAAAATCCACAAAAAAACAAAAACAAACGCAAACACTAACGTCTTTTAAACACCGTATTTCGCCACTGTTGTTGATATAATGATCAAATTGATTGGTTGCCTGAATAAACGAAATATCATTGTCATGAACGAAGTACGAGGAGATTTTAAATCGATAAAATGTAACGGTACTGACAAAATTTACCATGAACTGCTGTCATGACTTTCGTGTTATTCAGTTAAATAAGAATCTAAAAGAGAGGCGAAAGATGCCAAAGAGTTTATTCAAACTCATAAGTCGAACACAAACTGAGCAATATCATGTTAAAAAAAACGACCAAAAGACAAACAACAGTATACAAAACACAACATACAAAAATATAGACTGAGCAACATGAACCCTCCAAAAAACCGGGTGCTCCTGAAGGGAATGCAGATCCTGCTCAACATGTGGTACCAGTTTTGTTGCTCATGTAAGTACAAACCCAGTGGCAAATCGAATTTGGTAGGTCACATATTCGAGGAAAAGAGGACGGGACCTTGGTCGCGAGAACTTGAACATATCCGTCGTCATCTGTGCAGACATTCCATAACGGTCAACCAACTCGTGGTTGCGTCCGTGATATTACTTTATATGCGTTAAATATAAAATCCAAATGGATTTATATCGAAGAACAAATATCGTATTTCTTAATTGTTTTGGTAACCGGTGTAGAACTGTTTATAAATCAACTCCATTTATCATGACAAATAGAATTTTACGTTTTTTGTTTCTATACATGTATTATTTATATCGTAGTAACAAATAGAAGTTTACCGGCTATTCTTTAGATATACAGTAGTTTGAACTCACTGTCTTATTAATAAGAGAACATGAAAGAAAACAGAACCAAAATGAGCGTAAAAAGATATACTCTGGAACATAATGATAACAAAAGAAACAAAACTTGTAAATACATTGCCTACCAATGTATCATCTTTATAAAACAATCAGTAAACCAAGAACTACGCGTCTACATATACCATGAAGTAGTGTTGTAACATTTTTTTCATAAATATATTTTTCCAGGTTTATTGCATTTGGAGTTGGTTCAGCTGCAAAGGAGATGCCTTACGTATTAAAGGTAATGAACGATATATTTCGTGACTGTGGGGACGGAATTAAGATGGACATAACAGAACAAGAATTGAATGGAAGGTATTACCAAGCTGCCTGCAATCTTCAGATTTACTCAGATCCGATCACACCGTATCACAAATTCTATGACAATTTGTCTAATTTTAATCCCGAAGATCCGAAGGCGTTGTCGATTTTGAAATATCTGGACGACAAAATTCCGAGTGCATCATTTGCTGGAATGTTTCCATTGCACGCATGCCTAAATCACTCATGTGTGAACAACGTGGAAGTAAGTGACGGGGAAGTGAACGGAGTTCCAGGTGTTTCCGTCCGAGCTAAAGCAGACATCAAAGAAGGCGAGGAACTAACAACAACGTACATTGACACTACCATGCCAAGACGGCTAAGACGTGCATGGATGTACAAATCTTTCAATTTCTGGTGTCAATGTCCACGTTGTCAGTTCGAGGGAGACGATGCGTATTCCTGTACAAATTGTAAGAAGAGAGCAGGCGACACATCATTTAAAGGATGTGGGAAATGTCATCGTGCATGGTACTGTTCTTCAGAATGTCAGAAGATAAACTGGAAGGAAGGACACAAATTAGTTTGTGGTGTGACTCATTCCAAAGCAGATTACAGTTGATACCAATCATATCAAACATTTCATATCCATGGAAACGTACACGTTAAAAATGTAACTGTTTTTTTCTTGACATTTTTAAGATGTTTCAACGAAAGATTTATTGTTTAGTTTAAGTTATTATCACATTTCTTAGGGAACGGAAGTATCATATACCAAGGCGTGTTTCATTTCGAAAACGAAAGGTTTACAATGAAGGAACATATACCAAATATTTAGTATTTTATTTATGGTTGGTTTGGTGTTTGTTTCTAAAAAGAAACTACTGATAATGTTCGAATTTCTGTTTGTGTTGACTTTACCATTAAAAATATATTTACCAAAATCAATGTTTTTGGGGCTTTTATGCAGGATTGTTTAATAGTTGAATTTTGTTCTGTTAAGGTAGATCATCAGTATATATTTCCTCAGATAGAATTTTCTTATACTTTGCCAAAATGTAGATGATACCATGTTTTTGTTAGAAAATATTATAAAAAGTAAGGGTCACTGTGCTATTTTTATACGACCGCAAAAAAATTTTTGTGGTCGTATATTGGTATGACGTTGGCGTCGTCGTCGTTGTCGTCGTCGTCGTCGTCGTCGTCGTCTGGCGTCGTCCGGCGTCGTCCGAAGACACATTGGTTTTCGCACTCTAACTTTAGTTTAAGTGAATGGATCTCTATGAAATTTTACCACAAGGTTCAATACCACAAAAGGAAGGTTGGGATTGATTTTGGGGGTTATGGGACCAACAGTAAAGGAATAAGGGGCCAAAAAGGGGCCAAAAATAAGCATTTTTGTAATTCCCAGACATAACTTGTGTGTTAGTGTATGGATCTCTCTGACATTGTACCACAAGGTTCCATATCACAAAAGGAATGCTGGGATTGATTTTGGGGGTAATTGCCTCAAAATTTTAGGAATTAGGGGCAAAAAACAAGCATTTTTCTAGTTTCATGACAATAACTTGTGTGTAAGTGTATGGATCTTTCTGAAATTGTACTACAAGGTTCCATATCACAAAGGGAAAGCTGGAATTGAGTTTGGGGGTAATTGCCGAAACGTTTAGAAATTGGGGTCCAAAAAGGGGCCAAAAATAAGCATTTTTCTAGTTTCCAGACAATAACTTGTGTTCAAGTGTATGGATCTCTCTGAAATTGTACTGCAAGGTACCATACCACAAAGGGAAGGCTTGGATTGATGATGGGGGTAATTGCCTCAATATTTTAGGAATTAGGGGCCAAAAAGGGACAAAAAACACATTTTCTAGTTTCCAGACAATAACTTGTGTTCAAGTGTATGGATCTCTCTGAAATTGTACTGCAAGGTACCATACCACAAAGGGAAGGCTGGGATTGAGTTTGGGGGTGATGAATCATAAGGGGGTTCAAAAAATTTGGGGGGGGGGGATTTTTTTTTCTTCCTTTTTTTTCTTTTTTTTCTTTTTTTTTTCTTTTAAAATTTTCCATTTTAAGTTGGTTATTTCTGATTTATATTTAAAAGCAAATAATAATGATATGGTAGGAGATACACACCAAACAGGATGTGTAAATTATTATATAATAAGTATTGTGCAATAGCAAGAAATTTTCAATTGCACAGTATTGCACAATAGCAAGAAATCTTCAATTGCACAGTATTGCGCAATAGCAAGAAATCTTCAATTGCACAGTATTGCACAATAGCAAGAAATATCCAATAGCACAATATTGCGCAATAGCAAGAAATTGTCAATAGTACAGTATTGCGCAATAGCAAGAAATATTTAATTGCACAGTATTGTGCAAAAGAAGATACTTCGTATAAATTGCTTATTTCTTGACCAATTTCAATGGGGTTTTATTCTTGAATTCTTGGGGTTCTTTAATATGCTGAATCTAACCGTGTATTTAGTTTTTGGATTTTGGGCCCCTTTTTAAATTGGTCCACATTGAGGTCCAAAGGGTCCAAAATGAAACTTTGTTTGATTTCATCAAAAATTGAATTATTGGGGTTCTTTGATATGCCGAATCTAACCGTGTATTTAGATTCTTAATTTTTGGTTCCGTTTTCAAATTGGTCTACATTAAGGTCCAAAGGGTCCAAAATTAAACTTAGTTTGATTTTAACAAAAATTGAATTCTTAGGGTTCTTTGATATGCTGAATCTAAACCTGTATTTAGATTTTTGATTATGGGCCCAGTTTTCAAGTTGGTCCAAATCGGGGTCCAAAATTAAACTTTGTTTGATTTCAACAAAAATTGAATATATGGGGTTCTTTGATATGCTGAATCTAACCATGTATTTAGATTTTTGATTTTTGGGCCCCGTTATCAACTTTGTCCACAGTGAGGTCAAAAGGGTCCAAAATTAAACTTTGTTTGATTTCATCAAAAATTGAATTCTTGGGGTTCTTTGATATGCTGAATCTAACCATGTATTTAGATTTTGGATATTGGACCATAATAGGTGAATGTCCAATTTAAAATTTTTAAGTTCTTAGACCACATTCATTCTGTGTCAGAAACCTATGCTGTGTCAAATATTTAATCACAATCCAAATGCAAAGCTGTATCAAGCTTGAATGTTGTGTCCATACTTGCCCCAACTGTTCAGGGTTCGACCTCTGCGGTCGTATCAAGCTGCGCCCTGCGGAGCATTTTATTCTAGCTTCAAGTCGTGCAAAATTGGGCATAAATTTTAAATGAAAAAAACACTTTTTTTGTAAATAAAAAGAAATCTAGGAGACAGACGTTTGAAATAGAATATGGGAAGATAGATTTCATACTAAATAAAGAGAAAAAATGATGTCACCCAACTTGTTTTCTTGCTATAAGGCAAAAAATGAAAATTTCAGTAACAATCGCAATAAATTCACGCAGAAATTTCTAAATTTATAAATTCATGAAACAGTAATCCGTGTGTAATTTATTGTGTTCAATGATTATTTCTCCACACGTGTGTATGTCGAACGTTTGATTCTGTGCAATATTGCCATTTTACAGAATTTACTCTTTATTCAACCTGTAGAAATACGTGGAAATGATATATTTTAGACTAAAATAACAATATTTAATTGTATAAAATAAATTTTTTGGATAAATTCGGATTTAACTATTGCTAGATGGGCATCCTTGTAAAATAGAAAACTATATGCTTCAATCAGCTGTGCATTAAAATTACAATTTAAGGTTCTACATTGTGCTTTGAGATATTTTCTATATCACACCTCTTTATATTCACCAAGTCAATCTCTTTTTAAGAGAAGACACAAAGCGATTATCAGATAATGCCGACCTCGCTTAAAAATACAGAGCAAATTATACCGACTTATAGCTTCTTTAGAACCAGATGTGTACAAAAACTACACCACTTGTTGAACAATGACATCTTAGCAGTCAGCTTCTTGTAAAGGATGTGGTTGCAGACCAAATCTGGTTTACAGAAATTCTTCGATAAAAAACGATTTTATATCTTAATTCTGAATATTTCACCAACTTTTACTCCTGTCAGGTTGCTTTTAATGGCTAACTTTCTTGCAATTGCGTCTGATTAGGTAAATCGCAGGATTGTCAGATTCTTGAAGAATATTCATTAAAATGACGCACACCGCATGCCATTAGTTTACACAGTTACAACAATATATACGACAATTGTATTTTAAAAGAAACCGGTATCAATTTTTAACAATGTCACGCAATTATGGACCAACTGAAATTTATTATTCAATTGATAAATCAGAGATATCAAATACCTGTAATGCTATATTAGAACCATCAGTACTTTGTCAATAAAGGACACTTCAATCTAATCAAATATGCAATGAATTTATCTTGAAGTGAAAGTGTCATGTATGATAATGTTTCGCTTGCATTAGTTGTTAAATACAAAGTCAAAACACACGAATGAAAGTCCTGTGAAAATAAGTATAACCTTATAATACTTTAAATTAATCACTGAACATATACGTTATTGATATAGCCCTTTACATGAAATTTACATATATAAGTAGATGTTATTGAAGAATTACATGTTTGACTTTGTCAGAGTTACATACAAATCTTTCTGCAGAACTGGGATATATTAATGGTGGTGCATAATTCCCTATTATTCAAATATATGCTGTTGAAATAGGGAAATGTTAAGTAAACCTCATTTATACAGCAACTAAACAACACAAAGTAACAAACATTCATCAATGATAGACAAGAACAAAGACAAAAATTAAGGTGCTCATTTCCCAAATACAGCTTTTTTTTTGTAATTCTTTCCCACTTTCCATATTTCCCCAATATCCCACTTTTTTTACCCCCTACATCCTAAGATGCGTGTCGTGTCGTACCCCGAAAATAAGACTAAATGATTAGATCTTAATCGCCCAATTTTCATACATTGTGAAAAATATAATACAGAGACAACCCGATATCAGACACTAACATTTATCATAAACAAGAGGCTCTCAAGAGCCTGAATCGCTCACCTGTATTTCAGAGGAGAAGATTTTTAAATGTTAGCAAACTTGATGAACAAATTGTGTAAAATTGTCTTTAAAGGGCAATAACTCCTTAAGGGGTCAATTGACAATTTTGGTCATATTAACTTTTTTGTAGATCTTACTTTGCTGAACATTATTGTTGCTTACAGTTTATATATACCTATAATAATATTCAAAATAATAACAAAAAACTGCAAAATTTTGTTAAAACTACCAATTCGGTGGCAGCAACACAACAATGGGTTGTTCGATTCGTCTGATAATTTCAGGGCCTATAGATCTTGACCAATTAAACAATTTTACCCCATGTCACATTTGCTCTAAAAGATTTAGTTTTTGAGATATAAGCCAAAAACTGCATTTGACCCCTATGTTCTATTTTTAGCCATGGCGGCCATGTTTGTCGATGGATCAAAACTTCGGATACAATTTATAAACTAGATACCATAAGGAACATTTAGTTAGTTTGAAGGTATTTGGCCCAGTAGTATCAGAGGAGAAGATTTTTGAAATAGTTTACGACGATAGACGACGACGACGGACGCCAAGTAATGGCATAAGCTCACATGTCACCCTACCTAGACACATTATTCTGGCTCACTGTCTACCAGTCGTAGATCTTACCTTTAAATGACAAAATTTTAGCAGATAAGCAGCAATAAAACTGTCCTTTAAATAAATCTGAAATATCACTAGTTAGAATAATCAATTTTCTGTTGTGGTCACTTTATTCCTGTTGTACAAAAAATATTTTCCTTCAAAGACCAAACTGTTGCAGTAGTATATTGAGGCCAATAAGTTCAAAAGGGACATAACTCCTAGAAAAAAAATTGAGTCATAATTTCCTGTCGATATGCACATCTACATAGTATGTCCTTATTATCTACAAAGTTTCATGAAATTCTGTTGTGTGGTTTCAGAGGAGTTGCGATGACAAGAACAGGACTGAAGGACGGACAGACGGGTCAAAAACATTATACCCTCCGCAACTTTGTTGCGTGGGGTATAGTGGGGTTTCAGAGGAGTTGGGATGACAAACTGTTGCAACAGTATATTGAGGCAAATAAGTTCAAAGGGGCATAACTCCTAGAAAAAAATTGAATCATAATTTCCTGTCGATATGCACATCTACATAGTATGTCCTTATTATCCACAAAGTTTCATGAAATTCTGTTGTGTGGTTTCAGAGGAGTTGCGATGACAAGAACAGGACTGAAGGACAGACGGACGGACAGACGGACAGGTCAAAAACATTATACCCTCTGCAACTTCGTTGCGTGGGGTATAATAAATGATCATGATAAAATTTGATTTCCAATGCATACAGGTATATGAAGGTTCCAGTGTAGTTTAAAAGATCAGGATAACAATTTGATATCCCGTGCATACAGCCACAGGTATATGAAGGTTCCAGTGTAGTTTAAAAGATCATGATAACAATTTGATATATAATGCATACAGGTATTTGAAGGTTTCAGTGTAGTTTTAATAAAAGATCATGATAAAATTTGGTATATTACGCATACAGGTATTTGAAGGTTCCAGTGTAGTTTTAATTAAAGAACCTTAGTGAGCGCGCTCACATACCCCACGTCCCCACATTGTCACTGGAGAAATAAAATAACTGTAAGAAAAAAAAATTGTATAAGAAAAAAAAATTGAATCATAATTTCCTGTCGATATGCACATCTTCATAGTATGTCCTTATTATCTACAAAGTTTCATGAAATTCTGTTATGTGGGTTCAAAGGAGTTGCGATGACAAACTGTTGCAGAGGTATATTGAAGCAAATAAGTTCAAAGGGGCGTAACTCCTAGAAAAAAAATTGAATCGTAATTTCCTGTCGATATGCACATCTACGTAGTATGTCCTTATTATCTGAAAAGGTTTCATGAAATTCTATTGTGTGGTTTGAGAGGAGTTGCGATGACAAAAGGTTGCAGTAGTATATTGGGCAAATAAGTTCAAAGGTACGTAACTCCTGGAAAAAAAATTGAATCATAATTTCCTGTCGATATGCACATCTACGTAGTATGTCCTTATTATCTACAAAGTTTCATGAAATTTTGTTATGTGGTTTCAGAGGAGTTGAGATGACAAACTGTTGCAGTAGTACATTAAAGTAAATAAGTTCAAAGGGGCGTAACTCCTAGAAAAAAAATTGAATCATAATTTCCTGTCGATATGCACAACTACATAGTATGTCCTTATTATCTAAAAAGCTTTCGTTAAATTCTGTTGTGTGGTTTGAGAGGAGTTGAGATGACAAGAAACAGGACTGACGGACTGATGGACGGACAGACGGACAGACGGACGGACAGGTCAAAAACATTATACCCTCCGCAACTCGTTGCGTGGGGTATAATGAAAGATCATAATAACAATTTGATATATAATGCATGCAGGTATATGAAGGTTCCAGTGTAGTTTAAAAGATCATGATAACAATCTGATATCCCGTGCATACAGCCACATGTTTATGAAGGTTCCAGTGTAGTTTAAAAGATCATGATAACAATTTGATATATAATGCATACAGGTATTTGAAGGTTCCAGTGTAGTTTTAATAAAAGATCATGATAAAATTTGATAAATAATGCATACAGGTATTTGAAGGTTCCAGTGTAGTTTTAATGAAAGATCATGATAAAATTTGATATATAATGCATACAGGTATTTGAAGGTTCCAGTGTAGTTTTAATAAAAGATCATGATAAAATTTGATATATAATGCATACATGTATTTGAAGGTTCCAGTGTAGTTTTAATAAAAGATCATGATAACAATTTGATATATAATGCATACAGGTATATGAAGTTTCAGTGTAGTTTTAATAAAGGATCATGATAAAATTTTGATATCCAATGCATACAAGTATTTGAAGGTTTCAGTGTAGTTTAAAAGGTCATGGTAATAATTTGATATCCTATGCATACAGGTATATGAAGGTTTCAGTGTAGTTTAAAAGGTCATGGTAACAATTTGATATCCTATGCATACAGGTATATGAAGGTTCAAGTGTTGTTTTAAAGGTCATGATGACAATTTGATATCGAATGCATGGTATATGATGGTTCCACCAAGAATATCTGTATTACAACAGCACTAATTATACATCTCTGAAGGGGCTTTTTTTTCATGATTACATATTGTTCAACATTGTAAATACAGCTGTTTCTCAAACCACGCCTCTTTTGGGGAGATATAGAATATTCATAGATAATTAATTTTGTTTACATACTGGTTCCCAGTTATGATCTCTAGGTTTCATCTCATAGAGACAAAACTTGGGAATGTTACCAGTAAATATACATATGCATATTGTTTATATTGAAATCAGCGGTAATACTACAGTCAAGGTAGGGATAGTTAAGAAATTTAGTGTTAGTTTAAACTTTTTGAAGTTCGGGGCATATAAACGTTGAAAATATGCCGCACAGCCCTATATTTTGACCTTTGAAAAAAATTGTAGTGCATATGAACTTTCCATTCTAGGATATGATTTTTTTCAAAACTTCATAGTAAAAGTGGTACAGTTTTAGCCGTAAAAGGAGTTCCTATGGGAAATTGCATTGTCAATAGTTACAGAAATGCAACCTATAGAGATTTCAGGAAAATCTGCATACAGATATATGTATCAGATATCAGAATGCAAGTTCTTATTATTGCATTATTTACCTAGTCGCATTATTCGCATTACAATAATTTCTGAATTTACATTTCTTTAAAAACATTATTATAATCTTGAAAATATGAAAATTATAGGAATTTCATCTTTATTGTCAGCACATATTATGATGAAATAATTTAGAACAAATACAATATAATGTCTCATGTAGAAAAGATAATGTATTTATCCTTACAAAATTCACACATGAGAAAGAAGGATATACATTTTCTCTGTTTAACCAAGTCATCTAGAACATCTTGTCAGTTTTATTATTCATTGTAAGGCAACTCTAGTGTCATAAATAGCAGAATCCAACATCATATCTTCATTTCAACTCTCATTTTAGCACAAAGTCAGTTTTGTAGAAAAACATTGTTTCCATTACTCCAGTGTAAACTTTCTATTTGCCTTGAGGGAAGTGTAAAAGAAATCACCACACTGTTTCCACTTGTAATTGTAAACTTGATAGAGCTGTAAAAAAACAAGTTACAAAATGCTTCTACATTAAAATATACTTGCTATTTATAGTTTGCCCTTATTTTGTGCTGTTATACAACTTTTCAAGGTTAGATTGAGTGTTGAGTGTTTTCAAACTTGTTTAACCATGCCACATTCTTTATGTGCCTGTTCCAAGCCAGAAGCTTGTAATCCAGCGATAGTTGCAGTTTGATGGCTCTTTTATAGCTTACTGTATGGTATGGGTTTTGCTCATTTTTGACAGCTGTATGGTATTGGGTTTTGCTCAGTATTGACAGCTGTATGGTATGGGTTTTGCTCATTTTTGACAGCTGTATGGTATTAGGTTTTGCTCATTATTGACAGCTGTATGGTATGGGCTTTGCTCATTTTTGACAGCTGTATGGTATTGGGTTTTGCTCAGTATTGACAGCTGTATGGTATGGGTTTTGCTCATTTTTGATAGCTGTATGGTATTGGGTTTTGCTCATTTTTGACAGCTGTATGGTATTGTGTTTTGCTCATTATTGACAGCTGTATGTATTGGGTTTTGTTCATTCTTGACAGCTGTATGGTATTGGGTTTTGCTCAGTATTGACAGCTGTATGGTATGGGTTTTGCTCATTATTGACAGCTGTATGTATTGGGTTTTGTTCATTCTTGACAGCTGTATGGTATTGGATTTTGCTCAGTATTGACAGCTGTATGGTATTGGGTTTTGCTCATTATTGACAGCTGTATGTATTGGGTTTTGTTCATTCTTGACAGCTGTATGGTATTGGGTTTTGCTCAGTATTGACAGCTGTATGGAATGGGTTTTGCTCATTTTTGACAGCTGTATGGTATTGGGTTTTGCTCATTTTTGACAGCTGTAAGGTATTGGGTTTTGCTCATTATTGACAGCTGTAAGGTATGGGTTTTGCTCATTTTAGACAGCTGTATGGTATGGGTTTTGCTCATTATTGACAGCTGTATGGTATGGGCTTTGCTCATTATTGACAGCTGTATGGTATGGGTTTTGCTCATTATTGACAGCTGTATGGTATTGGGTTTTGCTCATTATTGACAGCTGTATGGTATTGGGTTTTGTTCATTATTGACAGCTGTATGGTATTGGGTTTTGCTCATTTTTGACAGCTGTATGGTATGGGTTTTGCTCATTTTTGACAGCTGTATGGTATGGGTTTTTATGGTATGGGTTTTGCTCATTTTTGACAGCTGTAAGGTATGGGTTTTGCTCATTTTTGACAGCTGTATGGTATTGGGTTTTGCTCATTTTTGAGAGCTGTATGGTATTGGGTTTTGCTCATTATTGACAGCTGTATGGTATGGGTTTTGCTCATTTTTGACAGCTGTCTGGTATTGGGTTTTGCTAATTTTTGACAGCTGTATGGTATGGGTTTTGCTCATTATTGACAGCTGTATGGTATGGGCTTTGCTCATTATTGACAGCTGTATGGTATGGGCTTTGCTCATTATTGACAGCTGTATGGTATGGGTTTTGCTCATTATTGACAGCTGTATGGTATTGGGTTTTGCTCTGTATGGTATGGGTTTTGCTCATTTTTAACAGCTGTATGGTATTGGGTTTTGCTCATTATTGACAGCTGTATGTATGGGTTTTGCTCATTTTTTACAGCTGTATGGTATGGGCTTTGCTCATTATTGACAGCTGTATGGTATGGGTTTTGCTCATTTTTGACAGCTGTATGGAATGGGTTTTGCTCATTATTGACAGCTGTATGGTATTGGGTTTTGCTCATTTTTGACAGATGTATGGTATTGGTTTTGCTCATTTTTGACAGCTGTATGGTATTGGGTTTTGCTCATTTTTGACAGCTGTATGGTTTGGGTTTTGCTCATTTTTGACAGCTGTATGGTATTGGGTTTTGCTCATTATTGACAGCTGTATGTATGGGTTTTGCTCATTTTTTACAGCTGTATGGTATGGGCTTTGCTCATTATTGACAGCTGTATGTATGGGTTTTGCTCATTTTTGACAGCTGTATGGTATTGGGTTTTGCTCATTATTGACAGCTGTATGTATGGGTTTTGCTCATTTTTTACAGCTGTATGGTATAGGCTTTGCTCATTATTGACAGCTGTATGGTATGGGTTTTGCTCATTTTTGACAGCTGTATGGTATGGGTTTTGCTCATTATTGACAGCTGTATGGTTTTGGTTTTGCTCATTTTTGACAGATGTATGGTATGGGTTTTGCTCATTTTTGACAGCTGTATGGTGACCTATAGTTGTTTACATCCTTCCCTTCCTTAATTTCATTGGTTCAACAACAATTAAAAAAAAAGATCTGCCAAACAATTCATCCATGTATTGTCAAAAAAAAAAAAAAGATATCCAGAGTTTTACTCATGGTTTAAACTAGGGATATCAACTCGGTGAAGATTTACTAATGGAGTACTCGTTAGATTTACCGAGCGATACTCAAGTACTCGCACGGAAAAACATCTACAAAATTATACCCATTTTACGTATTGTGGGACCTTGTCTTATGGACGTAAACCCTCAACATTATTACCCAGGACTAGATAATAGTCCTAAGACATTTATACCATGCATACACTAATTATGTAAGCTGGCAATGATCTAATCAATTAATTAATAAACATCTATAGAAAAAAAGATTACTCAAACAATAGTAATTGGTAATCCTAAAAAAAACACATTTAATGGTCAGCAAAGGGTGATGATTAGAACTTACTGATGCCTTTAACCATTTTCTGAGGGTCGACACAGGGTGCAACGAAATTGTTCTTATTAAGTAATATTATCTTGTCAGCTTTTTCTGTGACGAGTCCATTCTCAACTTTGTTACGTAACTAACAGTCCTGCTGATGAAAATATTTTCTCTGACAGTACAGAGGTAGTTTAATGACTCAGATACGCTACGCTAAAATTGAAGTCTTGGAAAGGTGCTCTTGTGCATAGTCCACCTATGTTTGGAGGAATTTTAAATGACAATTAAATGCAAACATTTGAAACGTATATTAATTTTGATTAATTATGATTAATATTTAATTTTCCGGGAAGTGCTCTAAATAAAAATATTATTTCTTTAAGAAGGCAACAAAATTCTTACAGGAAACCGAACAGTCAAGTATCATTTTGGTATTCGATACTCTGTACTACCGAGCGATACTCGAGTACACGTTCACCCCTAGTTTAAACAGAAGACAATGTCTTAACATTATTGATTGATTGACGGTGTTGAACTCCACTTTCAGCTATCTTGGCTTTATCATGACATCCAGTTTTGATGATAGAGGAAGCCAGAGTACCCAGAGAGAACCTCCCACCTTAAGTAGGAAAACTTACAATCTTGGTCAATAAAGATTCGAGTCCTACACACCTAGTCAAGGGCAGGGTTCCAACTCACAATCTCAGTGTTGACAGGCTCATGATCACTGTCAATGAACTACTTAGCCCTATCCACCACCGAGGCCCCTCTATGCAATATGTCAATCTCTAAATCACCTGAAGTATAGAAAAGATGTCTACCAATAATATAACAATGCTGAGAGATGAACATAATTTCTCTATATATACCTGATGCTTTATATCTACCTTCAGTCCTTGCTATGGAACTGGAAGTTATTAAGCCTCATAAAGTTTTCTATCAATATGATTCTATCTTCTTCAACTAAAATGTCCATAGGTCTTGAATAATATATGGTGGCAACATCCTTCTTTTTATCAAGTTCCTTTCTTTGATACAGTTTAATCATATGATGGCTTGAGATATCAAGCAAGGTAAAATATACCTACAAATGAAAATACAATACATGTATCCTTTAGTATACAGTAAAATAATTACATGTTTACACTAAAACATTTTCAAGCCTATCCATGAAATATTGTCTATACATGATGCATGAGATCTAAGTCAAGGTTACCAACTTTCAGTAGAAGGTTAGCAGCCATTTTCTTAATTTGGTAAGAATATCTAAATGACTTCTATTACTTTTATAAATTTAAATGAGAATATCCCTACAATAATTTACCCTAAACAATGTTGACTATGGGGAAGGCTGTCACATAATTTCTTCCAAGGCTATACAACATCATGCTTACTGGTAAATAATGTGTGAATTTTTAAACAACATCTACATGAATTCCTCCACAGTTTTCGTTCTAATTTGTGTTCTCCATTATCCATAATGCTGCAAATTTGACAAACAAAATGTTATCAGAAATGGCTGCTAGCCTTCCACTGAAAGTTGGTAACCTTGACCTACATTTCATGCATAAATGAATTTGAGACTGAGTATTATGCATTATCAAAGAGATCCATGTAAAGTTCTAAAGTTTAACACTGCCTGATACAGAAAAAACTGCAAAGCAATACTGTAAATTCAGAAATTATTGCGTGCATTTATTATTGCGATTTTGTCATTTTAGAATAAAATGCGATTTTAATTTTTGCGATATTGAGAAAAATCCTATTTAAATCATATGAAAAATTTCAAAATGCGAGTTTAATTTATTGCGATTATAACCCTGTCGCTTTTTTCGCAATAATAAAAACATCGCAATAATTTCTGAATTTACAGTAACTATAAACAAGCATCCACTTGGGAATAATTGTTCTAGAGCAGAGTCCATTAAACAGTTATCATTGTAGAACATAGTCCACAAAACAATAATCATTGTAGAACATAGTCCACAAAACAATAATCATTGTAGAACATAGTCCACAAAACAATAATCATTGTAGAACATAGTCCACAAAACAATAATCACAGTAGAACATAGTTCACAAAACAATAATCACTGTAGAACATAGTTCACAAAACAATAACCATGTAGAACAGAGTCCACAAAACAATAATCATTGTAAAACAGAGTCCACACAACAATAATCATTGTAGTGCAAAGCCCATAAAACAATAATCATTGTAGTGCAGAGTCCACAAAACAGTTTTCATTGTAGAACAGAGTCCACAAAACAGTTTTCATTGTATAACAGAGTCCACCAAACAATAATCATTGTATAACAGAATCCACAAAACAATAATCATTGTAGTGCAGAGTCCATAAAACAGTTATCATTGTAGAACAGAGTCCACAAAACAATAATCATTATAGTTCACAAAACAATAATCATTGTACATGAAGTGCATCTTTCACCTCTCTTTTACCAAATAATGCATAAAAATCCTCTTTACCAGATTGTTACTTGAGAACATGTTGAAGTATTTTTGTACTGAAAAGTTGGTCACCTTGACTTACATTTCATGCACCAGCCATTTTGAGACCATGTTTTTTGTAAGTACTTTTGTAAATTGAACAGTTACTTTACCTTTGTACCATTCACTATGATGCCAGGCATTTTGTCATTACCCTTGGCATATTTCCTGACATCCAATAAAAGTTCACCAGCATGTTGTCCTAGAACATTGCAATCCAAATCTTCTTTTATTTCTGGGTTGAAGATCTCACACTCATCTACCGAAGAACTATCACTACTACCCAATGAACTTTTTTTGTGTCTTTTGTGCACTGGTTCTTCATCTTGACTATCTTCTGTTGAAGAGCTGTCACTACTACTACAACTACTCTCTTTGTACCTTTTCTTTGACTGATTTTTAAATGGTTGTGTTTTCTAGTAATAATATAATAATATAAATTAATTGACAGTATTATTATTAAAAGGAATATCTTTAAATTGATAATAATGATTATGAAATCTATATATTTATCTATGAATTTTTTCCCAAGCCTGTCAACACTGAGGTCAAACCCTGCATGTGTCAGATACATTCGTCTCTAATCTTAATTGACTAGATTTGTCAGTTTTCCTGCTGAAGGTAAGTGGGGCTATCTGGCATCCTCCACCAATAAATACTGACCACCACTAAATAGCCAATAGTGCTGAGAGTGGCATTAAACACAAAAATTCTATCAGTCAATCAATCCTGTTTTTTTTAAATATTTGTTTGTTTCTTCTTTTTTTTTTTTGGGGGGGGGGGGGGGGGGGGGGGAGCTTTAACAAGAAGAACTAATAAGTAATTTATCTAAATTTACCATACATGTATACCAAAAGCTTTTCCTGAATGTAATTCAATATTGTTCCTCTGAACCTGTTTTTAAATTTGTGGAATTGGCTTTTGAAGCAATACTTTAATTAATCGTTGTTTAACTCATTCACAACATTGTTCTAAAGATAAAATATGGTATGGGTGTCTATTTTTCATTTTTCTGAAAATGCATGAAATATTTGCCAATGGACATAACATTACTTCTATGTCACGGAATAAGTGTGCCTTGAGATTACTTTGCTCTTCAAAATTATATAATAAACATACCTTAACAAAGGTAACAGTGCAAATGTTGTAATCTTTTTCTTTCTCTTTATATGACATACTTTTGGTACATAAACGGAAATCTGGATTGGAGGTAACATCAACACCCAGTAAACCTTGCCAAAAACTTGGAGCTGTACCACCAAACCTGAAGAACATGATATTAACACTTGCAGGCCTAGGACAACCATCTTACTACACATGCATTCATTAGCTGAACTATTTACATAATGTAACAAAATGTGCATAAACTATTGTTTGCTTTTGCTTTTTGTGGAAATGATCTACATGTATAAATAAAAAAAAATAAACCAAGCCATATGCTATAGTTAGCTAGACTTACCAAACTTCTGCCCGCAATGACTTACATTTGTACATGCTATTGTCTTGGAGATTGGAGAATATTTTGGCAAATAACTGTAACACTGTAACAGGAAACATAACCAAAGTTTCATGAGTCACGCTCGTCTCTAGAATTTTTTTGAGTCTTTTAAAACTGTACATTTGAAATTGTAATTTCTGATGAAAAAATGCAATAGTTCCCCTTCAAAATGAGATGTCTGTGACGATTCATCATAATATCTTAATACAGATATATCTTGCATTTAAATCTTTCTGATATAAATGTGTATAATTCTATTATTTCACTGTCAGTTTGGTAAAATTTTCAGTAAAGCATTTAAATTTTAAAATAGATTTAACATGTATTTTTAAACATTCACACACACTACATGTATCTTATTAAACAAAGTGATGGTGCTACAATGCAACACTTTATCCTTATTTAAGTTTTTATCTGGGATTGTATAAATGGAAGACAGAATGGTTGATAGCACATTTATATAACTGTAGATATAAAATGAAAGAGATATTTACAGTTTTCCTTCTGTATATTTCGATATATATCAAAATTATATCTGTCCAGTACATAACTGTCATAAGGCAGGTATTTAAGACCTAAAACTTACAAATGTACTAACAGTTATTTAAACAAGTACCACCACTATCCATTTATAACATACTACTGTCATGTGTTTTGATAAGATGACAATGTAAATTCTTTTAATATATTTACTTACCTTGGTCTTAAATTACACATGGTAGCAAATGCATAGAAAAGCTGTGAATATATTCCATCAGCCACTTCTGATGTACCATCTATATACTGTTGTTCCCTGATCAGAAGACACTCTGAAAGCTCTTTAAGGAAGTCATCAATATGAACTTTTCCCATCACATCTCTACAATGAAAAAAGTCAATGTATGACTATCTCTTTTGTACTGGTTGGACTTGAAGTATGAACTTTGGTCTTGTGTGAACATTGAAAAACATAAAATATTTTTTTTAATTTGCAAGTTTGTTAATAAAACTTTTAAATGCATTAATAGCATTTAAAAGTTTTATCACCTGTTGGTGACCTTCTGCTGTTGTCTGTTCTATGGTCGGGTTGTTGTCTCTTTGACACATTCCCCATTTCCATTCTCAATTTTATTTACAATTTACAGAAAATAAAAATAATCAAATTTTCTTATCAAACATTAAGAAAATATTGAAGATGAAAATACATGTTTCAATAATGACTGAAAAGAAACCTTCAATTGAACACCAACTATGTCCAACTACATTAACTATGTACAGACTTTCCTAAATTAAACAAACGAACATCATAATGAAAATTGTTTAATTATATTAATACAAATAGTCTGGAAATGTTAAACAGTGTTCTCCCCAGATATTTCATATAGTATCCTGGTAAACAGGGAAATTTGAAATACCATCTTGTTTTTAAAAATTATAGCATCACATCCATAACACATCCTATAAGAAACTCTTTTCAGATAGCATCCCATTACCATGATGCTAAAAGGCCCTGGGGAGAACACTGCACTTAAATGTAAAAGCTTTAAATCAAATCCATATGCTCTAAATATTACACTGAAAGAAAACACACTAAAATCTTTCTATTTATCTTCCTCCTGTGTATAGGAGCACATTAGATATAATTTATTTCTAATTACATATATATAATTTGGGTTTATGACATTTATTAATAAAAAGAAGTAAACTAGTGTGAATAAAACAATAAAAGGGCATTGCTTTAGAAAGATATTTAATTAATGATAAATATTTATATACTTAACAAATACAAAAGTGATTATTTTTAGGAAACTCAGTGGTACATGTATATGTTATAGTATATAAAAAAAACCCTCTCAATACTAAAATTGGATCGAAAAAGTTTCTATGCGTTATGACCTGACATTTTCTTCTTCAATGCAGGTCATGACCTTCGTTTTCAGTTTCAGAGGTTGACAGGTATGCATTAGCCTAGAGGGGCCTCGGTGGCCGAGTGGTCTAAGTAGTTACTACTGTAATCACTAGCCAGTCAACACTGAGGTTGTGAGTTCGAACCCCGCACGTGCGGGTGCACTCGACTCCAATCTTAATTGACTAGGATTGTCAGTTTTCCTATCAAAGGTCGGTGGTTTTCTCCAGGCACTCCGGCTTCCTCCACCAATAAAAACTGGCCGCCAGGAAATAGCCCAAAAGCGGTGCTTAAAAGTGGTGTTAAAACACCAAAAAAATCAAATCAAATCATTAGCCTAGAATTTATACTTTAAAATAACATGAATATTAATTCTTTAGGATAAAAATCAATGTGGGAAATTTTTATAAGTAGTATCAACATCAGTGTGGTCCGACTGAAAGAGCTAAAAATGTAGGTGATATAGAAAATAAATATGTTGCAAAGTTTAATACTAATAGTGGAACCTCTGTTAATATGTTTGAGAAACTGCTTGTTGCATACATGTATGAGTCAATGTCATTGCTGTTATCTTTATCTGATGATTTTATCTTTTTCCTGATACTGTCCAACATTGGTTTCATGTGTTTACTGTAAAATTCATGAGTAGCAAATTGGCCTTGTTTATTCTGCAGAACCGCATCAAAATGAAGATGGGACTTCAAAGTACTCATATACTGTTCCTGTTCAACGGTAAACTCAGTTAGTTTTCCTTTCTTTAACAATACGTCTGAAACAGTAGGATTATAACTTTCATTGTAATAGATGTTTACTTTCTCGGCGTGCTTTCTTTTCCACAAAGACACACAATTTGGTATCACACTTATTTTAGGCTTGTGTCTTGGGCGTTTCATATTTGATACGAGTAATTTGTGTGTATGATCTTGGACACACAAGTGTTCCTCTTCTGTAGATGTAGTTGATTCCTGTACTTCCGATAGTGATAAAGCAGCCGTTTCCATAATATTTGAAATATTCGGCTCAAATTCGACAGGAAAAGGGAACAATATGGAAAGGGAACGGTAACGACTAATTTTATGTCATTAGCATAAGCTTATGCGCATCCTTTGTTAGGAGCACCTTACAAACGAGACAAATTAAATTGTAACTTGAATACTGCTTTTAAGGAGGAGAAATTTAAATTAATCAAAGGAAGAATGGGCTTTTTATTTATGTTTCATGCTGTTCTTTAACTCTTTGATGTACAGTACACGGTAGAGACATGTTTTTTTTTAAAGTATTAACAAAAATACCGCCGGAACTCCAAGGTAAATTCAAAAAGGGGAAGTCCTTAAGAATTGACATAATCAAACATTATACTTTATCAAGGAACAGAACGAATGGAAAACAACTGTTATATTCCTGACTCGATATATTTTGAAAATGCCGGGTGGATTAAGGGCATACGATACAGTTTCGATCCCATGATGAATTTTTTATGAAAATTTGCATACAAGCTATTTTTCACCTAAGCAATTCAAATATGTTATAAAAAATTTACCTTCATGTGCTACTTTAAGAGATAAAAGGGGTCGAAATTTTAGAAATTTACGCAATTTTACATTTCTATCCTTTGGATAGACACACCTAACTTTTTTATTTCAACAGAAGCGGATTTTTGATTTCAACACAGGCGGATTTTTGTAAAAACATTATGAAAATCTTCTTAACATAAATATGATCTTGATATGTACAACAATTCTTTGGAAATAATTAATTTTTAACAAAGTTTCAGGATTTTAGGAAAAAACGGCATTTTTTGCGGTATATTTATCAAATTTAAAAAAAATTCAATGTTGACTTTTTCATTAAAATTGGTACAAAAAAATCTTCATATACGTAATAAAACCTAATGCCATTTTAAAAAAAGAGGGGCCGGTCCATGTACTCGTTTTCAAGTTAAATCAGTTTAAATCATAAAAAACAGTCGAAAAATGCATCTTTTCATGATATGTCACAGTTTGACGTCACGAAAATATTTTTACGTTAGCAATATCATATTAACCCCCCCCCCCCCGCCCCCCCCCCCCCCCCCCTGTAACTGTAGCTACAAAAACGTCCCACTTGTATGACAGGTGTTTTATTGTTCCGCCACGGTAATTGATAACATTGTTGTGCTTTAGTTCTAGTTACGCTTCAGTTTTAGCATGTTTAATGTTTATCTTATCGACATGCTCCTTTTTTTATTTTATGTATTCTGTAAAAAGCTCCTAAGAGCTTATGCCTTGTACTGTTATATGTGAACCGAATCAAAATAATTTTCGTATTCTTATTCTGCAGATTCATATTAATACACATATATACCTCAGCTCATACATAAGAACATATTTCCATTAGAATGTTCTTGATAGATATATCCATTGCTTACAACGCATTGGTCGTCCGTTACGGGATATTTTGGCCGAGATGACCCTGGATAATGTCCTATTTTTCAAAATTAAAATATGTTTTTCTTTCCTCGAGCACGACTCAACAACACGTACACCGGAGTCTAATTTGTCATGAGCGAAACGACTTTTGTCACTTGCGAAATCAACCTTAATTTTTTGTGGGATTCGTAGTTCTTAAGCTTCCCATGCAATGATTTACGGACTAGTATTTGTTTATTTTTCATCGGCTTTGTGTGTCTGGTCTTTTTTAGAATTGCAAGTTCAAATTTCACTCCCACCGAAATTTTTATTTTTTTTCTGATGCATATGTGCACAAAACTCCTCATACTAGTAGTTGCAAACAAATTAAGAGCTGAAAAATAATGCAAACCTATTTTCAAATTTTGCCTATTTTCAGTCTGTTATTAGCTTTTTCTAATTTGGAAATTTTAAAACTTTAAAACTTGCACCAAAACATGATGTGCGATAATTATTTTGGAGGGGTGGGGGATACTCAAAGACCAGGTGCAAGAGCAAAGACCTTTTTAGCCCATGATATTGGACTTCTTACACCTATAAGACAAAAGGTTTTGTCGTTTTCCATCTTTCTATATGGTTTTTATAAGAAACGAAAGGACAAGAAAATGACAATAAACAAATAAAAACTTGTTTGTGTCACAAACCTTATTTTTCTGAGTTTTTGGAGAACTTTATTTCTGTATACACAGTATAGAAAATGGAAACGAAGACTGTGTCAAAGAGACAGCAACCCGACCTACGAGCAGAACACAGCCCAAGTCCTAACAAAGGCTACAGGTTCCTGAATTGGGACAGGCGAAAAATGCGGCGGGGTGAAACATGTTTTGTGAGATCTCAACCCTCCGCCTATACCTCTAGCCAATGTGGAATAAACAAACACAAGGCAAAACGAACAGTAAAACTCAGTCTATATATAAATTAAAAGAAGTCAGACTCCGATGATAGAATAGGTAACAGAAGAAACTATACGCAAAATGACAATGATAAACATAAACTGACAAGGGACTGCTAGCATGCAGTTACTGACATGCCAGCTCCAGACCTCAATTAAACTGATTGAAAGATTTTGTCTTTATCATATGAATATCAACCACAATCCATCCCGTTAGGGGTTTAGTATTATGCCATCATTAATTATACAGAGAAGAACATAACCGTATCATGCCAATAACTGGTTTAAGAATAAACGTGTTTATTTCCGATGCAAAGGCCCTATGAGTGAATCAATATTATTTCCAAAAAATGACATCTTCAATGACTTGACAACAGTATCGTAAATATATCCCTCGTAATAAGTCTGTTTAAATATTTGGTTAGCTTTTGAGGTGAATGACGACACTTTTGTGCTTTGAATAGAATATTACCATAAAAGATTGGATGTGAAATACCTGAAAGTATGAGATGTCTGCAAGTTGATTTATATTTACGACTGATGTCCTCGTAGCGATGATAAAATTTAGTAAAAGATTTAACAAGTTTGTGATATCGAAAATCCTGGTGTAATAATTTTTCAGATATTTATTCGTTAAAATCAAATATGTTGTTTCATACACGAGCGATTCGAAAAGTTAAGATATATGAACACCATACGATGGTGACAAGGGAACGTCACCATCTAAAAAGTTTAAACGGATAATTAACAATAAGAAATAGTTTTAATATTAAGCTTCCCGTTAAAGATATAGCCTGATATCAAGATCCAGGAAAGGGCAGTTTTCATTGTTAGTATTAGCTTTATTTAAAGTAAGTTTAACATGACACATATCTTTAGTGGACTGAAGTCGTCATTATTCAGCCAAAATATCATCCAAATATCTAAAAGTGTTATTTAATTTTGTATCAGATGTTGTTTCGATAGGTCTTTGCTGATTTTAGACATAAATTGTGATTTTTAACAATACAGAAACATGTCCGCAATAAGTGGTGCACAGTTAGCCTCCATTGGAATTCCGATAGCTTGGCGATATACGGAACCTCCATAGTGAACAAAAATGTTATCTAGTAAAAAATCAAGTGCAGTTATCATATAAAAACAGGTCCAATTGACATATTTTTTTGTTTGTCGTTACTAAAAAGTGACCTAAAATATATTCACATTCTGACTTTTTAAATGCCCATTAAATTAGGTATAGGAGATAAAGTGGTATATAGGGTAGAAAAATCAAATCTTTGAACAGATTCAGAGGCACCAATATGAGCATGCAATTTATCCAGTACTTTAATTAATTAATTCCACTTTTATCGTAGACCTTATTTGAAAAAAAATATTACCAGGTTTTTGATTGTACCAAGAGTACTAGTAAGCAGAATAGACAGTTTAGTAGTGGAACAATGGCTTAAATCGAAATAAATCTATATTTGTAGGTGTTTTGTGCAGCTTAGGAAGCCAGTACATAGTTGGAACTTTCATGTTATTCGGTTCTGCTAAGTGCTTGCAAAGAGATAGCTAAACGTTTATATTTGGTAACGATGTCATTTTCTGAAAATTGAGTCAGTTGGAATGTTGGTGAATTTATGATTTCCTTTTGAGTACCTCCATATTAAATTTACGTCCGACAATAATGATAATATTGGCAGCCTTATCAGACGGGACAAAAACAAATTGAGTGGTTTTAGCTTATGTTTTTGAAACGAGAAATAAGGCTATTATTGGCAATCATACCATGCACATCTTCTTATTTTTCTATTATGGTTTTTCTTAGGAGTAAAATGTTCTTTGAAGTTAATGTTTAATACGAATATCAACTATTTTCATTACTGAATTGAAAAAAGAATCTTAAGATTTGTTGTCAACTTTTTCTCGTTTTATCCATTTTATACAGTAAGTACGTATATTTTTATGTCACCGCTTTCTGAACATTATAACAGATATTTTCGACTGAATTTATACTACTAGTATACTGTCATTGCTCTCGATACTATGTTATTATTATATATATATAATATTGTGCGATATGCCGACTAGCTTACTACATTAAGCTTCAGTGCTTATTTATGCTTAAGTTTTGTGATAGCATGTTGCTTGCTATGCTTATCTGCTTTTTTCCGTTTTACTTGTTTAACCATGCATGTGTAGTATATCCTATCGGTTTTGTATGTTTTGTATGTGTGTATTACCCTTATTCGATGTGCCTGGTTTGGTCTTAAAAATGTACTGTATTTTTTATGTAGTCGATTCAAAAGCTCTTTCTAGCTTATTTATATGTTATTTGTAAATTTTGCATATCGACTTAAAATTAAACTTTTGATTTGATAAGTGTCATTACTATTCCCGTTATACCTCCAATGTTTTTTTTATTCCAATAATTTTTATTAATATCATTGTTAATGTCCGCTTCATTGTTCTGTTTATATTTTCAGTGTCATTGTTACATTTTAACTCGATTTCAATGGAAAATGACATTGTGTTTTTAATTTTAAATCCAGTGGAATTCTCTATGCATCCGTAAAACAATGAACTTTCAAAGAATCATCTTCTTTTCTATTTTCCGAACCAATTAATTTAAGTGGTTTTCCTCAGCAAAAAGCAAAAAATCTACCGTTCTTTTTGGGTTTGCACAGTGGGTGTCCCTTAAAAATTAGTTACTCATTTGTTTCTTACTAACATTCTTTCTACAGTATAAGATGGGCTTTATAGGTTACCTCTACCAACGGTGGCAATAACATGTGGATTCTGAAAATTCTGAGTATATACACCAAAATCTTAAATCCCTATCATTAACATTTTGCAATACCGACCAAAACTTTTGATTTTCCTACACTATTCACTACTATTTCCATACGCAATTGAAAGATCGACTGCTTTGAACTTGCTGTCGGTAACTGCGAGTACTCTCAGATCTGTACTTAGTGTCTTTTTGTTGTTTGGATGTACAAGTACCCTTACTTTGTGAAGAACCATACTGAATCCAACAACAACAACAACTGGGCAAATATGTCAATATACAGTTGGTTTTCCCATGGGTACTAACTGTGCACCAATTCTGGCTGACTTGTTTTTGTACTCATATAAAGCAGAAGTATTAGAAAACTTTCTCAAAGAAAAGAAAAAGCATGCCAATTTTTTTAATTTAATATATTTAATATATTAATGATACACTGTCACTGAATAATCCACATTTCAGTGAGAGCTTGCATCTCATATATCCCAGTACATTTGAGCTTAAAGGGGCATTAACTGTCAAGTTCATGTTCACCGATTTGTCTCAAATTCTCTTATTTGATTCATTACATACTAACATACTAAAACGTATATCCAAATGACAAAAAGAAAAGTGTTAAAGAAACAATTAACAATGCATGGACTCGATAATAAGTATCAGCATTTTGTGTGTATTTTAGCCTAGACGCCATCTAATTAACCATCGAGACGACCTCCGAAGACTTCCGACGGTCATATAACCCGATATAAACATAAATATAAATATAAATAGATAGGGAGCACGTGCAATCGGATTTTTCTAGGTCTATTTGATTTCATGTTACAGGTTAACAAATATGTAAATAATCGTATTTACCTGTATAACAATGGTATTTTGTGGATCGAATCAGTCAACCAAATGGTTCACCCTTGTTTCACTTTCAATGACTTTTTTTTCCTTTTAATAAATAAACACGCATATTGCATGCGTTAACCATCTCCATATATGGGTCAAATTGAAGGTCACATGAATACGGATTCAATGAGGTTAAATTATTGACTTGCAAGTCAATAATACATCAGCAATGTTTTTGAGCTCATGTTGACAAATTTGGGCCAAACTGACTGCTAGTGATGAGATATTATTTCAAAATTCCGCATTTATCAATGCTTGAAACCAAAAAGAATCGTATTTAAAATTTTTGTCTAAATCGTAGCTAATACCCCTTTAAGGAAACTACCTTAAATAGAACGATTCATATCTGTATATCGATAGCGACAGTGAAAGTTTAACAGATTGTGGATTCGCAATTCATTGTAGCAGGAAACTCTTACCCTGTCGATATACGCGGTCTCGCTCTATGTTTTGATTTGTAAATGTACATGGATTTATTTGATTTGAACCTCGGCAAACTAATTTGAAGCCTTTCATTAATGTTTAAATATGAGCAAAGCACTATTCCATCCAGCAAATCTTGCTACCAAATGTATTTTATAGAGATGTTGATATATATATCATTCAAATATTAATTTACAAAACATGACTGTAAAACTGTCGATTTTTACCACATTTATAAACTATTAATATTTATGACGCCACAGTGACATCATAAATAAAATTTCTGCACTAACTTTTCAGGACTATACCAATTTACTAATCAATCAATGAAATTTATAAAATAAAAATGGACACATTGATGAAGTTTGATATTTTTGTAATATAAGGGGACCAGGTAAAAAGAAAAGGGTAAATGTTAGGATATACAAATGTCAGTTTATATCGTAAATATGTTTTTCAAAAGAGCTTTGAAGGTGAATAGTTGAGAGTTGAAACCATTGATTGAAATTTTGGACCTTGTTTAAAAAAAAAGCATATTACCATAAACATGATAAACCATGCCTGCCATTTCAAAAAAAATATCGTGTAGTCAATTGACTCTAGTTTGAGACCAGAATGCAATTCGAGAACCTTTCGGGAGACTTTTGACAACCTTATTATTGCATTCAAAAGTACACAACGATTACCTAGTATGCTAATCAGAATTGGCTAAACAGAATAAGCTCCCGAATAGTACTGTCTAAATAAACTGTATGTGTTTAGAGAGTGATAGAATATAATAAACTGTATATTTTTAGAGTGTGATAGAATATAATAAACTGTATATGTTCAGAGAGTGATAGAATATAATAAACTGTATATGTTTAGAGAGTGATAAAATATAATAAACTGTATATGTTTAGAGAGTGATAGAATATAATAAACTGTATATGTTTAGAGAGTGATAAAATATAATAAACTGTATATGTTTAGAGAGTGATAGAATATAATAAAATGTATATGTTTAGAGAGTGATAGAATATAATAAACTGTATATGTTCAGAGAGTGATAGAATATAATAAACTGTATATGTTTAGAGAGTGATAAAATATAATAAACTGTATATGTTTAGAGAGTGATAGAATATAATAAACTGTATATGTTTAGAGAGTGATAGAATATAATAAAATGTATATGTTTAGAGAGTGATAGAATATAATAAACTGTATATGTTCAGAGAGTGATAGAATATAATAAACTGTATATGTTTAGAGAGTGATAAAATATAATAAAATGTATATGTTTAGATAGTAATAGAATATAATAAACTGTATATGTTTAGAGAGTGATAAAATATAATAAACTGTATATGTTTAGAAACTGATAGAATATTATAAACTGTGTATTTTAGAGAGTGATAGAATATAATAAACTGTATATGTTTAGAGAGTGATAAAATATAATAAACTGTGTATGTTTAGAAACTGATAGAATATAATAAACTGTGTATGTTTAGAGAGTGATAGAATATAATAAACTGTATATGTTTAAAGAGTGATAGAATATAATAAAATGTATATGTTTAGAGAGTGATAAAATATAGTTAACTGTATATGTTTAGAGTGTGATATAATATAATAAGCTGTATATATTTAGAGAGTGGAATAGAATATAATAAACTGTATATGATATGTTGTCTGTAACCACAACACATGTTTTATAAATAACCTTCATTACATTCGCCTTAGGCAAAAGGTGGACTCGGTGCCATTTTGAACATGCAGTGAGATAGAGTTTGCGGACGACGTAGAAGTCTCACTGAGAGTTTGAGATGAAGAAGATCAATACAAGCGCTGTTGCTTTGATGTTTTATTTTTATTGTTCGTATAGTGATTTTTTCATGGTACGATTTAATACTTAAGGATGTACTTGGGTGAAATTAAAAAAAATCTAGAATTTAACATTGATACTATAAGTCGGAAGATCATTAGTTAAGAAACAAAATAAGCTTGAAATATTGATAAGTTATGGAGCTCCTTTTCGAGATATTTAATTTTTTAACTTGAAATGGCCGCCGGAAAAGGCTGACTAGGACTTTTACCTTATATTTGCATTGGTATTATTTGGGTCTCAAATCGAAAGGAAAGAAATCTAAAATCTGCTTAAATTCTGGTAAATGACCTTTTATGAGCAATTAAAGTCTTATATGAAAAGAAAAATTGATGTTATGGGGCAAAACATTTTACCCTGTATTGAAGGAAAAAAACCAAGGAGTCCTGACACAAATTCTTAAACCTCACCTAAGTACATGTACATCCTTAATATTCTTTCGTTTCCTTTGATGAACTACTACCCATTCTATTCAATAATAGAAGTAATATTGTAACTACGAAGGTCAATTGGTTATTGCCATGATCTTTCTTTAGGGTATAGATTTGTCTATAGCTGTTATGACCGTTCTGTCTTTTGTTATGTATTGTTTCATTTTGTTTGAAGCATCCACCACTCTATTATTGATAGGTCCCAACATTATTTATTCCTGGCAAAACATGCATCCGTTGTGTGCGAACATAGTTCGTCAACGTCAGTACCGTCTTGCTTTATCTCTAGGCGCGATCTCTTTTGCTTACCATCGGGAAAAAAAAACAAAACAAGCGCTTTTCTAGTATATCATGCGATTTTTTTCTCGTGTACATTCACCATATTTCGTATCTTTTGTACGACAAAAGAGCCTGTTTTAAATGCAATGGAAAATTACTGTTTAATATATAAGTATCAACGCTTTGTTAACTCAAAAATTTATAGAATAATCTGATTTACACCTTAGATATATGCAAATGTAATAAGACATTTAAAAAAGTTAAAATGTAACACTTGCACAAATGACTATATATCAATTTTCAAAACGAGTGCTCGATGACAGCCTCAATTGGTATACTTTAACCAAGTTATCTTAGCCATATGGGACAGTTCTGGGCGACAGCATCAATTAACGTCGCATTATATGATATCATTTGCTAGAATCAAATGGCTTATAATGGAAAATGGCATTTTCATCCGAATAAGCAGCATCATATCATATGATTAGTTTATTGTTTTATAACAAAAATAGGTTGATATTGAATGACAGATTGAACATTGTCAATCCTAACAGATAACTACCGAAGTATGTAGAATAAATATGTTTTTTTAACGAATTCGTTAAAAAAAGTCTCTGTATCTTTAAAGTATCTATGAAGCCGATGATATATTTTGTAAAAAAATATAGTCTGTAAAAATATATTGCATGGTAATATTGTCATTATGAAAAAGACTTTGGCCAAAGTCTATGCATACGTAATATTGTCGAGGTATATAATTATTAAACGATAGTATAAAAATATCCACGAATTTCTCAATATTCTGTTTCACATGTATATACATAAATAATTAATCAGTGATGAACGACATGAAGATGTTCCTTTGGCTGCTTTGGTATTCGTTTAAGTTGTATTTCTACATCTCGTTTGATTTGTTCGAAAGATGCTTTTTGTGTATAACGTTTCACTGGAATTCCATCATGCGATATAATGAATTTCTCATAGTTTCCACTAACGTCATGACGCGTAACGGGATCCCAGCAAATAAATGTATGATCTCGCGAGATTTGACAGTCGTCGTCTGCTGGATACGGCTGTTTCATTTTCAAAAATTCATAAATCGGATGACAATCTGATCCATTTACTAAAACTTTTGAAAACAAAACGAATCTTGGCTCAAATTTTGATCCAGGTCGTACATAGTAGAAGAACGGTGACATTTCTGTGTTCTCCAGTGGCTCCAGTTTTCCTAGTTGATTAGAGGGAAACACAAGAACCACAAGTCCTCTTGTTCCACAAGTGCTGACAAGTTCATTCAGCTGAAAATAGAATGAAACATGAAAAAATAAAATGCTTGTAATGACTACTACACATCACAGACTATTATATAATATAAAGATAAAAGTATTCGTCAATTACTCAATTTACCACTAACACACTTCAACCTCAGTCAATTATATTGTCAAAACTTTTCAATGAACAGAAAATAGGAATTGAATAATAGTTGATTGCACGGTTTAAGCTAACAGACTAATTTATGTTCTCTTTAGGAAAGTACACCAACCGTTTTTAAGCGAGTTGCAAAGAACGTATTGCTTTTTAGAAATTATATATTATTCATGCCAATTCCTAACTTTTAATAATTATACACATGTTAACTATTTGAAATGACATGTCAGTATTAGGATGAACAAACAAGCTCGTGATGGACATTTGTGTATGTTTTGCATGCACGCCTTCAGGTCTATGCATTGTATCATACTTTTGACAAATGGAGTTGATTGTATAAACAATTAAATACATATCATTATATTGATAACACCATATTCAATCTACTAACACATCCAGTAAGCTAAATATAAAGACAGTACCGCAGTAAAAAATAATGACAAAACACTTAAAAAAAAACAAGAGGATCAATAATAAAATTATGTCAACGAAATGTGAAACTAAGGTCTCAATTTATTAAAAAAAAAACGCATTTAGGAACTACAATGTAAACATATTGATTTTCATTTTTCAGAAGGAATATAACAAAATACGTTACCTAAATCAATACATTTATCGTTTTCACGAAATAAATATTGTTAAATTATGCAGCGATTTCTGCACATTCAAGAATTCTGAAGTCAGATATTGTTTGTTTTAAAATCGAATTTTAATGTTTAACAAAAGTAAATATTTATGGTAAATATCAATATGATAACAAGATTTTATTAGCAACGACCAAACAATGTTATCAAAAGTATTCATAATCCTCCAGATTTCAAATTGAGGAATGAATAAAATTATAGTGAAGTTCTGCATCTGCGTACAAACGACTACATAATTATGTCCCTTATGATGAATCACAAACTGTGTTATTAAATTTCTTATACACTGTAACTGCGATTCTGAATAAATATGTGTTGCAAACAGACACAATTTCGTCAATCATCATAGAATAAGATGTTTTTTATACAACCGTTTACGGGACGTATTTTGGTATACCGTCGTCCGTCTGTCTGTCTGTCCGTCCGTCGTTATCATGTCGGTCAATAACCCCAAAACGCTTTAACCAATTTTCATGAAACTTTGGTGAATTGTTTATATCTATTGACGTAAGCTCCCTTTCGATTGTTATAAATTTTAGATTTTACGTTTCCGAGTTATGGGATTTTATTCATAAAAAAGGGGAATTTTCCAGTTTTCAGACAATAACTGAAAAACGCGTTGCTCAAGCAGTTTTCATGAAACTTTGATAACTGGTTTGTATCTACTAAAATAAAATCCGATTAGTTTTTTTTTTATAAATTTCTGATATGACATTGAGGAGTTATAAAACTTTATTCGTTGAAAAAGCGAAGGGCGTATCATGCGCTCATGGTGCAGCTCTTTTTTTTAAGCCGCACTTCTCTTATTTATTCTTTTTTACAGGGCTTCAAACCAATTTTATGGCAACTACCACAATTGTTTAGGACCACGGACATTCTTTATACTAGGTAAATATCTGTTCAGAAGTATTATTTGTGATTATTTAATTCTCTAACAATTTTTTTTTTACTAAAATGCACGTAGGAATTTTCTGTAATAGTATAAAGAACAAGGCTTCGGTCAGATCAACCTAACTGATATCAAACCGTATTTTTAAGAGGCAAAGGTGTAACTTAATAAAAAAATCAAATCATTAAAATAAGGACTAAAGTATGAAGAAAAATTAATACCCTTGTTCAATTACTTTAATCGTGTGAACCTGTTAAAAATCAAGTTCAAAGTATTAGGAAAAATATAGTTTACATAATACATTCATCAATTTACAAAAAAGAATATATTATCAATTAAATTATAAGCAGTGAAATTAACTTGTCGAAGTCATGATAATTGAATATAACGATCATGATATACTGTATGTTAATGCTTTACATTGCGCATTATTGTGTTGATTCACAAGGGTTGACATTCCAATGCAAGTCACTCACTTACGACATTGTACTACTATTTGGCTTTTATGTCAATTTAATTGTACGCTAAGTTTAAAGAAGCAATTGAAGTGCAACTTTTTACATGGTGAAAAGAAAAGTATATTTTTAATCGGCGTCAAGTGTTAAATTCGATATTTTGCTCGGTTTCATTTTAACAACACTTTTAAAAATTAACGTTCATGGTCAGTTACTTTCAACCTGAGATTACTATAACTGTGTTACAAAAAATGTATAGTGGTCTAAGCTTTTGACATATGTGTACTGCCTAATTTTTGGGGACCATGGATCATCCTGGATATTTTTTGGAAATTTCTGTTCTACCTTTTTATTTAAAATGTTTCTCCTTAGTCCCTTAAACATCGGATGGCTGTTCCCTTATTAAACAAAAAGTAACCAAACTGTTATTACTTCAAACTATAAAAATACTGCACTGTACCAATATATAAATAAGATGTGGTACGATTGCCCATGAGACAACTTTGCGCCAGAGACCAAGTGACATAGAAGTTGGCAACTATAATAGGTAACCGTACGACCTTCAACAATGAGCAAACCCATACCGCATAGCAAGCTATAAAAGACCCCGCAATGTAAAACAATTCAAGCCAGAAAAATAAAGGCCTGAATTATGTACAAAACAATTATCGCAAACAAAATTTGATATACAGCAGTCTTTATGTAAAAATTCACTTATATAAAGATTATGTGATGTTTTTAAGTACGAAACATTATATGAATGGAATTTATAAATAATCTCGATAGGTAAAAACACATATCCAATTTTACTTTTTTTAATAAATAAGTTGATTTGTAAAACAGATTTGAAAACCTTATGTAATGTCAATCGTTTTATCATCTGATAAAGTCTAAGTTTAACATGTTACAATTGTTACATTTGTACTGATATATAAAACAGGTATTTTTTCCCATGGCAGAGAAAAATACATTGATTGTTTTCCCCTTTTAGACAACCGATATATAATGCATTCTATGTAGTATTCATTTACACGTAACCACACACAAAGCTTTAGCCGACACGATCAGTTTTTCCTTGTGAAAAAATATACCGTAACAAATAAGTGCAACGCAAACCAATGCATTCCATAGGAAGTATATATATATATAAAGAGAGAGATTAGTCTTTCTATGTAGATTTCTATAGAACGCACCACTTACCGTTATTTAGATATATATGACTAATTTGTATACGATATAATGAAGTTTGTTATAAAGCGGAACCTCTATAACCTCTGAACTTTGATTTAATAGTTTTATATCTAAACTTACACCAATATTTTATTAAATAAAAAAAAACACTATCACGTTTGAAAACTTTTTACAACACAATCCTCTGAACTTGATGAAAAACTCAAGATCCGCGGTTGTCGTTAAACTTTTTCGACAACTCTATGAGGGATTTGTAGGTGACCTGTGTTGACCTGTCGCAAGGCTAAATTTCTGTTCCTATCCATTGTACCCCAATTTACCAGTGGCCTTCAAACTTTCCAGCGCATCATCCCGGACGAACCCCTATTTTAAGACCTACCGATTGTATTTATTCTTAATTTGTTCTTGTCCTGAACATGTATTAAATGTTTTCTTCTGGACACAAAGCAAACAAGAATCAATCAATTAATCAATCCTATGACCAGGAAAAATTGCTGACCAGAAATGAATTTAAAAAATCATGCAGACAAACATAATACACAGGCCGTCACCCACAAAACACACGATTATAATGGCAGGTGCTAAAATGTCCACTTTATTATTTTTTTTTAGAATGGACTTTTTTGGTATTTTTAATAAGTTTACATGTCTTATCCCCTGATGTACGCACACACATTGCCATTATTTGGATTTTTTGAGAAGTGGGTTAATCCACATTCAGTTATGATAGATATTTGATAGCACTGTACTTGTCCTAATATCAAAATATAAAGAAATCTTTTGTTATTGATTTTATATATTTACTTATGGTGAAGACCTATCAATCTGGGTATTAGATATTTAGATATATTGACGCCTTGATGTTGAACTTGAAAACAGTCAACGATATTTGTAATTTACATTCTTTTAAATTAAGTGGTACTTAGTTCAATCAAGTTCAGTGTACATTAATGGTTTGTTAAATAAATGTTTCTTTTTAGTTGCATTTATTTCAATAGGGTATTGAAAAGTAAGGAATTTGATCCTTTGGACGTTTTTTATCATTTATTTTGCAAGTACCTTAGTTTATCAATTGTACCATCACAAATGCATCACGAAATCAATTTCATATCACTTTCTGACGTACGAAACATACATTACATCTACTTCATTTGAACTTTGCTGGATATTTGTCTCATTTGCAATCATACCACATCTCCTTATTTTTATATTAACGAATTCATATGCCAGGACAAAGTAAAAAACTACTCAGCGTTTTTAAATATTTTTCTACTATCATTTATATATTTGTTTGTATTAACTCTACGCTTAGGTTTCGGGAGGATACCTGTGTTGTCGCTTTTGATCAGTCTCGTTCTTGTATACGTCTTTTGGGAGTTCGATTCAAATATAAATAAATACTATCAAAGAGAGATCAATTAAAAACCATTAGCCATCTAAAGAAAAACAGCATACTCCATTGCAAAAAACAAAAGGACAATACAACAACACAAATGTCACAAACAAGACACAGAGGTCTAAAAATTGTTAGCAGATTAAGTAATGAAACCGAAACGTAAAAAAATTAACTAATAGTAAAAATGTGAGGGCAATGCAATGTGTAACTACCAACTTTTTCCACGTCTAAGTCTTTTAAAATAGCACTCTCTGCTCTTTTACAAGTATTCTGTTCGCGCTGGTTTTACTGCCCGGTTTCTATTTGATTTTTATTATTTAATAATCAAGAGTTATGTGAGTAAGAGTACAGCGAATGAAAGTTTATGTGTGGAGTGACGAGTTTTAACTGAAAACTAGGCAAAACGATATCGCGTTAATCTTACAGTGTGTTTAATGGTTATTAATATGACAACACAATAATTACAATTATCAATCAACAAGTAGTAACTGCATTTAAAACTTATTTAACTGAACATTAAGTGGCTAAAGTCAATTAAAGATAAATTACTTTTTGGACTCATTTATGCTGTGTACTCTTATGTTTGTTCTTAGTCAGGTGGTATCATAAAAAGTGTATATCAAATTAGATCATACACGACTTTGATTTCAGTACAAATGGCTGTCATTATAAACTTATCAAACTTAACATTTGTATGTGTTGCTAAGTTTAAATAAAGTATAGATATGCTTCTTGATATCCCCTTACTTTTTGGATGGACCACACAAGACTTTGGTTTCAGGACAAAAATCGGAAACACAAAATAAAAAAAAAAAAAAAAAAAAAAAAACCGCATAAGATAATAGACAAAACAAAACAAAAAAGGATCACCATGACAAATCTTAACGGTACTTGAAATTTTATGTTTGTTAAACTTCAGATACCTTCCATTCTATGCATGCCTTTTATGCAAGTTATCTTACTGTAAATATTAATATGATAATTTTATTTACTATGAACGTAATCTTAAACTTGATTCATAAGTGTTATGACTACAATTTATAACGCACTTATTAAAAAGACAGTATATATTAAATTATACGACATCATAACCCTAGCCAACAGCATGTCTGAAATGAAAAAAAAGTTACCCGTCGATATTGACAGTCTTGTATTGATAAATTATTTAAATAATTTGTACATTGAAAAATGCATATAGTTAGTGATACTGATACCTCAAATATTTTGAAAAGAAAATTTTAAAAACCTTTTGATAGAACAACCGATGCAACAGTTTCTTTCGTCCGTTACTAAGGCACCAATCAAGTGCTGACAGATAACTTGTTTAATGTATAATTTATATCACCTGTAATAATTCTTTTTTAGTATTCTTATCACAGCTCGCCATGTTGACTACCAATGTAACTTTCCCATCATACTTAGAAAACTGTTCCATTTTACCGTTAGAAAGTACTGCTGACAGTTCATAGAAAGACGAAACACAAGACATCGGAATCAGTTTACCACATGACGATGACGGACTATGGTTGTGGTTGTTCATCCCGAAGTTTTTCCTGAATTTCAAACTAAATAAGGATCTACCACTTCCAACTAAGACGAAGTTTCTCCTTATTCTCAACTGTATAGATAACTTCTCTCATGTAGTTTCAAGGTGTAATTTTCTTTTGGCTTTTTCGCAGTCTTTGTGTCAGTACTATTGCAGTTTCAAATTTTTCTCTTATACAGTCAACTAATGCAATTGAGATTTTAAAGTTATATCTGAATATGATACCACTGTGTGTTTGTTAATTCTGTCTATCACTTACATATTCAATTCAAAATGTTTCAATATACTCCCGTTATATTATTGCTTCCGCTCGATACAGTTTCTACAATATGTTTTTTTTCTCTTAAGTGGAAAATCAAATCACGACTTTAAACGTCCTCTCATATAAAAAATTTCTATTGATCGAAGATTTTATTTCATACAAATTTAAACAAGATGTAAATCCAAGACCTTTCAGCAAAGATAAAATTTTAATCCCGTAATGAATGTATACAAGTCCTGTTAGAAACATACCAGGTGAATCCTGTTATATATGTCACCTGTTATTCATACTTTTAACCAACCTATGCTATTTCTCGATCACCTATCAAGTTTGCATCCCGATGGTAAAAATCTATAATACCTATATACGCGACAGGTACTATATATATATTTATTGCATATAGATTTAACGATACAATTATTTGACATTTTCAGTAAAAGTTGATTTAAATATATTTCACTTTGATTGTATCTAAAAGGAAATAAGAGAGTTGTTTATTACGTTAAATAAGTACTTATTGGACGACCAGATATGTAATAGGCATTTTTATTATTAAGTCATTATTGTTTTTCAATGTTTGTTATTGTTTTAAGTATATATAAACACTATATGCTAAATAGTGTGCCATAAAGTTCTAGTGATTAAAATATTTAATAACAAATAAAATAAGTTTTATAACAATGTAATATGTAAGTATTGTTAAAATAAATTGTTGTCACGGCCTTCATATAAAAAGAGCACTTGAACACAGAGGAATGAGATGATGGAGACCAAGGCATAGATATATTGTCTACCAGTATTTAGGTTTGGCTATGAAAGTGTTTCACCTTTGTTCCCTAACAGTATTTAGCACTCTCGGGTAATTGTGCCAAGACTCATGATTTGACTTGTTCTCCAGTTTGCATAGAGAAAGAGGAACTTTGGACTAAACTCTTCTGAAAATGCAAAAAACATTCCTCTTTGTTTTCAGTTTTTAGCGATCCTTCAATTATTGGAGATTATTCGTCGTTTAATTTAAGAGAATCGTTCAAAATGTTGAAACTTGTACACATAAAGCCATTCAGATGCAATGTTTGGAGTAAATAGTATCCATTTGTGTTAAAACCACTTTAGACAACGTAAAATTAGAATGTTTAAAAGCAGTATACTAAGTTAGTTATTCTAAATAATCATTGAATCGCTTTCAATAATTACCTAATATCAAATAATGAAATTTATCGGTGTACGATTCATTACTCAGTGTTCACAGTCGTGATTGGGAATATTTATTAATTGATTATAGTTTATCATGCAAGATAACATATCCTTGATCCTTTAAATTCCTTTGAAAAAAGATCGAATACCCCCTGCCATACTTTTCATGTTTTATCGACAAAAATGATATAATATTTCAATAAAATCAAATAATTATTGCGTGATTGATATTTCATTACTTTTGATAAGTTTTGTCAGGTAGTGGTGGACGCCTTAAAATAGATGTATAGAAGTTTATTTCTGACTAATTAAAATCATGTATTAATCCATCGAAATACATTTTACTGTAAATGTATATTCACGAATAATGTTGGTCATAAAGAAATCTCCAATGGTTGACTGGGGTATAAAAATATGGTCATCTCGACTTCAGAAAGTAAAACCAATGCCAAAGGGGTCAGTGTGTGGGATGAATAACTAGGCAGTCACGTAAGTCAGACTGTGGACGTAAATATCGACGCCTCGTTAAAAGTGAATGGCACACTATCTTCACGCCAAAGAAGCCCTGCAATAACTCTTTGGTGGGTTCCTTAGCAGGTGGTCTGATTCTTAATTTCCGCCTCTTTTTCAGCGATAGTATAATTTTCCAGTCCTTTATACCGGTCCTGCCACTTTGCAGAGCCTACCTTTGTAATTGCATTAACTGTCAAATTGTTCCTTTTCTGCGTATGCATTACACGTTAACATGGTTAAGCAAAAAAAAAAAAAAAAAAGAAAAAAAAAAGAAAAAAAGACAAACTATCTTTATATAAGATATGTGACAACTACCTGATGTTTTTACAATAAATGATCGTTTACTGAGATGTTTGTTTATAATGCATTATACTACGTGAATTATGATGACATATCTGTTTTTAAGATAAGTGTTTGCGATTATTATCGAATATAGCAGTTGAGTTGAAATTTTTAGTGTTTCAAATAGAATAATTATAACCGATTTATTCAGTGTCCTTGATTTTCTACGGGATGTCTAAAATATGTTTTGATTTTTTTTACATACCAGAGGTAATTATAAGACGTGAATTTTTACTATCCATATATTTCTGTTATTTTTTTTTACCTGCATTGAGTGGCACAACAGTATTATATAGTGGAACTCGAATTACTTACCCATTCGCAGCACTTTATATCACCCCAGGTAATTGTTCGGATGTCTTAATATTTAGTTTTCTAATGTTGTGTAATGTTTTGTGGACTGTTTGTCTTTTAGTTGTTTTTTTGGACCATCATGTAGTCTGTTCTTTTGCAATTCATGACTTTATTGACACCTTTGGTTTCTTTTCCCTCTTTTGAGTTATAGATATCCTAATATTGAAATGATTAATGGAGCTGATATAAGTACTCATGGGACAACCATATATGTCACAGACATTTTTATTATTCAGTCAAATTTAGTTATTGTTTTATTACATTATTTATTATTATACCCAGTTTTATATAAATTATATTACACTATAAATAGTGCTATCAACATTAACACAAAGACTATATAAGTAAGCAAAAATTCAATAACACAATATTTTGCTAAAAGCCTTTTATGTATGAATGTGGAGATATAGTAAACAATACAAAATTAACCTATATCCCGATTCTACTTCAAACATTAAACCTCTCAGCTGGGAAATATAACATTATTTGTACAAGCTTTGGCAACCGAAAAAGAGAACCCCCACCGGCTTTTATCATGTTTTGTAGCCAGAGGCTGACCCAGAAGTTGCAGAGGGCCTTAAAATATAGCAAACACATTGTATTTTTTATCATTTTTTTCTGATTTTAAACTCCGATACCCAATATTTTAGATTGCCCCCTCCGGTCCATTTTGAAATTTCTGTATCCACCAGTGGTTGAATTTGCACGTTTTTATTTCGCAACACTATAAACATACTTATTTTTTTTCTGCATTTTGTCATAGACATAGCTTATTAATAATTACTCACTTCTAGCTGATGTCTTTGTTTTTAAAATTTTAGTATGTTTTTTTTTTAAAACAAAATCAACACTAATTGAACGCAGCTTGCGAACGGGACACATTAACAAACCTTGACTCAAACAGTAATTTTACTTTTTCATAACATTGAAGTCACCAATTTCACTGCACCATATGCGCATTTTTACAATTAATGTCTCTTCGGTAATAATCAAGGCCAATTATTTTAGAATCCGAATCCAAACCTACATGTAATATAAACGTTAAAAAGTTGTTAACACCAAAAAGGACAAATAGTAAAGCCAAAACCGGACATAATTCCCTAATTTTAAAGGATATCCAAACGTCGTTGGTATCATTACCATATTCACTCACAAAGAGGGCGGATACTGAATAGGGTCAAGGAGACAGTCTTTGTTTTACCTTTCCACGAAAGTAATCACGGAAACATTCTTAGACTGATTCATTGTACATGGTTTTTCGTTTCCAGAAGGAAGTTCTAATTTGTTGCGACGAAGACTAATGGTGTAAAGTACAGATAGAATTGCACATTGCTTAATTTTTATAGTTGTTCTATTCATTGTGGAAAACGTTACGACTCACAGAAAGGAAAAGGCGACGTGATCGTATAGTTATAGAATTCCTTGGCTAATTTCACCTTTTTAAACACTCGTAATTGTACACCATGATCGATGTAGAATTAAATTGCTGATTATTGTATGATGCCAATCGTGTATCTAGAAAATAGATATAACAATGTCAATAATATTGCAACGGAGAATGAAATTCACGTTTTCTATGACCGCATTTATATCTCTCTATATTTATCTATTTAGTTCTAGCATTGATTTACACGATAAATTGTTAAGAAACTACATTTTATAAATTGCGTGCATCCTCATATCTGTTCTAAAAATACCTTCATCAGGAAAGCTCAACCTCCAAAAATTAAAGCCAAGGTTGTATAAATACTTTAATACGTGAAAGGCTACAAAAAAAAGCCAAATCCACCGCTAATTTCATTATGGTGTTTTTATTCGATATCAGTGCAGTGAGTGCATATAATATGCAGTATAGATACAAAAAACATTTTGTACCTGTTTGAACAAATTATTGGAAACGAATTAAAAAAACCTGACAATATCATAAAAACAATAAAGCATGTACAAATACATATTTAAATGTACACCATTTCAAAGTTATAAAATTGCAATATGAAAATCAATAAGCATCCACTTTGTTTCATATGCATACGTACACGTTTATCTATTAAGGGTTTATCCTATGATTAGACATATGATTAATAATCAGAAAATAGTAAGCTAGTGCACCAAATTTTGACATAATAGATTGATCAAAAGTTTGACGGCACCCACTCTGACTTTGCATTTTTTTTTAGAGTCCATTGAATCAAAGGAAGATATTTTACAGGCAATAAAAGAATTAAACACTCATGCATTTATGTCTTTACTTAAAATATGTAGTTATATATTGTTAATTTTTCAGATATTTCAGGATTGGCTTGTTGAAGGATCCAGAAAACTTTACATTGCATCAAAATATCGTTTTTTCTTTAAAGAAGTTGTAATTCGTATAGCAGAAGCATGGTCAAACAAATGGGAAATATGATTTGAAAAGTACATCAACCAATAGAGAAGGAGATATACGTATAGAGAATCCAATACAAGGAGAAAGAAGCAATCCTCAGGCATGTTGTTTACCCGCATGTGGTGTTGGAGGACAGTATATACATTTTACAACAGATGTTATGTTTCAAGGAGACAGCGGGTCTTTTTGGAATTCAAGTAATACTATAGATTTTACATTAGTTAAAATACACCGGTAAATCGCTGTTAGAGATTTGGACATTTAGGTTTATTTTTAATATTCGGTATTTGCAAGATGTCGATAAGTCAAATGCAATCTCCCTTTGTTCCAATAATCTTAATCTAAATTTGTTGGATTTAGTTATTTTTTATTATTTGTTGATTTTTTTTTAATATCTATATAATAATATAAGAAAGAAGAAAAACAAATACTGAAGAAAACCAACTAGGTCTGCAAAAATATTTTGTTGGTACACGTATTCA